CGACCTCACTTGGCCGACCTCCGCATCAGCCGCCCTCCGTCTTTGACACTTGGCCGACCTCCGCATCAGCCGCCCTCCGTCTTTGACCGAAGACCTCCGCGTCTGTCCGTACATCTTCCTTGCCCGACCTTCCTCTTGACAGACCACCGCGTCTGCCCGACTTCGCCTTTCACCCGATCTACGGTTTACCCGACTTGGGTACACCCCTTTTTTTTTAGACTCCGCCCGACCTTTCTTCCTTTTCCCGACCTTTATTCTGTCCGATTGCACCCGACTTCTGGGTCATTTAACTTACGTCCAGACCCGTCCAGAATTCTACTGCCATTATTTATTATTATTATTTTTTGTGCGTAACAAGTATATTTTTTAATTAATATATATAAGTTTTATACAAAGTGTGAAAAACATACGATAATATAAAATTGATTGATGTGGGCCAATTTTAATTTTATTAAATGAATAGAATAAATATATTATATGCCGTGCGTATATATTTTATTTTTTTATTATATTTATTAAAAAACCATATCATTAGAAAATTATTTGGTAAATATACTATATTTTTATTTTTTTTACTTTACATTTATCTTTTTTTGTTTAAATGATAATTGAATGTGATACTTTATCAAATAATAATATATTTGTATGAATATAAAATATAATAATATATATAATAAGTTTTAATTTTCATAAAAAATTATATACATAATCAATTTTTTATTAATTTATATTTTTTATTATTTTAATACACCACTCTACAATGTTTGGGTGTGTTCGTTTGCAAGATTTTGCAAAATTCTTACTATTCATCCAATTTTTTTTCCCTCAAAAACATCAAATCAAACACCTATTTTTTATTTTTTATATTATATTAAAAATCAATTTTACATTCAAAATATCACATCAGCACCTATTTATATCACATCATACAATTATTCAAATTCAAAATTTTTACTATTCAAATTCCAACTCAAAATCCAAATTCCCAAACAAACACACCCTTTGTTTATTTTTATATATAATATCTTTGTTAATAAAAAGAAAAAGTAATTTCGTAAACTATATTGCACACAAAATAAAGTTTAAATATGTTTAATTAATTAATTTTGTATTGAACTTTTTATTTAATTTTGAGTAAGCTATTTTATAAAAATATATATTTATAAAAATTGTACGGTAACTTAATAAAAAATAATAACAAAAGTAAATAAAACTTAAAAATAAATATAATTTTATCTTAAAAGGAATATATTGATTAGACAATAGAGATGAAATTTATGAATTGGGGTGTGTTGAAATTTATGAATTGGGGTGTGTTTGTTTGGGGGTTTGGATTTTGAGTTGGGATTTGAATAGTAAAATTTTTGAATTTGAATAATTGTATAATATGATATAAATAGGTGTTGATGTAATATTTTGAATGTAAAATTGATTTTTAGTATAATATAAAAAATAAAAAATAAATGTTTGATTTGATATTTTTGAAGAGAAAAAATTGAATGAACGTGAATTAAAAATCCAATCCCCGAAACAAACACACCCGAAAAATACACCTAAATTTTGAGTACATATAATCTAGCTCCTGCACGTGTCTACATTTTATTGAAAGGAACATAATAGCACATCAAATCTTGGAACAGAAGATTTCATGGCCTAATTAAAGTGCACCGTGGCACTTTAGTAATCTCATTTTTAAAACAAAAATATTATTTGGTGTTTTGTTCAAGTAAACTTTTTAATATTAATATTATATTAGTTTATAGTAAAAATGTAAAAATATTTTTATTAGTATGACGTGTTATAAAAGTGATAATATTTATATAATATATTGTAAATTGTAAGAGTATTTATTATATTAGGGAGGTAGTACAGTTATTAAATTAGAAAATAATATCCTTATTTTGGCGACAAAAGCAGAAAATGGTATTATTTTTATGGAATAGAAGGAGTATATATATTACTCTTCGATGGACTATGCTCCGCCGGTATTTTGTATATATATGTTATCTGTATTTTTTTACATAGACGAATTATCAAACAATTTTAATTGAAACAAAGAAAAGTAAAATAAAAACAATCGACATAACTACAATGTTAGATAAAATAAATGATCAAATAAATGTTCGATTCACCTAAAAATTTAAGTTATTAGGATACGCTACCTCCCGGACAAGGAGATCTAAGGCTCTGATACCATATTAGATGAAGTAAACAACTTATTCACCTAAAAACTTAAACTATTAGAATACGCATTATTTATTTATTTATTTATAAACGAAAGTCAACCAATATATATATATAATGGTATTATATTATTAAATCCAAAAAAAAAATTACAAAGAAAATAATATATTATATTCTTAAATGCGAAAAAAGACAAACAATCACAATACCATATTGCAATCACACCCAATTCTAAATCATCCCGTCACTTCAGAAATTTTTGGTATTTATTTATTATAAATTGTTACAATATAAAAATAATTAAATTAAAAATTAATAAAAATAAATTATAGAAATATTGTTATATTAGATTATGTATTACAATATTATTATTTTTCAATTTCATTAATAATTCTTTATTTTTATTTTTAAAGATTCATAATATATATAAAAAAAATTAATAATAATAATATTTATTATTATTATAAAATACATAATTTGCTCAAATCAATTCAGTTACACAATTACACATCCACGGCACCAGATTCTCCTTTTTGTTTTTCTTTCCACTTATTTCCTTTCTTCCAATGGGTCATCCTTGGTCCTCCTCCTTCTTCTTCTTCAATTATTATGTTCTATTGCGTGTTGCGGTGACGGTCAGATTTAAAAAATAAATAAAAATGGCTGATCCGGTTCACCCAATTTTAAACCAAAAAAATAAATAAGTATTTAAGACTCTTTTTACTTGTAAAATTTTAGTCATGATTTTACTATGTTCATTTTATTTTATTTTTTAAAAATATAAAATCAAACACTCAATTTTTATTTATTTTATTACATTAAAATTTAATTTGTATTAAAACATCACATCAAACAAATCAAAACCTCTCAGGTAAACACACCCTTGTTTTTAGTGAGTTCTAAGTGATGTATAATATTACTATATGTTACATAGTTAATGATTTATACTATTTGTTAAGTATATTTTAATTTAATAAATTTTATCTAAAATAGAAATATGTTAATTGTTATGTAAGAAACAATTGGTGTGTTTGTTTTGTTTGGTGTGAAATTATTTTTTATTTTTTATTTTTTTTTTATGTGAAATATAAAAAATTATATAAGAAAAATGTCAATTAAAAATAAAGTGGACTGAATATTTTTGTAAGCACACTAGCGCACTTAAAATTAAAATGATTAAAATTATGGTTGAAATAAATAATTATTTTCAGTTACACTTAAAAATCAGACTTACAAAAAAACAATAGCACCAAAATAAAACAAGTTATCTTATTTTCAAAAAATGGCTTTCTGTACTTATTAGTAATAAGGTGGTTATGAAAGGTGGTTGGAGTATTATTGTGAGTGAAAGCTGATTAGGTCAAAGTGGCTCCATTTATATAATCATCTTCACTCCATTTATTGTTTGTTTGGGCGATTGAATTTAAATGCACTGTTCATTCTATTTTTTTTTTTTTAAAATATCAAATTAAATATCTATTTTTTATTTTTTATATTATTTTAAAAATCAATTTTACATTCAAAACATCACATCAACACCTATTTATATCATATCATACAATTATTCAAATTCAAAATTTTTACTATTCAAATCTCAACTCAAAATCCAAACCCACACACAAACACACTATAATCTTTTCGCAAAAATAACTAAATATATATTTTTTTCAAAAGAAAATTAATATATTATAAATATTCAGTATTATTTATTATTATTTATACAATTTTTTTATAATTCGTACAAAAAAATATCCATTCAAATAATTTTACAAAACAAAAACATCATTTATTTTTGCACTACTTATCTTTTTTTTCCTTATTTATAAAATATCATAGTTCCATAAAAAGAGTAGTACGAGAATTTGTTTTTTACACGTAAATTTTTTAATATTAGCATTATATTAGTTTGTAGTAAAAATGATAAAAATACACTTATTAGTATTGTGTAATATAAAAATAATAAATTTTATGTAATATATTGGTAAGTTATAAAATTATTTATTAATTAAGCGATAGAAATTAAAATTTTTAATTCAACTCCTATGCAGAATAATTATGAACTTATTTATTTTAATTATATTAATAATACAATTAACTTATGTAAATTAATATAAAGACTTTTTACCGTATTCAACACTTATGTTGAATTTTTTTTTCAGCATATAATCCTTGACGTGTATTATCGTTATATGCCATTACTAAATTAAAATATACTCCATCCGTCCCACTTTTATCCTGTCCACGTCGTCAATTCTTTCTGTCTCACATTTCATGTCATTTTTCTTCTTTGGAAAATAATTACATTTTTTAATCTCATTTTAAATTTTTTAATTTAATTTTTTTTTATTTTAATCAAACTAATTACTTATCTTAATCTTAATATATAATAATTTATATTATAAATTAATTATTTTCACTAATACATTTTTAATTATTTAATAATTATATTTATCTTAAATTTTTGTGTTTATAGTAACTAGAACATCTAATGTGGGACTTGAAAGAGTAATATTTTTATTTTTGGATTGACAGAAATAGAAAAAAGTATTTAATATTTATTTTTAATTTCAAATATCAGGTGTATTTGTGTTTTTGAATGAAATATGTTTTTTTTTTATAGTTAAATGTAAAATAATACTTTGACATATGAGTGAGCCGCCACCCCCTAAAAATTCCAACTCACAAATTAAATACATACATAAAAACAATAACAAACAGTTCCTCCGTAGCTATCTATATATATATAACTGCCATACATACATACATACATACACATATATATACAAAATTCGTATATATACATAAACATAATACATATGGCAGCAGTCGTCCAGGAAGAGTTCTTCAAGGCCACCGCCGGCCACCGGGCCTGCTTCGCCGGCGGCTGCGCCACCATCTTCATCGCCATAGCCAGATCCATTCTCTTCATCAAAACTCCCCAGGATCTCCTCCGCTCCACTCTGGCGGCGCTCCTCGGCTACCTCGCGGCGGATCTCGTCTCCGGAATCTACCACTGGTCCGTCGACAACTACGGCACCGCCGAAACCCCATTTTTAGGGTTCCAAATCGAGCTTTTTCGTGTCCACCACAAGCAGCCATGGGCGGTCACAAAATACGACACGGCACGGGCGGTTCACATCGTCGCGGCCGCCGTCGCCGTCCTGCTTCTGCCGCCGGCGTTGGCGGCGCGTGATCCGGCGGCGCTGGGGTTCCTGGCCGCGTTCGGAGGGTTCGTCATGTTCTCCCTGCAGATCCACGCCTGGGCCCACACGGCGAAGAAGAATATTCCGGCGGGCGTCAGGGCGCTGCAGGACGCCGGAATTATTTTGCGGCCGTCGTGGCACGCGGCGCACCACCGGCCGCCGTTCAACAACACGTACTGCAGCGTGAGTGGCTGGTGCGACCCTGTTTTGGATAAGCTTAAGGTTTTTGAGACCATGGAGGTTGTGCTGTTCCACGTCGCCGGAGTTCGGCCGCAGTGCTGGAGCGAAAACAAACTCCGGCGGGATTCCGGCGATTCGACGATTGATGAAGTTGAGGAATGAATTATCAATATAATGGTATCTATATATAATATAATATAATATAATACATATATATGACATTTAGCGCTGATTTTACTTATGAAGTACCGATATATATATGTTGAATAAATATTTCAGCATATTTGTATTTGTATTTGTATTTAATAATCAATATATGAATACATATTCTACAATAGATTGATTTATTCAACAATATCGTCACTACATTTATATATGAAGTTTAAAATTTAGCAAACAACACAGTATTAGTATTAGCAACACATCATTTATATTAATATAATATAATTATTTATATTAATATAATATAAATACAACACATGATATAGTTTCACACCATATATACAACAATTAATTTTAACATATACCGGACTCTTATACAACGGTAATTATGAACAAACCGACATATATTTTTATTACATACAAATATCTTTTCTAAATTTTACGTGTGCCACGGTGCTAACCCTTTCCATTTTACTATATTAAAATAACATTTATAAATCAACAAGAAATATTATTGTACTGATCGAATGTATATATACATGTGTGTCAGTACATATTTGAATTCGATTTTTTTGGATATTTTTTTAAAAATATTTTTGTTCAATTTCAATTTCACATTCATATATTTCAATTTTGGTTTCTAGGCAAATTGGAAATCAGTTCGAATTCAGTATTCATCGATTTGACTGAATTCAAATGGACCACAATTAAATTGAATTTAATTAGTAAAAAATATATATCAAATTTAATTGTATAATTTAGGATGATTAATATTTAAAAAATATTATAGAATATGGGTGTGTTTGTTTGGGGATTTAGATTTTGAGTTGAGATTTGAATAGTAAAAATTTTGAATTTGAATAGTTATATGATGTGATATAAATATGTGTTATGTGATATTTTGAATGTAAAATTTATTTTTTAGTATAATATAAAAAATGAAAAATAGGTGTTTGATTTGATGCTTTTGAAAAAAAAAAAAGGATAAATAGTGTATTTGGGAAAAAATCCCCCAACAAACGCACCCGGGTAAAACTAAACAATAGTATATAATTCAAATATAGGTATATAATATTAAAAATTAATTGAATTCGAAATTGGATAATTCCAAATTAAAAAAAAAAAAGTAAAATAATTTTTGATTTAATTTCAAAATTTGTAAATTCAGAATATTTGAATCCCGTACAAATTACCAAACTACTGAATTCAATTTTTCGATTTAAATTCAAATTCGGTCTCGATAATTCAAAGTTATATAATTTTGGACACCCCTAAAAAACTTATACCCAAATTATCCATACAGATAACAATTTTAGATTTATGACATTATTAATTAAATCATGTTGATTAGACCAGGAAGGTATGTAATTAATGTTAGGGATGTCAAATGGGACGGGTTAGTCCCGGACCCGCTCTTAATGGGGCGGGTTCGGGTCTAAATAATATGTTTTTTGGCGGATTGTGGATTTGAAAATTTAAACTCGTCCGGGTTCGGGGCGGGTTAGAGGTTTTACTAAAAATCGTTCCAATCCGGACCCGGACCGGAACCCGAATATTTTAAAAATTATTATAACTAATATATATGTATATTATATAATAAAAATATATTATTTATTTATTTAAATAATTTTAAATATAAAATTCAATTTGTCGCCAACCCCAAGTAATTTTTTAAAATTATTATACCTAATATATGTATATTTATATAGTAAAAATATATTGTTTATTTATTTAAATATATTTTAAATATAAAACTCAGTTAGTTGTCTGCCCCAATCCTAAATCCCTAATTTTTTTTTCTTTTTCCGCTTCTTCAACCGCGACTGCTGCATCTTCCATCTTCATCTACTTGTCTTCCGCCGACCACCACCGCCCACCAGTGCCAATATAATAATATGTATATGTATACATATATTTAATTAGGTACTAGTGGATCGACCGTTGCATCAAAAAGTTATCCTCCTACAATGCTAGATGAAGATGAAGACTTTGATGTTGAAGAATGTTAGAATTGACTATTTGATGTTTTAACTTCTTATATTTGAATTGTGTTTATGTACTTTTATCTTATTTTGTATGGATCAATATTTGATTATTTTTATATTTTTTTAGTGCTTTTAATGCTATTTGTTTTAGTATTCGATTGTTAAAAAAATATTTATTATTATATATTTTTTTAAAAAACGGATTTTCCGGGTTGGTCCTGGGGCCGGGTGGAAGCGGGGTGGGTCTCAGGGCCTAATATTTTCTAGCGGGGAGGGTCTCCAAAGCCTGCAGAACCCGTCTCGAACCCGCCCGGTTGACATCCCTAATTAATGTAGATGTAAATTTAATGGTTATATATTTGAAACTCATTAATAAATGGAGTAAGGGATCCTATCCAACTATATTACCTAACTTATTATTATTATTATTATTATTATTATTATTATCCCATAATTAGGTATTTATTTGTTTATTGCAAGTAGTTTTAAACATATTAGTATTATATTGGAATGTAGTAGGAATAAAATAAAAATGACTAAAATAACCTTATTAGTATGGTGTGATATAAAAGTAATGATATTTGTATAATATATTGTAAGTGGTAAGAGTATTTGTAATGTTAGGTAGATAGTACAGTTATTAAAAAAGAAAATAGATACTTTGTTATGAGACGGACTGAAATAAAAAAAAATGAATACTTTATTATGAGACGAAGGAAGCATTATTAGTATTAACGTAAGAACCATAATCTTATAGTTTGTAAATTAAGCTTGTTAAAATAAGTCATATTAAATAAACTATTTGTGATACACAGAACTTGTAAACATAAAAAGAAAAATTAAATTTATGATCTCAATGTTATAAGTTCACTTTACACTACAAAGTAGAACATTTTTTTTCTTTGTTTATCGACCCAGGCATGCATCCCTCTATGTACCACTACAATGTATGGTTAAAGTTTATGTTTTTATTTTATGTTTAAATATAGGTTAATATATACTCCCTCCGTTCCAATACAACAGTCTTGTTTACCATTTTTGTCCGTCCTAAAATAATAGTTTTATTTCCATAAATAATCATTATCACTGTAAAACTACTCCTATTTTTTCATTTTTATTACACAGTTGTCACTATTTTTTACACTAATACACTCACAAGGACAAAAAAATCTTTTATCCATACTTTTACTCAATACTAATATAATATCAATATTCCTTAAATTTCGTGTGCAATCCAATTAAGAGTATATTTATGGGATGAATGAGTAATATATAATAAAATATAAAAAATTTATAATAAAAAAATTGAAAAATGAATTTACAAAAGAATGGTGCCTATACAATATGGATTATGTATTATTGAGGATTCAAAATTTTATATCAAATATCTATTTAGGGTGTGTTTGTTTGGGTGCTTGCATTTTGAGTTGAGATTATAATAGTAAAAGTTTTGAATTGTAATAATTGTATGATGTGGTATAAATAAGTATCGATGTGATGTTTTAAATATAAAATTAATTTTTAGTATAAAATAAAAAATAAAAAATATATGTTTGATTTGATATTTCTCAGAATTATTTTTATTTTTTTTAATGAATAGTAGAATATTTGGAAAATCCCCAAACAAATTATTTAAAGCATCAAAGCAATTTTATTTTCAAACCCAACTTCAAACCTACATTCAAAAATACTTTAAGCGTTGGAATAATCTGGCGAAACTATATCGTAATTTATTATTCAATTAATTGAACCACCCTTTATTATAATTTTATTTATTTGTTTAAAGATTGATATATCAAGCTACTTATTAGGTGTGATCGTCTTATAATTATTATTATTATTATTATTATTAACCATTCACATACACATAACCACACATGCAGACGTGTAGATATATACATATATATATATATGTTATAAAATTCATAGCTCATCTAAACTAAGGGTTATTATTATTATTATTTTATTATTATTATTATTCGAATTTGTTATTGTTTATTATTTCATAATATTAGGACAAACTCCCACGGTCTGAACTAAAAGTATATATAATACTCCATCCGTCCCACATATCGTGTCTGCTACACTGTAGATACGGTATTTTAAGAGGGATGTAATTAATAGATAATTAAGAATGTATTAGTGAAAATAATTATCCTATAATATAAATTATTATAAATTAAAATTAAGATAACTAATTAGTTTAATTAAAATTAAAAAAATAAATTAAAAATTTTAAAATGAGATTAAAGTGTGTAATTATTTTCAAAAAAAAAGAAAGTGACATAGAATGTGAGACGGACAGAAATGACAACGTGAACATGTGAGACGGAGGGAGTACCAAAAAAAAATAAGAATGTCAAAATTATTTTACAAATATATATTAACCAATAAAATTTTATTATTATTTTCTTAATCTAAAATAAAAACTCAAAATCAGCGTGGTCGGAGGGAGTATATTTTATTCTCAATAAAATTGAACTTACTAATTTTTATGCCGCAAAATTATATACTAATAGCATATGTAATAAACTAATTTTAAGTATTAATTCCTTTTAATTTTAGTAAATTTGTAGCAATAATATTAACGAACATCTCTTCTCGTGGCAATCTACTAGCTAGCCTGTCCTCGTAGATCAGATTTCACTATTACCTATAGATACAAGTGGCTAGGCTAGGGTTAGTATTCTTTCGGAATTATGACAAAATTATAGCTAGGAATAAACATATCTTCGGACATAATTAAAAGAGTTTCACATTTAAAATAGGATAGAATTGTAGGAGTAAAGATATCTAATGGCAATACATAAGGTTTTTTTTTTTTAATTTTTAATTTTTTATTTTATCACATGTTTTTATTATTCATATTCTTTTTTTTTTAAAAAAAAATATATATCATATCAAACAATTATTCTTTTATATATTATGTTACAAATTTATTTACATTAAAAAAACATCACATCAACCTCTGTTTACATCAAGTCAAACAACTATTTAAATTCTATTTTTTATTATTCAAATATCCAAACCCTATAACCCACAAACAAACACATTATTTTCAAGAATATGATAGAATTACAGAAATATTTAAATTTAATAAGATATGTTGAAAAATGGTTCGAGCAAATCTTTTTTGAACACCAAGAAATGACTAACTCCCTGAGTATATATGCACAACGATGTTATGACATCAGTATCAGATCTATAATAACTACATGATTCGACAACCAAACACTTGTGCAATTCATTTTCTTTCCTTTAGCATACATTGCAATCACTGCGATCGGATGATTTAAAGATTTTTCAACAAATAAGTGGATGTCTATCCTCTTCTAATAAACCAAAATTTGAAATAATTCAATCGTCATTTATATAATTTAACTTGTTTTTTCAGTCTTTAAATGACATCAATAAAGCATTCGTATAATTATTGTGCTGAATTTTGAAATTTATCACCGTACTAATTGCATATTATCTCATTGGGATTTAATGCGACCTTTAAAAAAAAAATCATTTTATTTTCTTTTATTTATGATACATTCTCTTTATACTTGCTAAAAATATTTTAACATATGTTGTTACCGTGAGGTCATTAGTTCAAACCTCTGACGCCTCCAGGTCATCTGCCACACATGGTTCGCCTAGTGTGATTTGCTCGACAGGATATTAGGATCGATCGGGATTTAATTTATCCAGTGCGCACTTTTGGATACTGTTTTTTTTATTGTAAAGAAAATTGCAGTATTTGCCATAGGGATGTAGCATCAATAAAATGTTGGTGTCTCAATCTAAATAAAAGCACTCAAAAACTAATTTGTATAAAACTGAAGAAAATAATAATCCAAAATAGGAATGCAAATATACACATTCTAAATAATTCGTACTGATCGAAACAAAAGAAATGAATCATATTATTATTAATTGTTTCTGTAAATCAATAAAAATTCTTGCTAATTCTAAAAATGCAATATATAAATAAATGTGTAATTATGTACATTAATATTATTACGATAGTAAATTACAAGTGTTATCTTGAATCCAGCCAGGCTGGGGGGAGGTCCAGGACCTCGGCCTGACCCCAAACCTGAAGAAGATGATCATCTCCACAATCTCCAGAAATCTCGAATTGTCCAATACTTCGTTCCAAACGCCACTCACTATGCAGTAATTGTTGTTGTACGGCTCCCGGTGGTGCGCCGCGTGCTGCGACGGCGACACCAGCACTCCGGCGTTCTGCAGCGCCGCCACCGCCGGCGGCAGCCGGCTGCGCGTGGTGTGGGCCCAGGCGTGGAACTGCTGGCTGAACATGATGCAGCCGGAAAACACCGCCACGAACCCTAACCAGACCGGCTCGTCCGTCGCCAGGTTAATGGGGACGACGGCGAACGTCACCGCCTTCCCCAGCGCGTGGAGGTTATTCGCGAACTGGCGGCGCGTGATCGTCCACGGCCATTTGTGGTGTCCCTGGAAAGCGTCGATTTGCGCGCCGAACACAGGCGTGTTGGCTGAGCCGTAGTTGTCGATTCCCCAGTGGTAGATGCCGGAGCCGAGGTCGGCTAGGACGTAGCCGGCGGCTCCGGCCATGATCGGCTCGAGCCAAATGTGGGACGCCGCTGCTCCCGCGGCGGACCTAGCCAGAGAGAGGATCACGGCGGCGCAGCCGCTGGTGAGCCAGGCGCGGTGGGCCCATGTCGATTTCATGTCGGTCGGGTTGGCTATCGCCGGCGGGCGGGTGGCCGACGCCGCTTTGAGAAGCGGCGGCGGCGCGGCGGCGGAGCAACAGACGCGGCGGGGAGCGAAAACGGCGGCGCGGCTGTGGAGGGTGAAAAGAGAAGGTCTTTGAGGCAATGAAACAGTCGCCGCCATAGCCACTCTAGCAAAAATGGTTGCTTTGTGGTGATGGAGTTATTACAAACAAAATGTCGTATTAATTAAATCGAAAATAAATTAAATTGGTGGCTCCAATTGAGGATGAAATAATAATAATAATAATAAAAAGAAATTTCTGGGAATGGAAAAGAAAGGTATATATTGTATTGTAGTATTATATGGTGTGTGTGAAATATAGATAGGAGTGTAATCACTTGCTCCACGTAGATACATCCTTTGCTGCAATAATAATAATAATAATAATAATAATAATGTAATAAGTCAAGGATGACCTAGTCGTATGTAACATATGACTTAAGGTTCAAATACTAACTTTTAGATCACCTATCACATATAATTTTTCCGTAGTTTCACGTTATGAAAAAAATAATAATGTTTATAACTATATTGTTTTAAATAAAAAAATAAAAGTATAAAATACTTTAATAAAAAAAAAAAATATGATGAATAATTATAGATAACCTAAAATATAAAATAAGTGTTCATGCCTATAACTAAATCTTATTTGTGAAAATAATAAACTAAACTTTATGGGTATGTTTTTATTTTAATCTTTTTTATTATATGATATTACATGATTTTTGTAAAAATATATCGTTTTTTTTCATAAAAAAAAGTTTATATATTATTAAAACAAAATAAACTAAAATTTAAAAAGAAACTAATATTATGTACATATTTAATTTTTATAACTCAAACTTGAACTAGCTGAACCAACCCAAATCACACTGCATAATTGGAACTTGAATATGTGGAATAAATCAAGCCCACTAGTCCATTAAAATCTTTCAACCATTTTTTTTTTTTTTTTTTTTAAATTATGAAGTAACGAGTTCAAACTCTTATGTATTTTGGTCTAACTTTGTTGTTGAGATATTTAATTTATTGTTTAAATTATATTTGATTGATGTAAATTATAATTTAGCTATACCCATTAAATTAGGTATTTTACTATTTTGTTACATCCATAAGATTGATTGGTTTGTTTTGAATCTATTAAATTTATATTAAACCTAAATCACTTATTTCATTATCAATAATATCCAAATTCTGAAAATACTTTACAAAATAAAACATAGTAGAGAAACAACGTTTTAGATAAAATAATAATAATAATAATAATATAATTATTTTTTAAGTAAGCATATTTTGATAGGATATTCTTCTACTTCTTTTTTCCTTTTTTTTTTGTTAAAATAAATAAATAAATAAAAATACAATTGTGCCAAAATAAAAAATAAATAAATAACAACGTCAAACAGAATCCACATTTTTTTTGTAATCTTGTTATTGCCACATCATCTGTTCCATAGTTGCAAGAAAACCCCTCCAGAAAGTATTTAAAAAAAAAAAAAAAATGTAACCAGAAAATCAAAATCCCTAAAAACCCTACCCAACTCAACAATCAATCCAATCGAATCCTCCATTAAAGCCAATGATCATCAGCAGTTGAGCTTTTATCATCTCCAATCAAACAACCTGCAGCATATGCATATCAGACTCCATTCTTGTCCTCTTCAAGTTATCCACACAAGACAAGAAACAAAGCCATATCTGTTTACGCCTACACGCCTCTCAGCGGAGTAATTTGTACACACGCCAATCTACGAAGAATTCTATCGATCCATGGCTTGTTCGTGGAAGATTGCCAGAGTCCACAGTCTATTACTGCTATCAATTGCAGGATTCATCATCCTTAATTGCGTCTATACCGAGAAATCGAAATCCTTGAAATCGCCGTTTCGCCCCGTTGACGTATTGCCTCTGCTGCCGAGGCAAGTCTCGTGGCCTGCTCTGACTAAGCTCAACGAAGCACAGAATCTCCTGCCTAAGTTCGTCGGTGCCGCCGCTGCTACGAACAATTCGATTCTGCAGTGGAGTGGATCCTGCTTCTACAATAACACCGCCTGGCTGGTCCTTCACAACAACAGTGGAACCGAATTCGGTGGCGGTACTCTCCACATTAAGGTCTACAGATTTAGCTTCGAGAATTTATTGTTACTGTTAGTCGATTTGCAATTTGAGGAATTTTTTTAAGCCTAGGGTTCTTATAGCTGTGATTGATTTCTCATAGTAGTTAGTAAAGAAGTCAGAAGCATATATTCATAGTTTAGCCATTTGGAAAAGTAGAATTTTATCATAATGGATGAGGTGATCTGAATGGATTTAATCTATGCTGTTAGTGTTGATTGCCTTGTTAACTATCTTATATGAATTTCCATATCCAGGTTAGCAATGCTCATAGTTGGACATGTATGGATCTTTACATCTTCTCGACTCCATATCGAGTTACATGGGACTATTACTTTCTGTCTCGGGAGCATACACTTGAGTTCGAATCATGGGAAACACAAGCTGAATTGGAATATGTGAGTTGGCTTTATCTAAACTTTTGTGTTATGACATTATATTGTATCCTTTGTTTTTCTGATTTGATGAAATTCCTATGGAAATTAGGTTAAAAATCGAGGGGTCTCGATCTTTCTTCTGCCAGCAGGGATGTTAGGAACACTTCGTGCTCTCTGGGAAGTGTTTCCTCTGTTCTCCAATAGTGAATGGGGTGAGAACTCTAATCTAAAGTTTCTTGAAAAGCACATGGATACTTCCTTTGAAGTTCGGCCTGAACCGTGGGTTACCAACATCACTGTTGATGATATCCACTCTGGAGATTTTCTTGTTTTGTCCAAAATCCGGGGTAGATGGGGTGCTTTCGAGACCCTGGAAAAATGGGTTACAGGGTCTTATGCTGGCCACACCGCGGTCTGCTTGAGGGATTCGGAAGGAAAACTATGGGTTGCAGAATCGGGACATGAAGTAGATGTAAGTCTTTGACTTATCCCATGGTATTTTGGCTTTTTGGATTTCATTTGAAGCTCTGAACTCATGCGATCCTTCGAAGGATTCAGTTTCAACTTTATGAAGCCACTATGAACTTAGCAACAAATAAAATCAAAGTTGCTGTAAATGATTTTGTTTTCAGCAATCTTTTATATCGATTAAAATTGGTTCCATTTTGGGGTAACATATGCACCTTGTTGAATTTGCACTTCTGTAGGGAGAAGATATCATTGCAATCATGCCATGGGAGGAATGGTGGGAATTCGAGCTGACTAAGGATGATGCAAATCCTCAAATAGCTCTTCTTCCTTTGCATCCAGACCAACGGGCCAGTTTCAACGAGACTGCTGCCTGGGAATATGCTAAAAGCATGTCGGGAAAACCTTACGGTTATCATAACCTGATATTTAGCTGGATAGACACAGTTAATGACAATTTTCCAGAACCCTTGGATGCTCACATGGTAACTCAACTCTGATGTCGATTATAGGCTATTGACATCTGCTTAAAATTTATTGCTTTTTTCATTTCTTGCCTGTTCTGATATATGGGATATCGGCAGGTGGCTTCTGTTATGACTGTTTGGACTCAGATGATGCCTGCGTATGCCGGCAACTTGTGGAATGAAGCGCTGAACAAACGACTAGGAACTCAGGTATGATTGCTATTAGACTTATTATAGATTTTGGATGAAATTTAAGCTTGTACAAGGGTAATTTCGAGTTATCTAAGGGGTTTTCTACAAGTTTCAATTGAACAATCTTTGAACAAAAACTTGTCCACTTTTGCACTTGTGCCTGCAGAACTTAACTCTTCCTGAAATTCTTGTGGAAGTCGAGAGGCGGGGATCATCGTTTGGCGAGTTATTAGCAAAACCCGAACAAGACAATTGGGTTTATGAGGATGGGATGTCGGCGTCATGTGTTGCCTATGTCTTCGAGCTGTACAAGGCAGCAGGATTGTTCGGAAAATTATCCAGCAAAATTCAAGTCACTGAGTTCACAGTGAGTGTGACCTAACATCTTCTAACTAATACACTTAAAGCATTTTTACTAGTGCATGTTCTTAACTCATCTTCGACGCTTTCAGATAAAAGACGCCTACTCCGTAAAGTTCTTTGAGAACGACCCTCGCCGTTTGCCCAAATGGTGCGACGAAGGGGACACGGAACAACGACCCTTCTGCCAAATCCGAGGGAAGTATAGAATGGAATTACCAGGTTACAACACTGTCGAACCGTATGCCCACATGAACGAGAAGTGCGAATCCTTGCCGACAGAATATTACAGAACTCCAGGCTGCTAATGTTAGGCAGTTCCCTCGAAATTCATTCATATTATATACTAATTTCTAGCATTTAGAACTTTTATCTTCACTACACCAGTATGTTTGGACAGATTAGCACATATTTTTGGAAATATTGGGCGTAATCCCGGGTCGACTGTACAGCTATACCGTAGACGAGGTTTTGATAATATTGTATGGTTAGAAATAGAATGCTTCAGCTTATCTAACTTAACGAACTAAAGTCGAACTACGTTTTCATCTCCCTTTATTCAACTAACAAACAAACTTTGAGTTCAAATCTATATTGTCAATCATCGAAAGCACCACAAAAAAAAAAAATAGTGAACCAACCAAAGCCATTAATCTTTATTTAAAATCATCTAAGGATAGTATCGTTAAATATTGTCAATCATCGAAAGCACAACAAAATATTTACATTATACGTACTGAAATAACAGAGGGGAAGAAACCATTAACGCCGCTATTCAGCAGCCTTCAGGGCAACATGGTTCCCGCCGGATGCGATTTTGTAAATATAAAAAAGGGTCATCACAGCACTGCAGATAATAGGGCACTTGTAAGAATCATTTTCATGTATTTTAACTGAAGCAAATCAAAGAGACTTGTGATGTGTAAGTTTCACAAAGAAACGACGATAAAATAGATAGATGGATACTAATAATTTCTTGGGGCAAACCACAGATTTGTCACCAATATCTTGAAAATCTAGGAATGTGTGTGGCAACCATGAATCATGAATTTAAACGTTACAGTCATACAAGTTCGAAGGCCTATCAATGTAAATCTACGAATTTATTTACCCACGGCATCAAGTTTCATACTTTCATCTACAAACCATGAAAATGTCGTAATAATGAATAAGCACACACTCAATGCACTTAAGATAATGACCATAGTATAATCTCTAGACTACAAACTGTTAAAATCTTACTACATTGGATCATGTAGATTTAGATAACAGAAGAAATGAAGGCATCATCCAACACCAAAGCATAGCGATAACTTTAGAAGAAAGCCACGAATATTATACACTGACCTTCGAAATATAAAACCGATTACTTGTATCTATATTTCTCAGTTATGGCAGACAGTCACACAAGCAATGGAATCATTGATATTGTAACACTTAGGATCAAGGCAGAAAGCTCGATTGGACAAAGATTAAATGGCATAGCCCATAAAAATTTTCAGTTCACCTGATTCCAGCAACGATTCCAGCTGGCATTATCTTCCGAGTTTGAAAGTATCTATTTCCCATGATCCATGTTAAAATAGCAGCAATAACTGTTAGAGCAGAACTTTAGTAAGCCGAGCACAGATCGATCATTTTGTATGCTAAGCAGGAATCAAATTTCTAACAGAATGAATACTGGATTCAATTTCATATCATAAATGACATCAATTTGAAATTTCTGCAACCCACAGGCACAGTGAGGTCTTAGTGTTGAATTTCCCTAGTGATGTTTACACCATTCAGTAAAATATTCATATATATATATATATATAAGCTCTTTAAGGCTACGCCATGGCTGAAAACAGAGCTTGGATTTTAGGCAATGGAAAGAGCTATAACAACTATTGAGATGTTCTTCAACCAACAAGCCTCGAATCACTGAAATCCTTCTTTGAATATAAAACAGTTTTAAAAAATGGTGCGAAACAATAAAATCAACCTAACCTTCTGCTTCAATTACGATCGTACCCAAACATCCAATCCGTCGGTTACAGATCAAAATCCAAATAGTGACAGCATAAAATTGGGGAAATATCTCGATTGAACTAACAAATTCACAGTTCTATATGCATCGAATTGGTTTAGGGTATCGATACGAGAAGAAAGCGTGGATTATAAGATAATTCGGCGTCAAACATACCAGTTTGAAGGATCAACGCGATGTAAGAGTTGGTTTGCTTGTTGTAAGCTTGGAGGCTGAGATAAGCAGCGAGGAGGAGGAGCAATCCGGTGGCGAGGCCGCCGATGAGCGACGGTGTGCTGCGTTTCCTGGCGTATCCGATGAGGCCGCCGCAGACGAGAAGTATCCCGTAGGGGAAGGTTAAGTAGTAATCGTTCATTTGGAGAAACGTATCTGAAACTCAATCTGTATGTGGAAAGGGAAGGGAAGGGAAGGAGATAACAGATGAGGTGAGAAGTGAAGTGATGAAATGACCTGTGCTGAGGGTTTTTGGTGTCTCGATTTTGACTTCTGACCAGGTCGGCGGCGTTGACCATTGTCTTTTGCTGTTTTTCCTTTCATTTTTATGGTTAAATCGGCTTGATCAAGCATTTCGAAAATGTTATCATCAAGACGATGCATTTAAAAGTTAGAACCCACTTTTAAATTTCTTTCGTAACCCTTTTTAATTTAGGGACAATATAATTCAAATCAATATAATATTTTATAGTCTTTTCAATCGAACAATTTTCATGTCTTCGTGTGAAAAAAATCCTATAAAAATATAAGCAATATATGCTCTGTTTAAGTCCTTTTTTAAAAGAGTTAAAATTCATTCTCAAGTTTCATATGTCTCATTGCTTACAACATATGCCAAAATTACAATTAATTGTTATGTAATATTTGCTATATTTGCTGAATCTATGGCTCATTAAGAAAATCTTCTTCTAATTCCACTGGCAAAATAGTCTTCCAAATTCGATAGGGTCCACCTTTTGGCCCTATATATTTGTATTTGTTGTTGGAATATATAAAATGTAATGTCTTCGATGATATCTATCCTAAATCTCTTTATAAGCCTTGTAGAATTTGATCAAAACAAATTGAAAATAATGGAGAAAGCGGATTACATATGTCCCGTAATGGATGATCCAGATACCACAAAAATAAAAACTATAGAGCACATGCAAGTAATGGATGACCTGGTGATATGGGGTTGGACGTATGACCGTGAGATCATGTGTTTAAACCCCTGACGCCTCGAGTCACCTGCCGCACATAGTTCGCCTAGTATAACTTATCTGTCGAACCTAGTTTGCAGGGTATTAGGTTCAACCGAAATTTGTTGAATGCGCACTTTCGGATAGCAACTCATGTTCTCATGTAATATAAAAAAAAAAACTGATATAGCACGAGTTGACTTTGTAATCGAAGTCTAACACAAACGCACAGTTGTGTTTGAATCTAATAAAAGAATACGGTCATAGTCGTTGCCCTGCTCATTGAGCAAACACGGGCGTGGCGTGTTCATTAATTGAACACACACACAGGTGTTGTCGCATAAGGGATGCCAACTCCTAAGCCCAGAGACAATTAAAAATGTAGAAAATTTCATCCTGAGACACAAAATATATGTATATATATATATATCTTAAAGTTAAATTCAGACCAACATACATATTATAATTACTGATTTCGGAAGAATAGCCATACCTCAAACAAACAAAAATTGCTCTGAACCAAATAAACACTTAACTATGAATGCATTGAACTCAAGAGTTTAAGTGCCAGCTCTTCTTGCTCCCGCAGGGTGATCTTATCCTTCATTTTGATCTTATCTCTGCCATCGTCTTCATTGTCACTGTCAAAATAGACCTTTTGCTTTTTATTGGAATTACCAGTGTTCGCCTCATTATCCATGTCGGACTGATCCTCTTCGCTTAATCCACTCTCCTCCTTATCCTCATCTCTGCTTCTCTTTCGCTTCATCTTTTCCTTTCGACGTTTCTCTTTGAGCCTCTCTTTGGCCAAGGCCTTATCCTCCTTGTCAGCCACTTTCATCGCCTCCCTCAGCTCAGCGTACCTTTGACTTACTGCAAGATGGGAAGAACATAACACATTTAAACCTTAAAATCATGGCATTATGTTAACAGTATGAACCTTAAATCCAAGCATGTCTATTGGTCGAATACAGACTAGAAGGAAATTGAGTTAGTAGCCATTAGATAGTAAATAAAATGTAAAGTGTAGCGCAATAGTAAATAAAATGTAAAGTGTAGCGCAAGAAATGTGCATTATATTCGACACACAGAAACCTACCTTTGTCCTTGTCTAGCTTAACAGAATCAGCATCCATCTTAGTGTCGGCAAGTTTTGCTAGCGGGGGTAAGGTATTGCCCTCCTCATCAAATACGACTCTTGTTCCCACGGGTCTATGAACATTAATCTTCAATTTCTTTTTCTTTAAAACCCTCGTAACAGGCCTAAACATAATACAAGGAAAACAAACCACGTAAGCTTAGTGAAGATCAACAAATTGATTTAGACAATGGCCAGAAACAAAGCTTCAATCATCATTCATAAATGGAACAGAAGAGATATTCGAGGGATTAACCAATATTTCCTCCACCCACCCACCATTAAATAATCTATTATTAACACAGAGTGGAGATCTATCTTGTTTCAGCACATCTTTTTATGCATACTATCGGAATTTCAAAATACCCAAATAAGAGACATAAAACAGAACAAGGAACCATTCTCACTTACATAGAATCTTTAGTGTTAGTCACATTTTCTTCCCCGACAAGCAGAGGTTCCCTTTCTGCTAGAAAACCCTCCTCCAGCTTTGAGTCATCTTCCTTGGAACTGCCGGGAACCATACTTCCTTGTTGAGGATTAGAGGGACTTTCCACAGCACTAATAGGAACAATGACCATTTGTTCAGACACTTTCTTGTCCTTTGTTTTTTGTTTCAAAAATCGGACCTTGGGTGTCATGGGTAGGCCTAATGATGCAGAATATTCATCAATTGGAAGTTGTGAAACATCAAAAACTTCCTTGTCGCGTTGTTTATGGACAGATCTCAAATATGTGATGAAGGCTCTCTGAGCCAGTTGCTGCAAATTGGGGTACTTGGCTAATAAAGCCGCCATCAGTCCAGAAACTGGTTGCAATAACTTTGCTTTTACCTGTAACAAATATACATATATGTGTTAACATTACTTTAAAGAAAAAAATAGAAGCACAAAGCATGGCTACACAAACCAAAAAAACAGAAATAAAAAAACAACAGATATGTCATGATCAACCTTCACACACTCAATAGGGATCTTCTTTTCTTTTAATTTGTCGATCATCTTTGTCTCTGAGGGTGTGACAAATAGAACAGAGTTCCCACCAGAGCAATACCGTGCAGTGCGCCCCACTCGGTGAATGTAGGAAGCAACATCATCTGGGCAATCTGCCTGTAACGTGCAAAATAAAACGATTATATTACTCACTGTTCCCTCCTTTATAAACAGACATCAAATTGTGAATGTGATAAAGAGTCGTGTAGAAGATAACCTGGACAACCCAATCAACTGCCTGATTGAAATCAAGGCCCCTAGCTGCAACATCAGTACAGAACAGAACGGAATGCTGCTCACAAAATTGGGAATATATTCCAGTGCGCTTGTCCTGCTTCATCCTTCCATGCAGACACTTCAGAGGGATCCCAGGTCGGAGCTTCTTGAATGCCTCAAAAACAAATTTCACCTGAAGTGCAGCAACAGCCACCAGTAAGAAAAGTCAAATCGAAAATGAATTAAATTGAAAAGAAAGACCTGCTAATAATTTATCATTAATTCATGGCTCAAATATCAAAGTTCATATATTAAAGTATATTAGATTATCTCATTGGTTGTAAAGCTATAGCATTCATGTATTTCCATGATTTTAGGTCTATTTTCGGACAAAATCTGCTGGAGATCACTGATTTTATCAAGTTGACAAAGTCAAATTTGTTTTGAATAAATATGAACAGCTTAGAGCTAAGCTAACAAATCAATGACATGGAAAAATTGTGACAGACATTGAGCACAGCCATAGAAACAAATAAATAAAGAAATAAATAAAAATCTCCCCTAGCAATTAGCAACAAAAACAATTAATCTTCGATGAGCTTTCTGAAACTGGTATTCAATGAGCTAATGGGGTTTTATATAATATAGTGATAGGTCTTAACAGAATCATTACCTGTTTGCAGCTTGAGAGGAAGACAAGTATCCTCGATTTAAGATGTGTCTTTATAAAACTCCACAACATGTCCAATTTTTGGTCGAGAGGAACAACAATAGCTGTCTGCTTTAAACGACTGGGAGTAGCAGTTTCAGATTCTTCATCCACACTAATGTACTCGGGATCTTTCAAGCTAAGTCTAGCAAGATCTTGAACAGACTTAGTTTGGGTTGCTGAAAATAGGAAGGTTTGTCTATATTTGGGTAACTGAGATATTATTGCATTCACTTGTTTCTTAAATCCCTCGTCAAGAATACGATCTGCCTCATCAAGAACCAAGACCTGTTTGCTGGCCAGAAAATTTAAAACCAAAGTCAGCCATCATTGGCAGCCTCACAATCTATGCAAAGAAACAAATCTCAGATGCCAAAAATTCCTTAAAGCACAAATCATAAAGGATGACAGACACGTAGGAGAAGAAAGTATGTCGAAGTAAGACCTGTAGCTGTGGACAATCAAAATTTGGGGTTTCATCCATGTGGTGAAGAAGACGGCCCGGAGTGCAAACCAATATATTCAAATTATTTACACGCTCCTTCTCTGTATCGACATCTTTGCGACCACCAATCAACAGTCCCGCGCTAAAACCATGGTATCGCCCAACAGATTTCAATACATCAAAAAGCTGACCACCTAATTCCCTTGTAGGAGAAATAATGATGCATCCAACCCCATCCTCCGAACCCCATCTAGCACGGAATAGCTTTTCTAAGACCTGAACAACAAATGGTGAACATTCATTGAAGCATGATAATTATACAAATGGGTAGCTAGCAGCAAATGATCAGGTTCTTTGTTGACAACGTCAAACAAGAACAAAAAATCACAAGTGAAGCAGAATTCTACACACATGAATGCTTGGAACTCATTAGGGTGTGTTCATTTATGGGATTTTCCCAATATTTTACTGTTCACCAAAATTTTTCCTTTAAAAACATCAAATCGAACTATACTAAAAATCAATTTTACTTTCAATTCATCGCATCTTTAACGGCAATCAAACAAAAATCCTAAGAACCAATGCGAAGGCTGTTTGTTAACTCACAGGGACAATAAAAGCCAGCGTCTTGCCAGACCCAGTCTTCGCTGCACCGAGGATATCTCGACCGCAGAGCGAATGCGGGAGCGAAGCCCTCTGAATATCAGTCATCTTAGAATAGCCGGCGGCTGCTAAACCATCCTTCGTTTTCTTTGACAGCGGCAATTGGATGAATTTAACGGCACTGGAGTACGGAGAAAATGACCCATCGGAAAGTTTACCGATTCGGGAGTTTTTCGGCGGCGGAGGCAGAGATAGGGGGTTGGAACCCGCGTCCGGTTTGCCCGAAGCGATCCAGGATTCAAGTAACTCGATTTCTTCAACCTCCGAATGGCGTTTCCGGAGATTGAATTTCCTTGACTTAGGTCGTTTCATTATTGAATGGACCCGTCGAATTCCGGCACAAGATGGTCGTGATGGCTGAGGATTAGGGTTTTAGAGCAAGAACCCTCTTCCAGTCTACCCACGTACAAAACACAAACAACGGAGTATTGCCCTTGTCTTGATGGATCAAAATAATATTAATAATATTTACAATATATATAAAATATAAGTAATTATATACATATAAATATATAATATATTAATTTTAAAAATACATATATACATGTAAAAAAAAAACCATCTATAGTTATCCATATAACCATTGACGTTTAAAGAAATAAAATTAATATATAATTAAAAAAGTAAAATAAAATTAGTATATAATTTAATGGCGAACCCTCACCTCTGGACACCCACAACTCTATATACTTACATATATATATATATATTGTTATGTAATTATACAGCTATTATTTATTTTTTAAAAAACATTTTGTCCTTCAAAAAACTGGTTTGATAAAAAAATATATTCAAATATAAAACAAAATTCTAATAAAAGAAGTAAGCACAACTTGGTGAATGGAAAAAATATAACACATTTTTAACCAATTCGAAATTGAATACTTTGGACTTGCTCTTAAACTTGTTTGAGGAGATTAGTAGAAATATAAGGGCCGGCCACAAAGAAAATCCAGAAGCAAGTTCAAAACGAGAAGATACATAAGAATCCGGTGGTGAAGCTCATAGTATTTCCTACAAAAACCATAAAATTGCCAGTTCAATTATATTATTATCAGCATGGTAAGAGGCTAAACATCCCTCATCCATCACCCAGTCGACGACGACGGGCAAAAATGCGGGAAGGAAGTCAGGGGGGCAGCTCGAACACCTGAACGATGATGATCGCGCAATATCAGTTTTCAGTCGACCTGTTAAGGCTTGCCGTCATGGGACACTCCATTCTTTTGATCGAATTCCATCTTAGAAGATTCAGGGAACCCGACTCCACTTGCAAATGATGGCTGCTCGGAGAATTGAACCTGCGCATCTTTCATGTTTTCTTGCACAGCCTGCAACACGGCAACACCAAACTTTAGAAAGGCAAGAAATTACGACGATCCAGATGGATTGAAACAATTTAGTGGTTCAATCATCACCTGTAAAAGCTCGGTCATCCGGCCAGTTCCATAGCTGAACAAAGGTTTCATAACCATGCCAGAATCTTCAGGTGAAGATTTCGCAGTGTCCGCCTTTGCATCCTCAGTTTTACTATCTGACATTTGTGAGGAGCCGGGAGTAGAATCTATGTCGGCTGGTGTCATGAGCTTCGATCTTTCTTCTGAGGTGGCGTCATTCATCGAAACATCTTCTTTCTCAGTTTCTGCAGCAACTTCGTGGTTGGAATGGCCTTGGGCCGACGCAAAAATCTGGCCGGCTGGAATGGATTGATCCGGCGGTAACATGGATAGCGGCTCGACCATATGGACATCTTCGTCTCCGGGGTCGGAACTCAGGGATTCACTTGGAATATTATTAGCAGGCTGATGTACGGCGGGGGTCAAGTTGCCGTTCGCGATCCTTCGAGGTGTGTATTTACGCTTTGAAGGCGTCGTTGCAGGAGTTTGTTCGCCGAGCTTCTGGCCATGGGACTGCCCCTGGTTTACGGGAGGGAGGGGGATGTCCTGTCTTCTGATCATTGGAAGGTGCGGAGCAATATCATTTTCGGGAGTAATGGGAACACAACCTCCTGGTTTAAAAACCATGCCCCTCAGCCTTGTATTCGAGTCGCCAATTCTAACACTGAGTAAATAACCAGCATCAAATGTGCCATCGATAACGCCGGTCACTATTTGACCAATTGCGGACTCGGATCCAGCAGATCTTTCGGGTGGCGGAGGATTGTTTTGCTTTGCAGCAGAACCATGAAATAGATTGGCAGCTTCAGCGTGCTTAAGGCTTGGATCTTTAGGTGGACGACCACGTCTCCTCTTTGCTGGCACGATTGAAAGATTCTCGGAGTTCTCCCCTTGATTAACTGAATCCATACTAAGAATTGCAGTCAAGAGTCTTCACTTGCGTGCCCTGTGTTATGTAACACTGCACATAAAAGATGAAAAAGACTTCACAGATGTGTAATAGTCACTCAATTGCTACAGGTTGCTAATCATAAAAACAAACAGAAGAACGACGGATCTAATCATCTGGGGCACCATATATATATAAAAGTATCTTCAGATTATTTGATACTAGTTAACAACTCATCAGGTTGAGAAGACTATATTATAAACAGGGGCATTATGATTAACAAATATCAACTTTCGCTTGCAAAGTATGGACAACCAGCTTTCTAGGGACAAAATTTCAGCCAAAATCTGGTTCAATTACAAGTTAGTACAAATATTAACGGCATAGCAGCGGAGAAAGATAAGCTTTAGGTTCTGAAAACAAGTGCAGACAATACATCCTTCAAAAGATGAATGCAAACAAACAGAAATCTCATTTTGATTGACATCCAGCAAATTGACACACACACAACCCATGTAAATAGTGAATGAGCAAGAGCCTTAAAATGCTGAGAGTAAAATATTTTAACACCAAAATTTAAGATAAGAGCGATGCAGCAATTATGACGTTCGTAATGTTAAGTAAAAGCGAAGGACACCACTCTGCAATATATATCGAGAACATATAACTCTCCTATTCACATATCGAAAAAAAAATAAAATTGTACAGCAGATCCGATCATAAATAATAAAATTGTACAGCAGAATTTGCACGACCACCCAAATACAAGCAAACTTTTATCCTACATGAATGTAAAACTCATACAATTTTGACAAGAGCCAATAAACAATACAAAAGAAACAAGGACACATATTTACCTTAAGAGGACTACGGATGACTTAATGGAAGATATCATGAAATTTAAATCAAGACATAAATCATATGCAATCCATGTGAATTGATGTTACCTTTCAATGCTAAACAACATTAGAGCAACCATCAAAGCTTGATTGAAATTTATGATGATGATGTTCAATATAGACTACCTGATGCAAGTCGTTTGAGCCGCTCTAGATCTCATCGCCCTCGCATAACTCACTTCATGTGTGTAATTTATGCCATTCTAGATAGTATAGCCTTCTAAATATTATCGCCCTCACATAACCTACTAATGTAAGTAATTTAAACCATTCCAGATATTACCGCCCTCACATAACCTACTAATGTAAGTAATTTAAACCGTTCTAGATATCATCGCCCTTACATAACCGACTTGTGTCAGTAATTTAAACCGCTCTAGATATTGTCGTCCTCACATAACCTACTCGTGTTAGTAATTTAAACCGCTTTAGATATTATCGCCCTCACATAACCTACTAATATAAGTATATTAGACCGTTCTAGATATTATCGCCCTCACATAACCTACTCGTGTTAGTAATTTAAACCGCTCTAGATATTATCGCCCTCACATAAACTACTAATACAAGTATATTAAACCTTTCTAGATATTATCGTCCTCACATAACCGACTCATGTCAGAAATTTAAACCTTCTAGATATTATCGCCCTTGTATCGTTCTAGATATTATCGCCCTTGAGACATTCTAGATATTATCGCTTCCTAGATATTATCGCCCATAATTAACTTCACACGTTAGTCATTTAAGCCTTCGTAGATATTATATCCTTCACATAACCCGTTTCACATCCTTAATTTAAGTTACTCTAGATATTGTCGCCTTCGCATTATCCACTTCATACCAATAATAAGTTGTTCTAAACTTTATTACTTTCCAGTTCTAGCTATTATTGCATTCACATAACCCACTTCATATCAATAATTTAAGTCATTCTAAATATTCTCACTTTCTAGATATTATCGCATTATAGCGCACTTAATGTCAGTAATTTAAGTCGTTCCAAATATTATCACTTTCTAGATACTATTGCATTCACACAATGCACTTCGTGTTCGCAATTTAAGCCATTCTAGATATTATCTCTTTATAGATATCATTGCCATCGCATAACCCACTTCATCTCAATAATTTAAGTTATTCTATATTAATCGCTTTCTAAATAATCTTGCCCTCATGTATTGTGTTCTAGATGTTATTGCTTTCTAGATAGTCCCGCACTCAAATTGTTATAGATATTATTGCTTTTGCATAACCCACTTCACATTAGTAATTTAAGTCATTCTAGATATTATCGTCCTTTCATAGTCCACTACATGTTAGTAATATAAGTCATTCTAGATATTATTGCCCTTACATAACCCACTTCATGTGAATAATTTAAGTCATTCTATATATTATCATCACACTCACATAAATAACTTCATGTTAGTAATTTACGTCATTCTAAATACCATCATTTCTAAATATTATCATTTATCACCCTTGTATCGTTCTAGATATTATTGCCCTCGAGTCATTCCAAATATTATTGACCTCACATAATCCACTTCATGTTAGCCATTCTATATATTATCACTTCCTAGATATTATTACCCTTGCATGACCCACTTTACATCAGTAATTTAAGTCACTCTAGATATTATCGCATGCGCATAACCCAGTTGACATCAATAATTTAAGTTGTTATAAATATTATAACTTTCTAGATGTTATTGCGTTCCCACTTCAGGTCAGTAATTGAAGCACATTTTCTACTTGAGTTATGTAGTTAGCATTCTACTATCGGTAAGATTAGTTTTGTTATTCAACATGGGTTAGGATTTGTTTTGCTTTATTATGATTTATAATTAGTCTTGGCACCAATAAAAATAAGCCGTGGAGTATTACAATTAGAGTTGTGTTTTCTTTTGAAAGAAACACTAAGATTGTGAACCTGGAAGCGTTTTTGGCTAATGCCTAACAGGCTTGGTAAATCTCTTGGAATTGGTTTTCTAACAAAATAACAGAAAAAATGTTGTTTGGTTTAAATTTTCCTATGCAAAATTCTTTCATTCTTTTGGGTATTTCAATCCTAATTTGCACTTTTATGTACATTGTACCACACCAAATGGCTTATACATAAGTGCAAGACTAAATTGATTAACATAAGTGCAAGTATTGCACACTTACTATTAATGATGAGAATGCTTCAACCACTACAACTTAGATGATGGTTTAAAATACCAACTTACATCAACACTGCATTTTTTTTGTTTTGGCAACCTATCTTTGTGTAATGGTTGTATTCTTTAAGAGCCAATCCATGAAGAAAATGATTTGAAATCATTCATTAACCGTGCTACTCGGTGTTGTTTTGTCCAAGCTGAGCACTTCATTAAGTTCTTCATATTCAATTTGATGGGAGCATTGAGTATCTAATTTAGATTATAATATTTTATCATATAGTATAGCACATCTTAAACTTGTTTGTACATCCTTCTCATATGTAATTATGTACTTATAGTCTTAAAATGTAGCTATAATTTTATTTCACTTCTTATCCTATAATAGTAATGTAAATTTAAGAAATTGAACTCAAGATACATACATAAATACACACACACACACACATATATATATATATATACATATGGAGTTTAGGGGAAATACTTCTATTCCAAATAAAAATATTAATGATTCACAACAAAGAGTCTCCCATTGTATTGTTGACCGATATAAAGCACTGACAGAAAACTTTCCTCTATTCTAATTTACATGGCATGTAAAAAAATTTTAAAAAATAAATAAATAACAAGATAGCAAGCACTATATGGTAAGATGTAGAAACAGAGCACAGTGATTGATATAGCATTTCTATTGTGTCAGATCCTAAAGACTAAGGACAAGAGAAAACCAAACACTAAGTTTCATTCTTCCTGTCATTGAAAACACCTAGCAAACATACAATAAAACTTTCAATCTCTCTCATTATATAAAATTGTAATTCAAACACATACATATATAACACAATCATACCTATTTACAAGGTTCGACACTTGTTACATACTTAAAAAGTGAACAGAGAGTTTTCTTTTCTTTTTTTAAGAAAATAGGAATAAAAGAATAGAATTTAATAAATAATTCTTACACAGGACCAAGAAATGCAATATAAGTCTCAAAATATTCTTAAAATTTCATTGTAAAAGAAGAGAATCCATCACAACCTTAACTTCAACGTTACTAAAACAAACCTTGCATATACTTAACTTGCTGCAATTAATCTCAGCCAAGTATAATAGTCAAAACAGCGAAGACTTCCCCACGGATTAACCCAGTTTTCATCATTATTAACCGCAGTAAACTGTGTGCAGTACAGCGTAGCAAAAAACTACAAGTTGCACACACCATGAAGAACCACTAATTAGAATTAACTTAAGCTGTCGCGAATTCTTACGCAGATTAGATAACATCTATTTCCATGTTTCCCTTAGCCATATACACACCAACTAATCAACATTTTGTTTTCAAAACAAATACACATAAACCTCACAACTCCTCACTACCAAAAAAAAAAAAAAAAAAAAAAAAGAAGCTAATTCTAACCACCCGCGAAAACAGCGCAACAAACAAAATCTACCAAACAGCAGCCTCAAAAATATTCAATCGGTTAACCAACAACATAATTACTCCAAAAACATAGCAGCGCAACAACAGCAAAGCTCTTGGGAAAATGCGAAACTGCATCGGAATTTCAACCCAAAAAAAAAAAATATATATAAAAAAAAATAATTACTACACAAAATTGAACAGTTAAAAAGAGATTATACCGTTGAGACGTATTTCTGATGAAATAGATTCCTCGAGTAGAATTAGAATTAGAGTTACTGCTTGAGGATTAAAACTGAAGCAGAAATACAGAATAGGAATTAGAATGGTTATTGTGAATCTAAACCCTAAAACCAAACCAGAAAGCAATTTAGGCAGATAGATAATTAATTAATTCGGAAGAGAAGTAGTGGTGGTCACAGACTGCCTGTAAAACTCGGACCAGCCGATCCGGATGATTAACTGCCCGACCGGCCTCCTCCCCGGTCCGGTTTGAAGTTTCAGGAAACAGTTCCAAAATAAAATCACTATTGGAATTAGCTGAAGAAGAAGAAGAAGAAGTACTGTGTGACAGAAGCTTCTGCAACTGCAATTATGTAAAATCAGACGAAGCCAATCGATGAAGAAGGTGAAAGAGAAGAAGACTGTCTTTTGTCTTTCAACTCGATTTTCGCAGTAAATCAAATACACAATTTTAGGGTTCATTAATTATGGACATTATTTTAAACTTTTTATAGTACTGTATCTTTATCTAAATTTTCTTTTTTTTGGAATTTTAAATAATTTTCACATTAAGATTTACCCAAAATTAATGACTGGTAGTATTAATCAGGACATACACAGACAAATGCGTTGCGAGTTGTGATAAAGTGACCGGACGGTGATGTGAGAGTTTGATAATGGTAATTGACAATGTGACGCGTGTAGTCTTGGATGTATTTATGCAAGCGGTGGATACTGTGATGCTAATTTTATCAACGCTAGAGTGTTTGTGTCTTTTATTTTATCCCCAACCAAAGATTTTTATTTTTAATTTTGTTTCCGTGCTTCAAAATTTTACATTTTTCTTTTTATTATTTATATTTTGTAATTTATTTTTATTTAAAATGGATAAATCCTTTTGTATTTTAAGTGAAACTAATATTAAAATTAATATTTTATATGTAAGTATTTTTTACTATAAGGTGAAAAGATCCTTATAACATTGTGGTTAGCCCAAAGATTCAAACTTGGTATATGTTAAACAGCAATTTCTCCCAAAAATAGATTTTGAGAGGCACGTTTCCACTTTCCACCAACTCAAGTTAACAAATCTGACCTGTTATAAAAAGGTTTTTGTTTAAATTCGGCTTATTTAAGTTCAAGTAATAATTATTATAATGTTTTATAAATTTATATATATGTAAAAAGAATACTACTCCCATTACTTTTTTTTATATGAAAATAATAATATGCTAATAAAATAAAAGTATTTATTAAAAATAAAATAAAATTCATACTAAAAAAAAAATTACTATTACTTATAATTAAAAATTCAAAATAAAAAAGCATATAGTCTGTGAATAAATAAATAAAATATTAATTTATTATTTTTAACAAAAACTCGACTTTGTTTACGAGCATAACAAGTTAATTTATATTTGTATTCAATTCATTTAGCTTAGCGAACGAACTTTCAACAGCTCAAAGGAATTAAACTAAACCAAGCTCGCCAAGTATTCGTTTATTTTATAAAATACATACATTATATATAAACATATTGATCAATACAGCAAGTAGATTGCATTCAATTTGCTTTGTAAGTTTCATTATAGTACCTGAAAAAAATTGCATCTCCAGTCTCCACAATTTCTAACCTCCATTATCCATCCGTCATCATGTGTTGTGTAGATTATAACTGTGCATATGATCGACAAATCGACATTGTCGAGGCGAAAGACATGGCTACACTCAAATAGGAAAAAGCCATAGCCACACCATGATGTTTGGTCTCGAATATCTGTAAGGATCATTTCTTTGATGCAGCTTTCTTCTGGGAACCGGATTTCTTTTTAGCAGCTGATTTCTTCTTCGAGCGTTTGAAACCCATTCCACTCTCCTAAACATAACAGAGAAGATCAGATCAGTGACTGATAGATACAACAGCATTGTTTCGAGCACAAATAAAAAAATATCATTTGTAGAACTGAATAAGTGTGCAAAAACCTCACCTTTCGATATTGCCTGTAAGCAGTTCGACCACTCAATTCTTGCCCATTTTTGCTCACATAAACCTGAAAATTATTCAGCAAATGGTAAGATCAAGTGGAGGAAGTAGATGGAAAGCATGCAATATTCACGATGAGAAAAGAGCACACCGAACAAGCTAAAGTTTATCTCCTACTGGAAAAAGAAAACCCAATCTTGATAAAGAATCTACCATTTGTTGTAAGCATTTTGAGATATCAAAACAAAAAGACAAACAGGGTACAAGAATTACATAAATAAATTTACTTGTCAACGAATGAGTTACCTTTCTACCACTTGAGTTTGTGTACCATTGACCGGCACCGGCACCGGCACCGGCATTGACACCATCAGAATCACTAACTGCTTGCACTCTTCGATTGCCGGTATTTTTTGGTGGCCTTGCAGAACTTTTAGGACTTACCCAATTATTACAATCTTGTGATGCACCTTCAACCTGAAATTTTTTAGTATTGTTCTTTCTTCTTGAGGAACTTTTCTCACCTACTGGTTGCTGCCTATTTGCTTGCCTGGAATTTTCGTCATGGCCAAATTGGGCCCTGCAGAGTATCCAAATGCCAATGCATGAATTAAAAGGGAGAAAGTGAAAACAATAAAATCACAAAACCTATCGAAAGGTAAGAAATAATCTTACATGTAATCAATTACTGATGCATTTTGCCGATTGTGTTCCAGGTTGTTCCCTGCTCCTAATGGGAAGAAGTATGGCAGTCTGTCACGAACTAGTTTCTGAATTCTGGAATCATTATGGAAAAAGTAGATATGAGAAGGAGGACCAGTCCCGTCCAAATTCCTTTCAATGTTAGGATCCTTCCGAAGACCATTGTCTGCTTGGCTCTTATTCCTTATATTCAAGAAATATTCGTTGCAGACCTCATCAAAAGCAGGTGTAGGAATGTGGAATTTTTCCTCTGAATAGAAACCTTTCCATAAGTCGTCATTTGGGCAGTTTTCCGCTGAGGCTTTCTCTGTCCCCAACCCAGAAACTGGCACTTCTCTACCTGAGCCTTCGATTACTGAGGGATAATCATCATCTGAATCAGAGTCAATCAACTGGAATCTTCTGAGAGGACTTTGAGTTAGCTTTGGAAATCTCACATTGCCGCCTTTTGTTTCTATGTTTGCAGAAGCTAAAGCACTCGAAACTTCCTTTCCCTTCACTGATTTCCAGTGGCTTCCAGATTCTGATGTCCTAACCTTATGTCCACGTAGTGATGCCTTTGAGCTGCCGCATATGGAATTAGGTGGAAGATTGCCTGCCACCACAAAAGAAATAGGAAAACATCAGGATACACAGAGATTATCGACTAGAAGCAAGCGCAGGTATACTCAGGCTTTCATATATAGTGGTCTTTTTGACAAACAGCTTCTCGGTGGAGGCAATTATAATTTCAAGATAACACTGGCAAAATTCCAACAAAAAATCAAGTTAATCTATGTGAAGAGTATCGTAATGCTGATGTATCTTAATTGTCCTCTGCATATTTCAAGATACTTTAACAGGGACACAAGAACAAAATTTCTCATTTGAGCTGAACAAAATTTGCAAGATGTAATATTAGCTAACAATATTGAATACTGCGACGAGTTTTATAATCATCTATCCAAATTATAGTTCATAAAATCAACTATTCCCAGTTTTAATCAAATGAAATCAAGCCTATTCTGTCTAAATATCAAGAAGACCGATAGGATTGAATAAGCAGTAAAACTCTTTATGCAAATGGACAACTTTACTCGAACGAATCAATCCTTAAAGAAAACATTCACGCAAAGAGAAGCTCTTCCAGCACAAAAAAAAAAAAAATTATCTAACATCTGAGAACACATTCCTAATATTAATGAATCCTATGTACAAAGTAGTCTTAGGTTATAAAGTCCATTGTCAGAAGGTAGCCAGAAAGCAACAAATTCGTAGAAAAAACACACAATTATTCCCAAATTTACCGATCAAAGCCTGCTTCCAATTAAGCAACTGTATTAAATATGCAACCTCTAACTACCTTTTGGCAGATCTTCATCGGATGAAAATTCCTCAATTTCATCATCCACATCGTAACGCGTCCCATCCTCACGCCCCGCCGTTTTAGCATCTGATTCTAACTGTGGCGTGAGCCCGCGACGCAGCCTTTTCAATGCCGGGGGTTGGTCGAAAACCCTAACAGGGGATTCAAACCCATCTTCATCGTCTTCAACAATTGTCGGGAGATTCGCGGCGGTAGAAACGCTGTCAGCTCGTGCGGATAATGGGTCGGAAGGAGCAGCGGGTTTCGGCTCAGAATCATCGTCCGAGTCGAGCCCTAGGGAGAAGGACGGGAGCTCAAAATCAAAATCCGCCATTACGGCGCCTCAATGTAAGGAGATTCCTTTTATTCTTCCAGTTGAGGAGACTGATCTGAAATTGAAGATCTGGGAATCAAATTACGAATTTAGGAGAATGGCGCCAAGAATTGTGAGGAATGAGAAACGGTAGCGCTGTTGAGGACAGTGAATTTCGTTCGGCTTCCCTCCTGAATTTCGTTCGGCTACCTTCCTATATACGTATAAATTTTTACCTTATATACTATTAGCTCCGTAGTGTACGATCGGATTTTAATAAAAATAGATACTTAATTACTATAATTTATGTAATAAAAAAATATACACAATTCTTTACTTTTTTAAAGATATATATATATTATGACAATATAAACAAAAAAATAAGCAAAATGACCGAGGAAGTACATATTACTCAACGTATTTCTTTAATTCAAATTTTACAAATTTTTACAAAAATATATTTATTTCCTTAAGCGTATTTTATTAAAATATTATTTAAATATAGAACATAAATCAAATCTCTATAAACTATAACCAAATAAAGACTCAATTTTTTATTTTTTTTAATCTCTTATCTTTGAAATTGAGTATCAATTAAAAATTGTATTAGATTTTTATATTTTAAAATTTTAAACTTTGGAAATCTCCATATAAATAGTCTTTTTAAAATAATACTCTCTCCGTCCGCTTACAAAATTTACATGTTTTTATTTTGGGACGTTCAATTACAAAGTTTACATTTCATTAAATACCCTATTTTTTTTTCCACAAATACTCTTACTTTACATCACATCGTTATTTTTACACAAAAAAAAATAAGGTAAAAATGTCATTGCACTACTTTTAACTACTCACTGTAATTAAAATACTATTATTTCTTAAAACACTGCGCCAAAAGTAACTGTAACCCTTGTAAATGAACGGAGAGAGTATTATTTTGCATTTTCTATATTGAAATAAACATGTACAATTATTATTATTATTATTTTATAACGTAGGAATTCGCAGCCGTTATTCGAATGTGCGTCCTAGGTAAACCCTCCGCAACATGTACAATTATTTTGAATGAAAAGAGATATTTTACCTATGAAAAATTTAATGTAACGACAAATTATTTTATATATAACATAAAAAACACTCAAAACTAAAAATTAATAAAATGTTTGCTCCGTTAAGACAGGATTTTTTGGAGAGTTTTGGAAGCTTGAAAAAAAAATATTAAATAAAAATAAAATTAGTATTTAATTTGATATTTTGTGCGATAAAAAATTGTATTTGATGTGATATTTTTTAAAAAAAATAAATAGTGTCAAATGAAGTGAAAATTTGTTAAGTAAACAAAGCTATATAAGTTTCTATTGTGATTTATTGATGTCACTGTGTTTATGAGAATGTAACACTATCTTCTAGTAACTTTATCATAGTTAGTATTAACTAGTCAATATATAGATACACTTTGAATGAATAAAAGAATACCGTGTATTTTTTTTATTATTATTTTTTTTCATATATGAATTTTTCTTTCAATTATTTTACTATATATATAACTATGACGATAATAAAAAAATACAAAAATGTAATCGTCGAAAGAAACGGAAAAGAGGATTGCGTGACAAAAGAAGGAATAAATTACAAAATTTTAATAGCATGATGTTTCGATCAGAAAATTACTCGCATTCAAATTGAACAATTCAATTCAAATTTATGGCTATATATATATATATATATATATACATATTCAACATCATATGCAACTGCTCTTGATAATTAAAGTTTATTACTGAAATTATATATATCATCAGAGTAACATTTAATAGTCAAATAAAAACTAATCCCTTTTAATAAACATGCAAACTTGGACCTACCTAGTCACTTCAATTTATTTGTTTATATTTAGTCACATAACTTTAATTTTATTTCAAATATCATATATATAGTCACTATTTTGTTTTTTTTAAAAATTAACAATAAATACATTTATATACATAAACAGGTAAACAAACTCCTCAAATAATTTGTTTACTTCGATTTTTGTGTTTGTTTTTTTACTATTAAATATTTACTGAATATAGTCTTTTACATAACAAAAGAGAGCATCTTAATTCCACTAGGTGTGTTTTTTTGGATGAGTTTAGAAAAAAATTAATTTGAGTTTGGTATGAAAAAAATATATGAACATGATAAGTGAGACAAAAAGAGTAGTAGATAAATAAATTTATTGGTGATTTTCGAATGTAAATAATATTATTTTTAAAAAAAAAAACATAAAGAAATAAAATCCCTCAATTTGCTGTTAAAGTATGCATTTTTGTCATATTAGCTGATCCAACATAAAAGTAAATATATATTTAATAGGTGTGATTTTACTTAATATTATAAATATTTTAAAATTAATTCTTATTTACGGAAATATCATTATATTGAATTTAAAATATTATAAGACATACAAAAATACTATAAATAAAAATATTTTAATTATTTTAAAAATATCTCGAGAAGCAGTGTGTGCCGATCACTTTGTCATTTTTTCTATTTTTTAATTATTTAAATATTCATATCTTTTTAATAAAAATATACTAAAAATAATAATATTTTAATATTAAAGTATAATAAATAAAAAAATAAAGTGAAAATTTTATTAAAAATTGATAAAAAAAAATAAAAAATTATTGAGTAAATAAAAAAATAATGACAAATTAATTATAATTATTTGTTAAAATAATAACAATAAAATTGTGTGTAATCAAAGTAATTTACTATAAATTAATTGCATGCGTAGATATTAATGGACAGTTAAAAAAAATAATAATTACATCATTTTAACAAATTTTAAAAATTATTTTATCTTATAAAATATTTGATTAAATTAAATATTCTAAAAGGTAAAACCCATACAAATTAAAGAGAAAACTCACCCAAAAAGTCAGGAGAAGGCAGTGGAGTTCTTTGTGTTTTTTGATATTTTACTGAGAACGAATAAAAAATATATAGATGGTAAAAATAAATAAAATAAAATAAGAACATATGTAGTGTACAAAAAAACTGCTACAATTTGTTATTTACAGAACCCTAAAAAAATATTTTTAACCCAAAAATTCTACCCATGTATCCTTCAATTCATTCATTTTCCCAATCCTGCCATCACAACATACGTATTCATATATCTCTACAAATCAGAAGCAACATGGAAATGACCGAATTGCCCTCAAACCATCCTCGCCGTTAATCATTCCGGAATGCTCGTCAGATCGGGCTTCCACGACCGTTGATGCGCCGCCGAGAACTGATCATCGCCGCCGCCGTCGATCAACTTCGCCAACACCTGCTGCGCCGACAGGCCCTCAATCTCCGCCGTCTTCAGCACCTGCTCCAGCTGCTTCTTCGAGATCTTGATCTTCACCTCCTTACCTTCTATCAACGAAGACGACGTCGACGATACACTCAATTTCTCCGCCTCATCTCCCGGCGGCGGATTTCCGCCGCCGGCGCCGAAGGAACCCCAGTCATCGCCGCCCCATTCCACGGCGGCGGATCTTTTCCTCAGACAATTTCCCATCACACCTATTTATTTTAATTTATATTTTTTATTTAATTCGAAGAAGATTTTTGCGAATGCAAAATTAATGATATATATAGAGGAGGTGGTCGGGTAGGCTAAGGTAGGTTGTCTATGTGGGGCCCCCGCCACCTATCCGAGTGACGTCACCGCCACACCGCCACGTGGCGTACGGACAGCCGGAGCTCCGCGTGGGTTGGGTGGGTGGCTTGTTTGTGTGATACTTTGATTAAAATATGTGTTTTTGAGCGCCAGCTTTGAATGGTTCGGGCAGTCTGTCTGCCACGTCATTACTGGATTTTTGAGGTGTTGATCTTATCGAAATCGTTAATTATTTTTTATTTAGGTATTTTTCTCCAGCTGTGTAAGCCGGTATCGGCGTGCATGTGCTAATACGATGTGTCGAGAGCCGGCGGCTGCAGCCGAGCCGGCTCCGTGTGAAAAGGAGCTCGGCGCGGAATCCAGGCATCTTACTATTTGGCACTGTGTGAACGCGGCTATGGGAAACGAATATTGCAATGTAACGTGGGTCCTATAAGTAAAAAGGTTGTAATAATAATAATAATCATAGTAATAACAAATAATTAGGTGAAAAATATATAGGATCTGATGACACATAGGTTTTTTTTAGCTTTTGATAATTTTGTTTTTTAAAAATATCATATTTAGTTTTATAAATGTAACAAATTTTTATTTGATCCTATACATAAATATCATTGATAATGGCGGACTAATTTCAAAAAATTTTGATTAATTGGATTTTAAGAAATTTGGGTTGACGTAATATAATTTGTTGCGTCAGATCCAAATATCTAAATCGAATTAATTGATAGTGGATTATGATTAGAAACATCATGCAAATCCAGGTAGAAAATCTGAAATTGATCAACTGGAGGACAATTATGGGATGTTAATGCAATTTAACGAGAATATTTATAAAACAAGAACAACAATTGTGAGGAAATGAAACCCACACCTCAATCACTTAATTATATTTTTAATTTTATTTTTTTAAATTTTAATTAAATTAATTAGTTATTTTAATCTTAATTTATAATTATTTATATTATCGTATAATTATTTTCACTAATACATTCTTAATTATCTACTAATTATACTCCTCTTAAAATATCGTGTCTAGAGTGTAGCAGACACGGTAATGGAACAGAGGTAGTATCAAATTTCCATGCCTAACACTGTCTAAACTTAATTATAGTTAATTTTATGTGTTAACTGCTTCATTAGTTTTGCTGCCGTGGCACCATAGACTCCTAACATTTGACCATGAATATAAATTTTATGAAATTAGACAATATAAGCCCATATTTGTTTATTATATTTATTAATATTTTTATACTTTTATTCAGAAAAAAAATAAATATATATATATAGAATAAAATACTACAAAATATATATATTTGCCAAAAGTTTGCTATTATATTTAAATTTTTAAATTATTATTATTTTATTAAAATATTATAATAATATCAATAGTTATTATCATAATATTTATAACTCATAATAGTAATAATACATATCATCATAATAATATAATCATAATATATTTTAGATTGTATAATTTATACATAATTTTTCATTAAAATTTACAAATTTTTTAACGTATATGAATTTTTAAAAATTTAGATTGAATCTAAATTGAATACTTTCAGATTTTAAAAACATTTACAAATCTATATTGAATACACTTGAATTTTGAAACCAACAAAAATCATACAAAATTTTGGTACCAAAAAAATAATTGTGAAAACAAGCTATTCATACTTTCATTCAAAAAATAAAATAAAATGACTGATACAATTTTTAATATATATAATACTATATATTTTATTATTTTAAAAAGTCTAATATTCAATCAAACTACAAGATTTAAACAACCAAAAAAATTAATTAAAAAATAATCTTTAATAGTATAATATAGATAAGTGTATTTTGTGCTGAGTGTGTTTGTGTTTATTAGTTGAATTTTGATCTTGAAGAGTAAAATTAATTGTCTGTATAAATATATATTGATATAATATTTAAAATATAAAATTAAATTTTAATGGAATATAATCAAAAATATATATTTTTGATTTTATGTTTTTAAAAAAAAATTAAAATTTAAAACAAAATCGAAATCACATAAATAAGCATACCTTATATTTGTAGAGTTCTTTTAAATCACTTTTGATAATATTTATAAATAACTAATTTTTTAAACATTAAAATACTTATGTTAAACTAAATATCACATCAATCAATATTTACGTCACAATAAATATATAACCTATAATATTCAATATTTTATGTATTATTCTAACATTTTAAAAGAATTCAAAATTATTTTTATTTAGGATGTATTTTTTCAATAATTCTATATATTTTTTATTAATATTATAAAAATAAATAATAAAAACATAATGTTTAAGAATTTTAATTTTTTTTTATTATTAGTTATAAATACTTATTTTTATTAATATTAAGATTATTAATTTATAAAATACACATTTAAAAAATGTTGCCCTAATAATTTTACATCACAGCCGCCGCCCACCGATTTTTTCCTCTTTAATCTTCTTCATCTTCCTTCTCGGAATTCTTTCTTTTCGTCCTCCTTTTCTTCAGTTTCTTCGTCCTGCTGCTCGGCCGCCAAAGTGACAGGTAAGGTTTCCTACATATATTTTCAGCCGCTACTGGGTAGATCAGCCCACGGGCCTAACCCTAATAGTATTTTTCTTCCGTGTTCCAGTGTCTGAAATTCATCTTTCTTCTCCGTTCCTTACGTCGCCGTCTCGCCGTTTTATTCTTCTACAGTTTCGACGACCTCCGGAGGCATTGTAAGTTCAAATCTTAAATCCTTACACTATTTATAAATTATTTTTGGTTATCAAAATTTTAACCCAGCGGCAAATATTTTTAGGTTTGAATCGTTCGATGTTAGTTGTAATGAATTGTTTGATGTTAGAATTAGTATTCCTTTTATGGTCGACTCCGCCATGGTTTGTGATACAAATTCATACAATAAGATCCTGTGCAGTGAGGAATTATATTTACCAGCTCGCAATTCTAGCTTTGTCGTCTACTGTTTGGAGTTCTTATGCAATCTTCTTCAGCATTTTATTTTTTATTTTTAAAAATACAAGAAGATATTGTAGTAGTATTTATTTCTCCTGTTTGCAATTTGTAGCTATGGCGCAAGAGACAGGAATGTTCACTGTTCCTCAGACCATCGGCAGTGTATTGTGCTGCAAGTGTGGTATACTAATGCCACCAAATGCAGCAAATATGTGCGCCAAGTGTCTGCGGTCAGAAGTCGATATAACAGAAGGCCTTCAGAAGCACGTTACCATCATCCATTGTCCTGAATGCAACAGCTTCCTGCAACCTCCACGAACATGGATCAAAGCTCAATTAGAATCTAAAGATCTTCTGACCTTCTGTGTGAAAAGGTTGAAGAATTTGAACAAGGTCCGATTGGTACATGCAGAGTTCGTTTGGACAGAACCTCATTCCAAGAGAATCAAAGTCAGGCTGAAGGTTCGAAAGGAGGTTCTTAATGGAGCAATACTTGAACAGACATACATAGTTGAATATGTAGTGCAAGATCAGATGTGCGAGTCTTGTTCGAGGGTTCAGGCAAATCCCGACCAGTGGGTAGCATCAGTGCAACTTCGGCAACATGTATCCCACAGGCGCACTTTCTTCTACCTCGAGCAGCTTATTCTCAAGCATGATGCTGCTAAACATGCCATCAGAATTAAGCAAATGAACCAGGGAATTGATTTTTTCTTCAGTAACCGGAGTCATGGTGTGAAGTTTGTTGAATTCCTGGGTAAAGTAACCCCGATTAAGAGTCGCAGTGACAAGCAGCTCGTGTCCCATGATCCCAAGAGCAACAATTACAACTACAAGTACACTTTCTCTGTCGAAATTTGCCCTATTTGTCGTGAAGATTTGATCTGCCTTCCACCAAAACTTGCTGTTAGTTTGGGAAATTTTGGGCCTCTAGTAATCTGTAACAAAGTGAGCAATAATATCTCCCTATTAGATCCATTTACACTTAGAGGGTGTTTTCTTGATGCGGAGCAATATTGGAGATCATCATTCAAGTCCTTGTTGTCGAGCCGGCAGCTTGTCGAATATGTGATCTTGGATTTGGAACCTGTTTCTTCCGAAGTCAATGTTGGTGGCTTGAAATATGTTTTAGCAGATGCCCAAGTTGCTCGTACCTCAGATTTTGGAAAGAACGACCTAACCTTCAATGTAAGGACACATTTAGGCCATGTTTTGGGTGTCGGTGACTATGCTCTAGGTTATGACTTGTACGGTGCCAACAACAACGACATTGAATTGGACAAGTACAAAGGTCTTGTACTCCCTGATGCTATATTGGTTAAGAAAAGCTACGAAGAGAAGCGTCAGAAGAAGCGAGGGAAGCCTCGATCATGGAAGCTCAAGTCTCTGAACATGGAGGTCGACAATGGTACGAGAGGCAGGGATAATGAGGAGAAGATGAACACAGAGTATGAAGAGTTCTTGAGGGATTTGGAGGAGAATCCAGATTTGAGATTTAATCTGTCTCTGTACCGAAATAAAGAATATCAGCCATCTGAAGCGGCGGCATCCATGACTATGACAGATGGCGAAGATGACGTGCCTACTGTTCCTTTGGATGAGCTGCTGGCAGAACTCGAGCTAAGCGATGAAGAAGAGGAAGACGACGACGACGGCGGCAATGATGGTATGGAAGAATGATAAAGTAAGTGTTGTTATACTCATTTTAAAGAGAATTTTGTTATGGTTTACAATCTCTGATATGTTTTTTGCCTGTGATTTGGCTGTTTGGAGCAATATGTTTTTTGTATACTCTATATTCTTGTGTGCATTTCTTTTTGTCACTTACTATGTTTACCTTTTTTTTCTTTCTGTTTTTCTTCATGATATATATATATATATATATTATGTTTGAATGAAGGGTTATTTTTTTGAAATTTTTTTAAACCAAACAGTTCTTATTATTCAATCAGTATTGTAACCTCTCCAATTTGTTGACACACTTGTAATGAAATTGAAGATGATGGTGTATGTATATACATAAATATGCATTCACTACTCTATTGTGAAGCAACAGTTGATGAATTTGTCCATCTGCTGGTTACTGTTCAGTACAACACCGGAACTGGGGGGGCCGTGGGGGCCGTGGCGAGATCTGCTCCAATTGCCAATCCAGAATGAGATCCTTTGTTCACATAAAAATAAATAAATAAATATATTCGTTATATCCCAATATATTAAAAAGTGTATTATATATTTTAATTGTATTTTAAATTTTATAATTTATAATTTTTTTATTTTAATTAAATTATTTAATTATTTAAATTTATAATTACTTTTATTAATACACATTCTTAGTTTTCTTAATAATTATTCAACACCTAAAACCTATATTACTATAGATGACTTTTTTTTTTTTTTTTTTTTTCTTTTTATCTCATACCATGACCACTTTTTATTTATAGTAAATTTATTTATTTTAAACATATTTTGTAAATATAAATTAATTTAATTAAATTTTTAATTTTTACCCTAAACCCTAATCTATTAGTTCTATCGTTATATTTTCAATAAAAAAAAACTTTTGTAGGTATTTAAAATTCTTTATTTTTTATAAAATTAATTTTAAATAAATATATTATCTCCATCCAGATCTAAGAGTTTCATTTACCTTAAAACTAGAGTCGGACATAGAGATGGTATATTATTTTTATTTGTATTATATTAAAATAATATTCATAGGGTGTGTTTGTTTGGGGGTTTGGATTTTGAGTTGGGATTTGAATAGTAAAAATTTTGAATTTGAATAGTTGTATGATGTGATATAAATAGGGTTTGATGTGATGTTTTGAATGTAAAATTGATTTTTAGTATAATATAAAAAATAAAAAATAGGTGTTTGATTTGATGTTTTTGGGGGGAAAAAATTGGATGAATAGTGGAAATCCACCAAAATCCTTCAAACAAACACACCCTATAGTGTATATATATAATATTAAAAATATTTAAATATATATTTTAATTTTTATAATTATATATATTACTTCATATTTTTAAAATATATAAAATAATGTCATAAATTATTATTTTAATTTACTAATCTATAATCTGCGAAAAAACGTTTCCAAAGAAGGTCATCTGCTCGAGAGTGATTCCTACTAAAAAACATAAAGTAGGAATTTTTGTACTCCAAAATTTCAATAGGAAACTGAATATAAATCCTAAACATGCGAATTAAAATTTAAGTAGGATTTAAATACATAAAATCAAGTATACACACGATTCGACATTTTTTCACTGCTGATGCGATGAAACGACAGCGTGTCGGGCAGTACGCCAATACGACGTCGTTCTACTTATTTCTCTATAAACAAAATCCAAGATTCGATCTTTAATTATATTTTTATTCACAAAGGTGATCTTATTAACGTACATATCTGCATTCCATTTCGTAATGCCCAAATCCCTCTCTCTCTCTCTCTCTCTCTCTCTCTCTCCCCCTCTCTCTCTAATCGAGAAGGGATCGCAGTAGGGCAAAATCTTCGTCTGTAATGGGCAACCCTAACCCATCGAAGAAACAATGAAGATAACTGTGGAACCACCCACCCCTCAAGAAATCCACCCTCCACTGCCCTCCCCAACCCCTCCCCCGCCGTTAGATCTCACTGATAAACCCACTTTTCCCCGGAAGCCGCCTCGCCGGAAATCCAAGATCTCCGGCCATGGAGTCCGGCTGAAAAGGGAAACTTCAAGAAAAGGTACCCGCCCCGAGACCCCACTACTCGGATGGAAGTTTCATGCGAGCACCACCAGAAATGATTCACCGGAGGACGACCGATCCACCGCCGACGCCCGTCGGAAAACCGGTCGAAGACTCCGGCCCGTCGATTCCGCCCGGAAACTCGCCGCCGGACTCTGGCGACTGCACTTGCCGGAGTTTGAGCCTCGCATTGACCAAAAATTACAGCTTCAGGTAGTAGCCTTTGTCAATCGATCTTCAATCATTTTCATTATTTATTTATTTATTTTTCAAAATCTTTGATTTGAAGCTCTGCATTATGATCTGAATCAGTTATCACTTCAGTTACCTTTTTATTGATTCAAATCTAGTATTGTTAGTTGAAATTTTTTAATTTTGGTTTGTTGGGGCAATGTCTTTGAATCGCAATAATTGTATTTACTTTTCCTATTCATAATTGCAGAGGAAAAAAATGAAAATTCAAAGTAGACAGGCAAGGAATTCAATGGTCTTTAATTAGACACACAAGCTTCTGCAGATGCAAACCTTTTTTTTATTACCATTAATTTGAATTCAAAAGTAACTTTGAGAAGAAGCCCTAGTGGTTTCTTACATCCCATTCATATGAAACCTGTGGCAGCAAAATTATTTGGGACCATTTTAGGTTTCCAAGTTATGAATTGCATCTGTACGAGGAGGATATCAGTTTTCATAAATTTAATGTTGTTTTAGATCTTGTATGGATTGGCTAAAGACAAGAATTATTCGTTTGATGTTTCTATTTTTTTTCCATAGCCTGGAGGCGGTTCGATTCGGGGATGTAATGTTGACAGGAAGAAGCATTATTCTCCGGCGAACAATCTGGTACACAATCCGCTCTACATGTCAGTAACCGAAGCCGGGATTCAGCACAAGGTATATGTTTTATGTTGTCTTGATCATAAAGTTTTCGTTTTTTTGTCGCTAATCGAATAAATGTATGGTGATTGGAAGTTGACCAATGTCTATAATTTGGCCTATACCTAAGCTGTATTTATTTCCGATTTCATTATATTCATATCGTAAATTTGATGTTCTATTCAGCTCGAGCCCTCGTTCGAACATATATTGAACCCGGCAATGGAGGGGGCGACAAAGTGGGATCCCATAACTGGGAGAACATCAGAAGAACCGAGAAAAGTACACGGCCGAAGAAAGATCAGTGACGCCCCGGCAATATCTGCGCTCGAGAGACAGCTCGAGCAGGCTCGATCCCGAATCAACGAACTCGAAATGGAGCGGACATCTTCGAAGAAGAAACTCGAGCAGTTCTTGCAGAAAGTCAGCGAGGATAGGGCCGAATGGAGGAGCCGAGAGCACGAGAAGATCCGAGCGATTATCGACGACATGAAAACCGAGTTGAGCAGGGAGAAGAAAAATCGACAGAGGCTCGAGGTAGTCAATTCAAAGCTCGTCAACGAGTTGGCCGACGCTAAGGTATCGGTAAAGCGCGCGTTGCAGGAGTACGAGAAAGAACGGAAGGCTCGGGAATTGACGGAGGAAGTCTGCGACGAACTTGCGAAAGAAATCGGAGAAGACAAGGCCGAAGCCGAAAGCATAAAACGGGAGTCGAGGAAGATTTTGGAAGAAGTTGAGGAAGAGAGGAAGATGTTGCAGATTGCGGAGGTTTGGCGCGAGGAACGAGTGCAGATGAAATTAGTCGATGCGAAGGTGATGCTCGAGGAGAAGTACTCGTATATGAATCGAATATTGACGGATCTCGACGCTTTTCTTAGTTCCCGAAGCGCAAATTTGAACGACGACGAGATCAAGAAATTGGAGTTGCTCCGGGGGGTAGCCGCCTCGATCAACATGCAAGATGTTCGGGAATTGAAGTACGAGCCCCCGGATCCGGACGATATGTTTTCGGCATTCGAAGACGTCAATTTCGGGCAATCGAATGAACAGGAGATCGAGCCGGAGCCGGAGAACAGTTGCAGTCCCGCCAGTCGCGACTCGAAATTCTACGCGGCGGAAGCGAAGCTGCTGAACAAAGAGCGCGGAGAGCGACGTTCGAGTGTGTATATGGATCGGAGCGACGAGGACGCGAGCGAGTGGGAAACCGTAAGCCATCCCGAGAACGAGGGCTCGAGCTATTCACCCGACGAGAGCGATGCGTCGGTTAACAAAAGCTTTCGGGAGACGCCCGCGACGGAAGTAAGCGAAATGGGTTCGGTACAACCGAGCAAGTTGAAAAAGGCATCGTCGATATCCCGACTGTGGAGGTCGCATACGAGCAACGGCGAGGGAACGAACCGGAGAATTGTAAACGGAAGGCTTTCGAACGGGGCAATCACGTCGTCCCCCGGGTTTTCCGGAAAAGGCGAATATAGCCCCCGAGATTTGGCGGGACGATGGAGCTTGCACGATGCGGGCGATTCGCGGGGAATGAAAGGATGCATCGAATGGCCTCGCGGCGCACAGAGGAGTAGTTTGAAGGCTCGATTAATCGAGGCGCGGATGGACGGGCAGAAGACGCAGCTGCGACACATCTTGAAGCAGAAGATTTAGTCGAGATGGGCTTTCTCGATCGATCGGTGGCGATCGATAACTGCATGTAGCCTTCTGGGTCTTGTTTTACTAAGCTTGTATTGGCACTTGAATAATAAACCAGACACGATTGTTTTATATACCTATTGGATACACAAATTGAACTCGATAAATTTTCTTTAATATGAAACAAAGGTAAAATGAAGCAGCAAAAAACCGGAAGTATATGAACATGGGGAGCTGAAGGCTTACAGTTATATATAAGGTTTATGCACATATAGTTGATGCAAAGTTCATCTATGCTATCAAGTTGGGGAAGTCGTTACGCCGTAACTGGAACCGTTACTTAAGATATGTTCAAACCCGAAAGGACATGGTTATGATTCGATCGATCACTTTTCCAGGTTGGGTTTCTGCTCTCATATGATATACATAGATACATATATATAGATGTAGGGCTAGGTCTAATCTTTCGTTGTGTTTCAAACATCCTCTCGGCATGTGGGGCAGGATCCCTGCAGCGGAAGCCACTCGTCTATGCAATGCGTGTGGAAGAAATGTCGACAACTTGGCAACATTCTTGCAGATTCTCCATCCATCAAATCCTAGCAAGAAATCGAGCAAAAAAGTTTCATTACCGATACAATTTGGAACGTGTTAGAAGACTCAACTCTTAACTCATTGCTACAGTTAACTATGAAATTTAGCGCAGGGGTTCGAATATTATCAGTTAACCTTTTAGTCCAATAGCTATCGAGCTTTAGAAGAACCAGAAATGACGACTAGTTATTTGTTCTATAGGCATTCAGAATAGTGCTTCGAAATTCAGAAACTAACAAGGATCAAATATGACTTCATATTTAACTATGCTCTTCATATACATCGAATTCAATGTGACAAAAGATACCTGTAAACATATGGCACAACTAGCATCAGAAGACGGTGATCCAGTAGTCACCGAGGAAGAAATGTTAAAACTTGGCAAATCCTTGATGGCTTCTTCCGATAATCCCCTGATGGCAGTGACCTCAAAAATGTCGGGTATATCTCTCAGCCCTGTATCCATAGTGCTAACCTGGAACAAAGAGAATCAGAAATTGGTTCGGCTTCGGAGCTAACATACTCGAATGTCTGAAAACAATGATTTATCCAGCTAAATTACCTGCCACTGATAAGCTTTCAACACGGCAGGACTCACCCATTCCATAAATATCTTCCCATTAACCAAACTACATATCAATGCAACCTGTAAAGCAACATAAGAAAAAGATTTGGATCGAATCAAGAACAAAATTAAAGCGGTGCAGTCATGCACATCTAACGACCTACCAGTTTCAAATCAATACACAAACAATGAACACAACATCTATGTATTGATACATCCAATTTAGTCACAGATGAATCCAATTTGTGCATAAAATATTCGACCTTTATATTTCAAAGCATGCTCATCTCGTGAGATGTTTTCTTTTACATCTTCAGAATTCTTATTTTGGAAAAGATGTCTGATAGTCATAATAGACTGCATAGATGAATTTCACAAGGATATACTATACTACCTTCGAAAATGGTTCCCCATTTAGTATGAGCTCCATCAATTGGACACCGGTGACGGCCCCTGCCACTGCCCCAACGCCAAAACCACGCAGAAAACCAGTTTCAGTTGTCTGACCTTTCAGTGCTCCGCTGATTACTCCAATGGCCGCTCCACCTACATTAAAATAAACAATTAAAACAAAATCATGTACAATCTGGCGAAAAACCAGTGGACAACCTGAAAACAGTGTACGAATCAAAACAAGAATACATCAAATTGCTCGAGTACTTTCATTTCATTAAATACAAAGGCTCCGATAAGCGAAATTTTCTCATATTTAAAAAGAGGAAAACCAAAAAATTACTAACAAACAAACATGGCAGCAATTATCGCAAACAAAACGAACAAGGAAAGCAAATCACTGATCCGTTAAATCGGGGAGCAGAAACATACCCAAAGCGAAGATACAAGTGAGCAGAGCAACGGCGAATTTCCTGATCAGGTCGAAAACAAATCCAATTCGAGCACCACAGAGCTCTCTGGCCACCCAAGATGAAATGGCGGAAACGTACCTCCTCATTGCTTGACAACAGATCAACAGCAGCATCCTATAGCAATTCTTTTGGGGGTATTAATGGGCGTGTTGGCGACGACTCTGCTCTGGAAATTGAGGAAACGCAAAAGTGGTTGAAAATCCAGAGAGATTTGGAAACGATGCTCGCATTTATAGGAGGGGAGAATGAGATTGGGGCAACGCCGCGGCACTGCTGACCTGAGCTTAGCTGAGAAGGAATTCTGAGAAGCATTTATGAGGGTTAGGACTCACTTCTTGTTAGGGATTTCTATTTAGATTTCTACTTGGATTTGGATCCATTTTTTCCACTTTCCAAATATGAATTAATTCATTTTTTTTCTTTTTTTAGATTTTAATTGTGGCTCTTATTATTTTCTATATATATATTTTTTTTAATAAGGGACTAGCAAAATTTAATTAGGCTTGAAATTATGAGATCAAATTAAAATGTGGATATTTTCTAGTGGCTAATTCACTACCTAATTGCTTACTAGGATTGGTGATGGGCTTTGAATTTTAAAGATTTTTTAGGTTTGGTTTTTTGAAAAAATAAATAGGTCACTATTAAAGTTTTGGAATTGAAAAATTGTGTAATGAAAGTTTAATAGTACCATGTATTTTCTGTTAAAAATATACTTATTTTATCATTTTAATATGTCTATCAAAATATATTAGTAATATATTTAGTAAAAATTAAACATTTTTTTTTTCTTTTAAATTTACACTGACTATTTTTTTTATTTATTATTATTTACACAAATGTTACTAGTGAATCTCACAGATTTTACAAGTCTATTTTATTTTAATTTTAAAAATTATATTACTAACTTTTTACTATTTTTGTCTCGTATAAAGAGCGCAATTTATTTTTTGTGTCATTATTTTTAACATTAAAATTATATTTATATTTATATAATTAATTCTACAAATATCATTGTATTTAATTATAAGAGGCTAACATAAATAACTATTATTTTATTTTATTTTTATTTATATTACGTATTTATATAATCATTAATATTTAAAAATTAATATGAAAAATGATATTGTTGGGACTGGTTCAACTAACACCAGTATAATATTGTCTTTTTGGCTGAGTACACACGGATTTATTTTTGAATATTCTCCGAAAGACCTCATATTAGTGGAATTCACTTGAGACTTATAAGGTGTGTAATTTTCTTCACAACTTTCGACGTGGGATTTGGATTTGCACTCCAATACTCAGTATGATTAAATCTTTGAGCATTGAATGAAAGAAGTATTTGATTATAAAACGCAACCAAATGCCCTAATATCATTTTAAGACTATAAGTTAAAAATGATTATGTAAGAATATCTTATATGTTATTCATATTTCGCATGTGAGTAAAGGTTTGTTTGGTTTTGATTTAAGATCAAGTTTTTTATTTGAGTTTTTCTGCTTAAATAATGGTTGTTTCACTTAACTAATTTTTTTTGATGACATAATTCTCAATGTATAATATTTATAATATAAGTTTTGTTGTTTAATGCTTTGGTTCGGTGTATATTATTTTGGAAGGTATAAGGAATTGTTTAAAGTAATATAAAAATATTTATATTGAATATTGATTTTATATGAAATCATAACATATAAAATATTATATTTTATTAGTCGTGTAAATTTATGCCTATTGGACCAGATATGAATTTTAATTAAATTGACTAAAAATAGAATTTTTTTTATGGTAAAAATGTAATAAAAAAAAGTAAACAAAAAAAAACTCTGACAATAAGCTAAGTGAGAATAAATTTGAACGAAGTATTATTATATATTGAAAATCAGAGGGAGTGCTATATATTGAAAATTAATAATTTAATATAAAATATTATTTTTTTATATTATTGAAATATTTTTTTAAATTTTATAAGAAATCATGTTGATAATATAAAAAATACTTAATTCGTCATTCAAATCTATTTTTATTTTTTATTTTTGTCATTTAAACTTATTCTCGTTTATTTTTTTAGTAACAAAATACACACTTTTTCTATTTTTTCTTTACTCAAAAAATAAAAATTTCTATTTTTATTTATTTTTTAAAAACTTGTGTCCGGTCAAATGAGCACACAATTGAATGACGGATGGAGTAATATTTATTTTAATAGGTGATTTTTTGTGAAAAAATATAATACAATATTATATATATTGAAAATAGTGTCAAGTAAAAAATTGATTGGACAAACATTAATACAAATATTTTATAAAAAAATACTCCATCCGTTTCATAATAAAGTATCCATTTTTCCATTTTAGTCCGTCCCATAACAAAGTATCCATTTCCTCTTTTAGTAACTGTACTATCTACCTAACATTACAAATACCCTTACAACTTACAATATATTACACAAATATCATTACATTTATATCACACATACTAATAAGGTTATTTTGGTTATTTCTACTTTATTCCTATTATATCATAATATAATTTTAATATTTTTAAAACTACGTGTAAAAACCAAATAGATACTTATTTCTGGGACGGAGGGAGTAATATATTTTTACTAAAAATTGTGTTAGTTAAATAGTAGTATTAAATGCTGTTTTAAATTGAAACCACACACACGGTGGTATGCTTGTTTCAATATAAATGTATCTCGTATATAAATTTTATTGAATAATTTTATTATTTTATCAAACACTACATTAATAAATTATAGTATTAAAATTCTAAAAATATTATATATATATATATATATTAAAATAGAGAGAAATAATTGAAATAAACTCGGACGATGTTAGCTTTGCATCATCCAATTCATTTCGTTACACATGGTTTGCATGAATATTATAAGTTCGAATTTAGTATTAATTGCATGCATATGCATGTGCTAGATTAGAACAAAATAGCTTAATTATCTATTTAATTAATTAAATATCATTTCAATAGGATAATATTTATATGCAATCAAACTACACATTTATTAAATGCCATATATGTTTTATTTCGCTATAAACTATAAAACAATTAGCTCAATAGATTTGCTTTATCAATATTATTTTTCTTATTAAGTTGTCCATAATTAATATATTCAATAACAAAATACTATCAGTCCAGTAAGGGATGGTCTGGTGGTGTAGGGATTGGATTTGTGAATTCTATTTCAAAAAGTATCATATTAAAATGATATTTTAAGTTAAAATTCAAATAAAGACTTCACTATAAGAAAATATCAATTTTTTTTTTTTTTTATGTACAGAATTATTAGTAGTGCTCCAATTTCAAGAAAAAAAACACCAAATAAACCCTCAAGAAAAAAAAAAAAAAAAAAAAAAAAAAAAAAAAAAAAAACAAAAAAAAAAACCCCTAATGATTCCAAAGCTAAGTTTGAATAAACGTGGGCTAATTTGAAGCATTGGAATCCCAAGTTTAAAGTACATACCACATACACATACCACGTGTTTGTAAAAATAAAATAAAATAACAAATTAATTATTGAAATAGCAATCTATATAAACATACGATTGCAATTGCTTAATAACAAAGTAAACTAATAATTAAGCGATTCCATGCAAAAAACTAAAAATAATTTAAATATTTCCCAAGATTCCCCTACCTGCCCTAATCTACAACAGCTTGCATGGTCCCCACCAAGTATATATATATATATATGCATGTATTATTATTATTATTATTTTATTTATTTATCATTTATTATTATTTTTAACTTAAGAATTAAGATATTGGTTTCGATTCAAAATCTTAGTACAGAGAGGGAGAGAAAGACTTTATTTATATAAGAGTTTTTAAAAATTTAAAATTTCTGAGAAGAAAGAAAAAGTTAGAATAAAATACAGATGATATTTGATGCGATATAAATATAATACTTTGTGTTAAATATAAAAAATATATCTTTATTGTAATGTTTCTTCTTTCTTCCAAAAAAATAATTTTTTTTATTCTTTGTAGTTTAAACATCCGGTCGAACTTAATACCCTGCAAACTAGATCTGACGGAAAAGTCACACTAGGTGAACCATGTGTGGCAGGTGACCTGAGGTGTCGAGGGTTTCAAACCATGACCTTTCGGGACATATTAAACATTTCTTTTTAAAAAATATGAATACAGTAATACATTTATATTAATATCATTTATCAAATGAAAAGTAAAATAATAATGTTTACCTACAAAAATGCACTAAACTTTGTGAAAACAAAAATAAATAAAAATAAAAATGATTTGATATATATATTTTTAAATAATTACTATAATAAATAATTTTATAATTTTACTAGTAGAAAGCAAATCAATAATAGAGGGTGAGGGGTGTGTATTGATGTTCGTGCATATCAAGATTTATAATTTATTTGTATGGGTGTTTAGGATAGGGTAGATAAATAAAATAAAATAAATTAAATTAAATTAAATTAAATTAATAAATAAAAATAAAAGAAAACCAGGTGCTGAGCACTGTTTTGTCTGTGGGCTGATATGGAGTAGGCCAATATGGGCACCCTTTTCCTACATTTATTGTGCCCCTTTCAAGATATTTTTGCATGTGGTTATAATAATAATATTATTAATAATACTATTATTATAATCACAATTAAATATATTTTACTCTCACTTAGTATAATAATATAAGCTTTAATTATTTGATACACTTCTGTTTTTGTAATGTATTTTTAATAATTTTTCTTTTTAATTTAAAAACTAAGTATTACATTACTCCCTCCGTCCCACACACCGTGTCTGCTACCCTGTAGATACGGTATTTTAGGAGGGATGTAATTAATAGATAATTAAGAATGTATCATTGAAAATAATTATCCGATAATATAAATAATTATAAATTAAAATTAAGATAACTAATTAGTTTAATTAAAATTAAAAAAAAAAATTAAAAAGTTTACAATGAGATTAAAGTGTGTAATTATTTTCAAAAAAAAAAAGTGACATGGTATGTGAGACGGATAGAAACGGCAACGTAGACATGGTATGTGGGACGGAGGGAGTATTATTTAATATATTATATTAAAAAATTGAATTCAAAATAGTTACTTATATTTCATTAAATAAATATTTCAATTAATTTTTTTTTTCTTTTATTATTCCTGAAGGCACATTGAAAGTACAATCAAACAAATAATATTGCATTCATTCCATTTTTTTCTTATTTTTAAGGCAGTATTTTGGTTTGTATATCTTTTATAATTTATTTATTTATTTATTATTATTATTATTTTAAACAGTTTTATAAGTCGTCTTCAGAATAATAAAAGAAAATAAAGAAGTTGTGTGTCAATAAAATTAGCAAAATTTTTTAAATGTTTCAAATTCGAAATACTAGCAAAAATTTTAAGACAAGGCTATAATTTTAAATGTTTGTTTTTGTTTTTTACTTTAAATAAAAAAATATTACTATTTAATACATATTGTTTTAATAAAAATAAATTTAATTTTTCATAAAATATTATGTAAATAAAATTATTTAAATTAAAATTTAAATTAACATATTTTTTCAAGTCAATTTTAAATCATAATTAAATATAGTTTTTTTTTTTTTTTTAATGATTTTCTTTGTTGAGACCAACTTTCTATTGGGCCTTTCTAAAATATCATTTTGGGCTTGCTTAGATCAGAACACCTGTAGTCAGCCGAGACAGGGTCCATTTAAGTCGGCCCAGCCATTTTCGAGGTAAGGTTTGGGAGTGGGATTGAGAATTTAAATTGAAACATTTTATTTATTTATTTATTATAAATGAATATCGGGTTTAATATTATGAATTAAAAAAAAAAGTGATATAATTAAATAAAAATAAATATTGAGTTTTGTAGTTTTGAAGGTGAATATAAGATGAATACTATGTGGTGGAGTACCAATCTTGGTTGATTACATTAATTTTTTTTTAAAAAAATATTTTCTCCTGCCCTAATATTTATATTTACTTTTTATATGCAAATTAAAATATATTAGAATTTTAATAGTAGTAAATAGATATTAATAATATAAAGATCAAATTATCTTTAATTTTAAATATAAATAAATAATAAAATAAGGATTAAATGTTAAATAAATATGAAAGAAGTATTCGTAATTAATGGTAGGGTTCACAGCTACTAAAAAGAAAATGTAAACTTTTGAATCGGACAAACGCAAATAAAAATATGTAAACAGTGGACAAAAATATATATATAATATTAAGGTTTTTTTTTTTTTTAAATTTTTTTAGTTTTAAATAATTATTGAATGTGTTTATAATATAAAATAATGTATATATATATTCTATTTTTTTATTCAAGATATTATTATTTACATACAACACATATTTCAATTATTAAAAATGTCACATAAAAAATTAATTTTCAATAAACCTATGATTATTAGAAAACTTGATCAAATCATTTTTCTACAACATTTATATACGACTAAATCTTATATTGAAAAATATGTTTATTTTTTGAAATTTATGTTCAACTTAGAGAGAAGTTTTGAATTTTTGAAAAATTGTGAAAACCTAAATATTTGATATAATATATGTAAGAATGTATATATATATATATATGGGATAGGATACAAATTATAGTAGTAATTTTTTAGTGAATATAATTACTTCCATTAATATATAAACATAAATAAAGAAATTCCATTGAATTTTCATCAAAGCGTTACATGAATCTATTTGCTAAGAAAATTAAATGAAATGAACCCAAATATCATTGAGAGAATGTGTATATATATCTTATGTGGTTGGGGAAAAGCGTGTTTGGTTAATGCAACCACTCAAGTCAATATCCGTGAAATGATTAAAGAAAGACGTGTTTCCCACTACATTACACTGTGGTCTGGGCCCCATTCACAACGCCAGAATGGCCAACTACTCTTTCCGTCCAAATTCAAGTAAAATTTTAATAAATATAATATTATATTATTATTAAAATGTATAAATAGTTAAATTATTTGATGAAAAAATTCATGAAAAGAGGATAATTATGGTACGGTTTCTTTGACAATTTTATTTTTTTATTATTTGAAGAAAAAAAAAAAAAAAACGCATATTCATATATTTTGGTGTCCTTATCTGTCAATTTCAGAAAGTTAATTAATTTACTAGCCGTTGACATCGTTAGTAATTACTACAGCAAACAAAGCACTTGCCAGCAACGACCCGCCCGTTATATCGATTTTAAAAAAAAATCATAATTAGTAATGATAATGATCATACCACGATGTTCATCGAATCCTTCATTAATTGAAGAATGAATCATTATATTATTATTAAATTAATGCCGCGTATATGTTCTGTTATGTTGGAAGGGTATAACCGAAAGCTCAGCCGCCGGCACCATTACCAGTCCTCCCTCATTTCAGTCCAATTTGACCTTCCCTTGTTAGGGTTTGGGGTTTCGCAGAAAACCGATTTGATTCGAAGAATCTCTGATCAATTCAATCTGCTACCAGAGAATTCCCCTCCAATTTCTGAATTCCGCCTCGATTATTAGGTAATGCTCCCTTGGTTCTGCAATCGCCATCAATTTTGGGGAAAATGGGCAAGTGCGTGAGCAAACCAACGAAGAAGGAGACCACAAGCTCGAACGGAGAAGAAGCGCAGAAAAAACCGATCCAATACACAATGTCTCCAGGCTACGCCGCTCAATTAATTTCTCCGGCGCCGGCGCCACAGAAAGGGAAGACGATCCTCGGGAAGCCGTACGAAGACATAAAAGCGAGGTACAGTCTAGGGAAGGAGCTCGGGAAGGGGCAATTCGGCGTGACGCATCTCTGCACCGACATCGCGACAGGCCAATTGTACGCCTGCAAGTCGATATCTAAGAGGAAGCTGTTGACGAAGAGCGACAAGGAGGACATGCGCAGGGAGATTCAGATTATGCAGCACCTGAGCGGCCAGGCGAACATCGTCGAGTTCAAAGGCGCTTTCGAGGACAAGCAGTCGGTGCATCTGGTGATGGAGCTCTGCGCCGGCGGGGAGCTCTTCGACCGGATAATCGCCAAGGGTCATTACACAGAGAGAGCGGCGGCTTCCATGTGCAGGAGCATCGTCAACGTCGTTCAGATTTGCCATTTCATGGGCGTGATGCATCGTGATCTGAAGCCAGAGAATTTCCTGCTCTCCGATAAATCCGACAACGCTCTATTGAAGGCAACTGATTTTGGACTCTCAGTCTTCATCGAAGAAGGTATGATCAGAAACAAAACGAGATCTGATTCATGTTCTACAGATCACTTATAATTTTGGCAATGATTAGGCAAAGTATACAAGGACTTAGTCGGGAGTGCGTATTACGTCGCGCCGGAAGTTCTTCGCCGGAGATATGGGAAGGAGGCCGACATTTGGAGCGCCGGCGTCATACTGTACATTTTACTCTGCGGTGTGCCTCCATTCTGGGCTGGTAACTTCTCATCTAAAAACATTCCATTGTTTGATTTTTAGTTTTCATGTATGAACTGATTGGAGTGCTTGTTTGCAGAGACGGAGAAGGGAATATTCGACACCGTGTTGAGAGGTCAGGTGGATTTCGAAAGCGAACCTTGGCCATCGATCTCCGACACTGCTAAGGACCTTGTTCGTAAGATGCTTACGCAGGATCCGGAGAAACGGATAACAGCTGCCGAAGTTCTTGGTATGATCTTCTATTCATTGATGGTAAAAAACTCGGCTTGAAACTGGTTGTGTTTCGTGGGTTTTAGAGCATCCGTGGATTAGAGAAGACGGAGAAGCGCCGGATAAACCAATCGACAGCGCAGTTCTGTCGAGGATGAAGCAATTCCGGGCGATGAACAAGCTCAAAAAACTTGCTCTTAAGGTACATTGTGTAAAATGTTTACGCATTTCTTTAGGCACGTTTAGTCCTCACTATCTATGAATCAAAAACCATTTTTTCCAGGTCATAGCGGAAAATCTATCTGCGGAAGAAATTCAGGGGCTGAAATCGATGTTTGCGAATATGGACACCGACAAGAGTGGGACTATTACTTACGAGGAACTCAAAGCCGGGCTTGCAAGGCTCGGATCAAAACTGACGGAGGCTGAAGTCCGGCAGCTTATGGATGCAGTAACCTGCAAAATCTCCTAAACCAAAATGCACTTACTACAATCTTAACAACTGTGATCAAATCGATACACATTGTTCTTGCAGGCGGATGTGGATGGGAACGGGACGATCGACTACATCGAGTTCATAACAGCTACGATGCACCGACACCGATTAGAGCGGGAGGAAAACCTTTACAAAGCATTCCAACACTTCGATAAAGATGGCAGCGGGTAAGAACAGGATGTAGACATTATTGGCTACGAGAATGATTGGATTGATAATGTTTGGTTGTCGGTACAGATTCATAACGAGGGACGAACTGGAAGCAGCCATGGAGGAGCATGGGATCGGAGAGGTATCCACCATTAAAGAAATCATTGCAGAAGTGGACAGTGATAATGTCAGTGAGAGAGATTAATTCAACTAACTTGTGTTCTCCTTTTCTGTATCTTATCTTTATCTATCTGAACTGGTGGAGCATTTTGATGCAGGATGGACGGATTAACTATGAAGAGTTCTGTACAATGATGAGGACAGGCACACAACAGCAATCCAAGCTATTCTAGAACAACAAAAAAACATACCATTAATGTATCTGTCTTCCTGTCTGATTGTAATTTGTTCTGAATCAGACCTTCTGTTTTCTCCAATGATTCGATACAGTATTCCAATAAATTTTTACAAGAGCTTGATTATAAAATGCATTAGAAAACGAAGATCCGAGAGAAACAAACACGTACAGTGATTGGCCTTAGAAGCCGTGGATTTTGATATCGTCCTTTTTGACGATGCCGGTAGAGATGAGGAACTGAGAAACGTTCTTCCGCTGATCTCCCTGGAGTTGAATCACCTTCCCCAGCTCCTTGTCCTGAACCACGGTGCCGTTGCAGCAGAACTCTTTCTTCAGATCTTTCAGGATTTTCTCGTAGCTGAACTCCTTCCTCAGCCCCTGGACTGTGGTCAGGCACTTCCTCCCGTTCCTCTGCTGTATGCGGATGTGCACATAATCCTTTGCTCCTGCGGCGCCTGAGTCTTTGGCCTCAGCGAAGGGATCATAAGCACTTGGAATCTGGATGTCCAACTCAACCATGAACAATATCTCCTCTCGTTTCCTCTGGAAAGTTCTCGACGTACTATCGAACGCCTTTTAACTGCAAAAACATTGCACGCATTTCATCATCTTATAATACAACCAACACAAGCATAAGAAGGCGAAACAAGTCGTATGCATATTATTCAAAACGATTATCGATACTCTTTCGTCGAATCGAAAGTCGTCAAAAAAATATGATAATTTCGGATATCCAATACGAATACAATCGCACCATAACATCGATCGGAGATTGACATCCGTATTCTTCAAGAGGATTTCAAGAAAAAATCACCTTATAAATCAGAGAAAAATCATCGTTTTCTGAAGAGCATACATACCTCTGCAAAACTTGCGGGAAAGTCCGGTGCTTCCAAGAATGAATGTTCTGGAGAGAAACGTATGTGTTTATTTATAAAGAATTTTTTTAGTCGGTAAATTTGGCTTTGTAGGCTTTTAGCGTCAGAAAAAGCCAACTAACCCTTGGGAGAACGAACTAGAAATCTCGCAAGTGCTTCAGGATACAATCCTAGCCGAACGCGTGGATAAATAATGGACGGTCCAAATTTGTGATGTTATACAGTTATGATTGTAAGCTTCACGAACATTCCGTTGCATTCTGGACAGAGAGGTTTACACTATTATATTGAGATTAAAATTAATATATTTTAATTATATATTCAAAGATAAATTTTTTTTATTGTTCTTGAACCTTTTTTTTTTTTTTTTTTATAAAAACTCATTTTTTAAATATAATATTTGACCTAGATCATAAATTCTAAAAAGGATTTATATATATATATAAACTAAAAAATATTTAAAAATTAGAACCAACACACAATAAATACAATTGAACTTCACGTTGCACGAATATATAGTGGTAACACTAAGTCATGTGTACACACATATGTATCCTTTGAATTGTTATTTTAAAGTATATGTTACATATTGTCTCTTAAGTAGTGAATGCAAATGGTAGGCAAGAACAATGATGTTATGCATACAATTGGTCCTTAAAAATCTGCCAGCAAACTCTATTACATATATAGATATACATATGCAAATAAGATTAATTTGCCCTGTAAGATATCACCAGCAGCTTACTTGCCACAGAATTCGATTCGATTAAAAAAAATAAAAAATAAAAGCAAGATGAAGAGGGGTATGATTACGATGATGATTCAGGCGGCTGAATGATCCGGCAATCGTTTCAGGTCCATTTCAACTTGGTGAATTGTCCACTGCATATTTTCCAATTTCTGCAAGAGACAAACACTCTCATGAGGTTCTATATTACAATAATAACAAGAAAGAATGATAGGGATTTTTTCTACTTTCACAATGTCATGGTATTGTCTGGCAATGGTATCAAAGTGAGGATCGACCCCTTGATACTCTCTAAGTCTTGTAATCTGTTGAATAAAACAACAATCAGACTGGTTCCACACAGGCTGTTTATTTAGGCGACACTAACCAATGAAATGCCTCAGATTGATACTTGAAATAAATAATTGAATAAGAGTAGCATACTTACAGCTTTATTATATGCAGTTGAAGCTTCTTCTGTTGATTCAACCAGATACTTCCTGTGCAAAGCCAGAATTGTGATACTAAGATCCACAAAGCAACGTAGAAGTTTATATGGGAAGTATGTTTGCTAACCGGATTTTGTGGAGTGCTGGAATGGTGTCTGTAGTGTATGTTTCGAGCAGGAGAATATGCTCCAACACTCTTCAATTAAGAATCAAGAAGGCAAATATGTTAGCCAATTATATTAACAGGGGCATGCTACACGATAATTTTCATTTCAATTCACAAACAAGCAGATGGAAACAGAACCTTAATTTAGCATTCATGGTCTCACATCTTTTGCACAACCAAGTCTTTTGTAGTTCATCCTATGAAATTACAGAAAGCTTCGTAAGAATCTTCGCAAAAGGCTTTTTCAAAGACAATAGCATTATGATTCAAGCAGTCTCTTTGGCGTAGAAGATATAAGATCCAGGTATATTCTGTAGCAATTGAATTAGAAACTCACATATTTATGCTGATGATCAAGTTTTACATCCTTAACAAGCTTAATAAGCACCCCCAAAATCTGCTCCAAAACCTTCAATAGAAATGGAATTTTTAAAAGATATATGCAATTATGACTGATTAAGGAAAAAACCTAATCAAAGATTTGCAGAGGAATAAATCATCATAAACAAAAAAATCTTGCTTACATTATAGTACTCTGCAAATTTTCTGTCAGAAGAATAGAGATCCTCCCTCCATGCTACTTCCTCTCTTTCAATCTCCTCAATGATCAATTTCACTCTGTTATACAAGAATTTACCCGTAAAAAATCTCCAACTGTAAGCTTAAACAGCACTATTATCACATCTTTAGAATGCAACATCAGATATAAATAGACAAAGCTGAGACGGACAGACAAATTCATGTTGTTACTTGTCAAAAGATGAGAAAGAAAAAAAAAAAAAAAGGAGTAAGAGAGAGACCTTTCTGGAAGTCTAGAATTCAGATTTTGGTGGCTAATGGGTGAATCTGGCACCAAAGAAGAAAAGGATAGTCACAGAAGAGTAAAGATACAATAAAGAATGAACAAGCTGGACATACAGACAAGAACCAAACCACAAAATAATGATTGAGAGCAAGCAATATAAATAAGACAGGTTATGAAGTTATAAGTAATCAATGATCCATAGCATTTTAATATTCATCATACTGCCACAAAATAATAAGGCAAGATCAAGTATGTATACTAACCAGAGTCATCAATTACAATAGAATCTGCTAGTTTATCACATTTGGCATCTAAGCGACTGGCAATCTCACGAGCAAGCAGAACCTGGTATTCAGCACTGTCCTACATTTCAGTGAAATCAAATTATTCAACGATGCTATCAATAAGTATGATGCAATCATATCAGTGACCAAAAATCCATACAATTGAAAGTGGTGTCTGTTGAATATGCGCTTGCCACAAGTACGACGGTGTTATTCCAAGGAACCTATTTGGTACACCACCAACTTCTGGTTCAGATGGATCAGTGACCCCAGCAGAGAAAGAATTGCTTGCAGAAGCTCCTCCCCCAATAGCAGATACATTAGTATAGTTTGTTGAGTTTGTGCTTGAGACACCAGTACTTGTACTATCAAGTGAACTTCTCGACATAATACTCCATTTCTCAATTTCTTCCTCATGTATCTCACCATCTTTAGAAATGAGAGGAAGCCTCAATCTTTGAGCCGCTTCTGCAACAACCATCCGGTGCTCAAGAGTCTCATAAACCTGAAAATTGAAACCTTTTAACCACCTTTTTGCTAATGCAGAAACATAAGCTGTTTTTGGAGTCGATTTAACTTCCAGATAATTGATTTGTTCAATTTTCATTTCATTCACTTCAATATAAAAAACCATGTATTGATCTAGCATTGAAGTAGAAACATGAACGCAAATAAATATCTTTAAGTTAATGAAACAACTCAAGAAAAGCTTGTAAATAGATGCATTAACATGATTTCTAGCCTACGATGGTAACAATGCTTCCACTTATTATTACACAAATCATCTTAAACTGAAACCTGGGGGAGGCTCTTCAGTCCGAGCTGCGGGTAAAGCCCCTGCACGTCACGAATGCCGCCCAAATTGGCCACCGAAACGGCTTGCTGATACTCCTCCACCATCGCTATCGCCTCTATGTACACCGCCTGCGAGATTTTGCAAACACCACTGACAATCAATACAATTAAAAACCAGCAATTCATAGGATCGATCAATTGGAGGAAAACTACCAGCGCTTCCAAGTAACGTTGCCTCTCTTTACACATTTCTTCTCTGGCCTGCATTTTAAAATCAGCCAAAAAAAAAACCCTAAAAGAATCAAAACTGCGAACACGAAAAAGAGGAACATATTCAGAAGTAGAGATGAAAAACTCAATACGAGCTGGAGATCATAGTAGGTGGACTTGGAAATGAGTGAGCCGTCGGGGGCCAAGCAGTGGCGCTCCAATTGATCCATCATTTGGATCACGTCCGCCGGAAGATTTTGCGCTGCCAAAATTTTGGCCATCGCCTTCGGCTAGATCTCCCCTTTCCTCCCCTATTTCGCGTGTCCTCCGTTGCAATGGCAATCCGATTTTCGAAATTCAAAATGCTAAAAATGAGTCGTGTGCTTTACTTCGCCGGCGATGCACACTACCAGAACGACGCCGTTTTAAAGAATCACTCTACTGTTTATGCCTGCTTCCCTCTTTTTTTAAATTAAAAAGGGTTTATTTTGTTTGTTGGTCTACAAGATAAAAGGGTATATGATTGATTATTTGTGGGATTTGTCTTTCACTTTTATTATTTTAATTTATTTTTTTTAAAAAAATATTAAATTAAAATACTTATTTTTTATTTATTATAATACATTAAAATTAAATTTACATTCAAAATATGTAATTAATACATATTTATATTATATCAAAATTATTTTAATTTAAAATTTTATTATAAGTGAATAATTAAAAATATTTTTATAAATATTTTATAATACTATTATAATGATATTTTACAAAATATTTATATAAATATAAAAATATTTTTAATATTAAATATAAAAATTAAATGAAGCCATTAGAACTAGGATAGATAAAGTAATTAATATATATTTAGAGAAAAAAATAATTTTAATTTTAATATAATCAAAGTAAATTAATTTTAATTTTAATATAAATCACTTTTAATCAATTTTAATTTTATCAATAAATCAACAAAAATTGTTAACTTAATAAAATACTTGACTCGAAATAAACACGACGTCAAAAACAGGCCAAACACTGCCATTTTAGTATGTAAAAATGACAACTTTTATTTCAATTTTAAATATAAATAATAAAATACTTCTATTTAAAATCGACAATATATATATGATATATCTATAAATATTAATTAAAAAAATTACGAAATATTAATTTATATTAATAAATATTCCATCAGTCCCGCATGTTATGTCCACGTTTCTATTCGTCTCATGTACCATATCATTTTTTTTAAAAAAAATAATTATACACTTTAATTTTATTTTTATAAAAATTTTAATTAAATTAAAATATAAATTTTTAATTATCTATTAATAGTACCCCTTACAGTACAGTGTATTTCACGCATATGTGAGAACGGAGGGAGGGAGTATAAATTTAGGAGTTAAAGAGGCGGTTGGCTCGAATAGAATCGCGGAGAAATAGCTGAAGGAAAAAGACGACCAGTAACTCTGAAATCCGGATCAAGGAACAGGCGGAGTTTCAATCGTTTGCCGGCAATTCTTTGACCCATATCTGCTTTTACATGGAAAAAGGGAAGGCCAAGGAATCCATTCAGGCTTCTTTACGCAATCTCCAATTGAACAATAATTCCGGCAATTCAAGATCGACCGACGGGTTTTCAATTGAAATTAATCGTCAATCAGGTATGCATCGGCGTTTTTCATTGGGGTTCGTTTCCGCTGATACTGAAATCTTTTGGGCGAGTAATTTTTATTTTTTTGAAGTTTGTGTTTGGCTGCAGAATTCTTGAGGTCGATTAAGGGAAAGACGCCGCCAAGCTTGTTAAATTTGTGCCTGGGAGTTGTCGGGAGCAATCTTGAGGACGTTATTTCTGATCTATCTGAGATTGCCCTTGCTTTCCCGCCCGATATTAAGGTAGCAATTGAATGGAATTCGAATGGATTTGGACCAATTGTTATGTTGCAATTCATTAGGGTTTGTACTGTTTTTAGTTAGTGATTCGATGGGAACCTTCTAATCTTAGGCTACTTTGGAATGTAATGGAACAGCTGGTGTTGTTGGCTATTGCAAGAAGAAGAAAATTGCTCAATGATGACGTTCTCATTGCCTTGGCAGATAGCTCATGGGAGATACTTGATATATCTGGTTCAGATGTTTCCGATTCCGGTCTTTGCCGCGCCTTGAATGCCTGCCAACACTTGAGAGCTGTGGATATTAGGTAGCTTAAAGTTCATCTTGTTTCTTGTTGCTAACTGTGCCGAAGCTATTTAATATAGTAAAGCTGAGAACGAACATCTTCTATGGTTATCAATAGTACATATAATGTGTCTTGCCTGTTAGTTTTCTGGTATCCTAAAGTTGCGCGTCGTCAGGATAGTTTTGAGGGAATTGATTACGTCCCACCCGTATGTGTATATAGGTGTAGTAATTCAACGATGTCGTTCCAAATCTATGTTTAATTTGGCTGTTATTTTCCAGTCGGTGTAGCAGACTCACGTCAACAGGAGTTTCACAACTTCTTCAGCATTGTCACTCGCTCGAGATTTTGAGATGGGGGTATGTTTTCTCGTTCCATAGAGCTGTAGTTTGGAGATCTTACAATACTGCTGTCACATTTTCTGATTCACTTTTGTTTGAATGCATCCATTGCATTGTGTGTGACGTCTTAATTGGCAGTGGTCTTGAGAACTTTTATAGGTATTAAAAGCCAGAGTGGCAATAACTGTGGATGACAACTATTGAGTGTGGAAAATGTAGAAATTAGAAACAGATAATATGTGTGTTTTGTATTGCTTGTTGAATAGTTTTATGGGAACGCCGCAATAGATTAATGAGAGATGATATGAGCTGTGGGAAGTGCATTTTGGGAGAGAAGAGTTAGTTAGGCTATACATAGAAAATTACAGTCAATAATGCAGGAAGTGGTTTGAATCTGGTAAATGTCTTTTACTGAACAAATCAATTTATTTCGGGATGTTCGTGGATAAATTGCACCTATATTCTATAGCAAGAACGTCAGCTTGGCTGGTTAGGTTTCTGTAAATGTCTTTTTATAGGACATGTTCCTCTACTTTGAACTTGAAATTTCTAAGGAAAAACTTCTAGGCTGTAATTCCTAAGAATTTATGGTTGAATGGTTTCTTTGAATCGTTCAACTTAAATGTAGGTTACAATTTTCTGGGTTGAAACACAAGAAAAACACATGTTTATGACGCACATGTGCTTCCTCAAATTTCATTGAAGATAGTTATTTTGTAACTATGCGGCTAGCGTCGGTACATGTATTTATTGCATTGCGATGCTGGTTATAGCAATTGAGAACGAAAATAGTGGTTAAGGTTCGTAGATTCATGGCCTCCATGCAGTGCTGAGAAGTGAGATTGGTACTAAACCCTCATTTAACATATTGAGTTTCATTATGTGCCGGTTTAATAAGGTCTTATATTGTAAAATCAGGTTTAATTTACAACCTCCATCTATTCTTTTGTTTGATGCATCGAATATACTTATGCAACACTTCATATCTACGCGGTCTAACAAGTTATAACAAGTGACCACTACTTTAGATCATTATCATTTTATTATAGTGGCCCAATTATTCTGTGAGATGCATAACAGGAAATGAACAAAGTTAATATTGCAGAGGCTGCCCGAGGAGTGAAAACACCGCCCGGATATGCTTGAGTTTCTTAAAGCCTAACCTCAGTAACGTCGAGGGGGAATCGTGGGAAGAGCTTGACGCCGAAGCGTTGACTCATGGCGCTCAATCGCTCCGCTGGCTTGTGTGGGTAGGAATTTCCTTCTTTCCCTTTTATGTTTTTTATTACTACGTTGCTTGTTATTTGGATTGTTGTTTAGGTTGAGACCGGCACCTATTCATTCTTTGCAGCCAAAAATCGACAAGAATTCGCAGGAGACGTTATCCATAGAATGCCCACGAATTGTAGTTAATCCGAGATCATCTCCTTTGGGTTTGAGGGGCATCGAAATCCCCCAAGAAGCATTAATTCAGTTTGCATTGGATGACCCGATTGTTAAAGACATCGATCCAAAAACTTGGGCTGTATCTGTGTACATTACATCTACATCTACATCTAGAACGCCTCTCCTACCAGTTTCATCTTCGACCGACATGTCCATAGCTGAAAAATTTAGGCTAGCGTTCGTAGAGCGAGACAGTCGGTTAGCGCCAAAGAGAGCCAAAAATGCTCGGCAACATCAGCGACGCGCCGAGAGGGAACGGTTAATGATGGATACCAGAGCTAAAGCATTGGTTCTTGCTTCGAAGGCTACAAAATCTGTCGCGAGGAATTTGTGAGGGAACTTCTGGAAAACGAATCAAGGCAAGTGGAATTTTTGTTCTTTGTGCTTTTTATTAGTGCAAGGTCGTTTCTTTGGGTCATCGTGTTGTGCTTGGAAGATTTAGTGTGAAATTTAATCGTCCTGAATATGTTTTTCTAATGTACAGATGTTCAATTCCAATTTCGTATATGTTTGTCGAAGAGACCTGCAATCTCAAGAAAACTAACGAATCTGAATGAATCTTGTAATTTGGTAAAGATTGTGATTGATTGTCTTGAATCTTGTTTTTTTGGTTTGGACAAGATTCAATGAATGGCGGCGGCGGCGGCTGCGCCGCCGAATGTATAGATTGGTCCAGCTAATACACGTCACACCATGCATTGTCTCTATGACTCCAATTTCTGTCTATGGGTGGGTGTGGTTGCTTTGTCGTACTTACATTTTCAATTTTACTATTTTAATTTTATTTTTTTAAAAAAATATGAAATTAATATCTATTTTTTATTTATTATATTACATCAAAATTAACTTTTATATTCAAAACATTGTATAAATACATATTTATATCACATAAAAAAATTATTTCAATACATATCTTGTCATTGATTATGTTAATTAGCATTTTTAGAAGAATTAATTTTTTATTTTTTTTTTGGTACAAGACACTGTGTTGTTAATATAAAAAAAAATTTATTTAAATTTTTTTTAAAAGTGGAAATTATTTGAAATATCTTATTGTTATCTCTATTTTAAATATACAAACATGTTTATATATATATGTTTAAAATTTCTTATTTTATTAAAGAATTAATAGAAATTCCTTATGTATAAATACATAGATACACTTATTTTTATAATTATTAAAACCTTCAAAAACACATTTTTATATTAATCATATAAACTTGTAACCATCGCGCAGACCGGGTATTTGGTTGGGGGTATGTTTGTGTGTGTAAATTTTCAATTTTTAATGTTTAATTTTAATAATTTTAATTTAAAACATTTTTAAAATGTCTCAAGACTATTCCAATATACGTTGTACATATATATATATATATATATGTAGCAGTGATCATTGATTCTTCAAATAACTTGTCGGCTGCGGCTTCTATTAATACCTATCCAAATCTCACTACCCACATGCGTTTTAAGCATTTATATAAAACTACTAGACAAGGGCTGTGTTTGTTTACTATTGTGATTGAAAGTTTGATTAAATTGAAATTTTAAGATATTAGTATTTGGTAAATATATAATGGGTTTATTTACTTTCTATTTTTAGTTGAAATAATTCGCATAAATATTATTAACCTCACATTACCACCTAAAATAAAATATATATATACATTAATATAATTTATATAACATATATATTTTTTTTGTCATCAAAATTTATACTAAGTATTTTTATTCGTTAAAAAAAATCAATAATTAAATAAAAAATATTAATTTTATATTTCAAAATAATTTCTCTGTATCTAATACTCCATAGAACACTTACATTTAAAAATACCAAAGTGAATAAAATGAAACAATTTCTAATAGATATTATAAAAAAATACAATATAGATAATATATACCTGATCTACTCAAAAAAAATTAATAATTCAATACAAAATATTATTTTTTATATTATTGAATCGATTTCAATAAAATATTTTTTAACATGAATATTATTTAGTAAAAATAAAAAAAAATATATATAATTAAAATATATTAATATTATTAAAAAATAATATTAAATATTTATATTTATATATGAGTGATCAAAAATAGAATTTTATTTATAAATTTTATATTAAGAATTTTGAAAAATATATGGAATGAATAAGGCTGGAAAGTAAGCAAACATATCCCTTTGATTACTTAAGTTGTGTGTCCCACTAGCTTCTTTTAATATAATTGATTAAGTAAGAGTATAGGTTTCCTTTTTTTCTTAAAAAAAATTATAATAATATTTATGCATATTTATTATTTTTATATTATTTATTTAATTTTTTATATCTAAAATAAATTTTTATTTTTTAAATTAAAATACGAAACAAACATACCACTAATATTTTATGTTAGGGTATGGTTGTTTTTTTTTTTTTATTTATTTCACTTCACAATTTATTAAACATAATTTTTAATAAAAATAATTTTTTATTTTATTTTATATAATATCAATATATTATTTAAACAAAAATTGAAATGACCACTTCACTTTCAAATTAAAATTAAACAAACTCTTGATACAAGTGTTGGTCATTTAATATTTTTATAGGTTTTTAGCTTTTTGACAGCTAATTAAAGTATTTTATAAGAAATTTCATTTATTATTATTATTATAAGAAAAAAAAATTAAATTTTTAAATATATACAGTAATTTTATTTTATTTTTATGTATAAGAGGATATTTACCATCATACGAAACATGTATATAGATAAAAAAGAATAGGAACCGTGGAATTTGAAAAATGGGCTTTCTGACTATAACATCGTGTTAAATAATGTACATGAACAATATGACATACATATTATTTATTTATTTATTTATTTACAAGAATCAAATAACAACAAGTATTATTATTATTATTATTATTATTATTATTATTTATAAATATATGTATTTTAATTAAAATATTAAATTGAACAATATTATATACTTACAAATAAAAAATAAAAAAAAAAAAAAACTCACACACAAAAAGCCAATCGCCCAATTGCACAGAAAGCTGCAAAAATAATAAAAAAATAAAAAATAAATAAAATAAGTCTTGTTCGTATATCGTGGAATATGCATCTATCTACACTACACTACACATGCATAGTGGCCACATAATTAAATTAATTGTTCTTTTTACTGAAAAGACATGAGGCTGTGTGTATATATATGTATATGGCTGTATTTTTAGATCTTTCAATTTTTTGTATTAATTATTTTATTTGTAATAACAATAAATATCAAATATAATATAATATATATATATATATACATATATAAACTTTCATACATTTATCTCTGGACAAAAATGCATGGAGTACAAAAAATAGTTTTAATAATTTTGAGATGAAATAGTTGATATAAATGATTTTTTATAGAGTACAAAAAATAAGCATTGAGTATAATATTCTTAAGAAAAATTGAATCATTGATGGTAAAAATAAAAACTACCTATGCATTCTAATTTCATTTTGAATTTGTATTTTAATATTTTGACACTATTTTATAAGATAAAATAATAAATTAAAATAAACAAATTTCATAAAATGGACCAAAAAAACATCAAATCCCAAACAAACAAATCTAAAACTGTGTTTTTCGAAGTTTTATTATAATAATATTTTTGTTCAATTATAATTAATATTTTTTTCCCTCCACTACTAAATTTCTTATTTTATTATTTTATATGTCCAAATCAAAATTTTATATTTTATTTTTTTTTTAATAAAATTAATTTTTAACTAAATACGAAAATACGTATATATATATTTTTTATAATATTTTTACTTTAATATTAAAGGTAAAACAGACATTACAACATTACATAATATATTTAGAAAATATTAATATGCTTTAATTCACATGAAAAATCAAATAAAAAACTTATCGATGGAAGAAGAAAACACTATTTTATTAAAAAAAATTTATATATTTTTATAAAATAAAATAAAATAAAAGTAAAAGTAAACTAAAATAAAAAAATAAAAATAGGAGACAGCCATATGCCTGGAAAAAACATTAATAAATAAATTAGGACAAGTGTTTGTTTATATATGTATATATATACATATATGAAATGGAAAATGTCCAGTGGCCAATACTCTCTTCTCTTCTTCTTCTTCTTCTTCGATTCTTCTTCTCCATCGCCTTTGTGTTATTTGTCTTCTTCTTCCTCAATCATTATATTCTCACTGCAATTCATTCTTCCAATCAAAATCAAAATCAAATCATCTCGCACTGAATCTCGATCGTATGCAGACCATATCACATCACAACCCTAATTAATTTCCTCAACCAATGACAGATCTATCTATCTAGCCATAGCTAGGGTTCCTAATCCTACCTAAGCTTCTTATCAATCTTCCAAAATGGAGAATATGTACATCAGCAACCCCAGATTATGGCGATGGAAGACCACTAGTACTACTGATCAAGAAGAATTCCACGAGGCTGACATCTGGGGAGCTTCTGCGCCACGTCACCATAATTCCGACGCCGATTCCGATTCAGATTCTCCCATCATTAATGTCGCCGCCGCCGCCGTATCGAGGCGCCTCCCGACGGCGTCCAGAATGATCCCGAAATCTAATTCCGGCCACAAAAAGGAAGCTTCTTTACAGCAACAGGACCCTAAAATGATCCAACGGTCGGCTCCCCTCAACATCCCAGATTGGTCCAAAATCTACGGCGGATCCTACTCCGGCGGCGGCGGCGAGGGGTGCAGAAGCAGCAGCTGGGAGAGCGACGAGGAGGAGGAGGAGGCGGACGGAGAAGGGAAGATAATTCCGCCGCACGAATGGGTGGCGGCGCGGCGGGTGGCGTCGTTCTCGGTGGTGGAAGGCGCCGGGAGGAAGCTCAAAGGAAGAGACCTGAGCAGGGTGAGGAACGATGTTCTTACCAAAACTGGGTTTCTTGAACCCCAATAATTAATTAATTAATTCATGGATCCATCATTCCAATTTTTTTTTTTTTTATTTTATTTTGCAATAGTTATAAACTTATAATAATAATAAATATATATTGGAATTTGGAAAGTGAACTTGTTATATAGTAGTATCATCATTGTAGTGACTTCTATGTATGTTAATTAAGTTGGGTGTGGGTGTTTTGTATTTAAGTTATATTATTTATATTTATTACTTTTTTTTTTTTGGTGCAAAATCATGAAATTTAATAAATATTTTTTTAATATTTTAGTGAGAAAAGATTTATTTATTCACAATATTATATTTAATATTTATTTATATTGGCTACACTATCAAACACCATTTTAATTCAGATTTAAAAAAAAAGTCCCAAGTTTGAAATAAAAACAAGAATATGATGATGATGCGAGCAAAGGAAAGGGATGTCGCACCAACAACTTTATTTTCAATAATTATTTGGGTGTAATATCGTGCCAAAATAAAAGATAATGTATTATCTTTTGTCATTTGTTAAATAAATAATATTTAAGATTATTTATTAATAGTGATTAAATTATTATGTCAATTATTTATAGCAAAATATTATTAGATGAGTGTGTTTGTTTGATGAGATAATTTAAAGCGAATTTATATATATATATAAGATATAAAAAATTGGATAAAGAATGTAAAAGTAATAATATGTGATATATTAAATATTTTTTAAAAAACTATTTTGCTAAAAGAATACACCACTAATTTTTTACTATTCCTTCCGTCCCACTAAAAAGTTGTCGTTTATTTTTTGCACATAAATTTTTTAATATTAGTATTATATTTGGTTTATAGTAAAAAATACAAAAATATATCTATTAGTATTATGTGATATAAAATTAATAATATTTGTGTAATATATTACAAGTTGAAAGAGTATTAATTATGCTAAGTAGATAATAGAATTACTAAATTAGAAAATAATAATATTATTTTGGGATAAACAAAAATGAAAAATTACAAACTTTTCAATGCGACGAAAATTGTATTTTTAATTAAGACTGAGAAAAAAGTATTTACTCTTTCTACCTACTTTCCTATGGCTGTTGCATGTCCAAAAAATAAAAAATAAAAAATAATATAAAAAAGTTATATTATTTAAACAATTAATTGAAAAATGAGTTTAATTGATATTATATATATATATATATGTATGAACTAATAAAGATAGTAAATTTGTTATTATGTGTTCAAGAAAAATATTTGTGTTTGTTTGGAGGTTTGGATTTTGAGTTGGGATTTAAATAGTAAAAATTTTGAATTTGAATAGTTGTACGATGTGATATAAACAGGTGTTGATGTGATATTTTGAATATAAAATTGATTTTTAGTATAATATAAAAAATAAAAAATATGTGTTTGATTTATATTTTAAAAAAAAAAATTGGATGAACAGTGAAAAAAATCCAATCCCTCGAACAAACACGGCCATATTTAAATGAATGAAAAAACCTATTTCCATTTATGACACATGCTTTAGTTTGATGAACATACTTATATATTGAAAAATAAATGTTGATGTTGCATTTGTAGAAAAAATGTGATAATGTCATTGAAAATAATACCAAAACATAGGATAATTGGATTATAATATATGCTTCTAAGGGTCTTATTTACTTTTTGCATGTTGATATTTGAATGTTAATTATTATATCAAAACGTTGTATAAATTAAAAAAAAAATTACAAAAATATTTTTATTAGTATCTTATAATACTAATAAAAAATTATATAAATTAGCCATTTGGATTTCATAGATGATTAAATAATAATAACATTTTATTGGTTAGTGGAAGTGTGCATGAGATTTTGAATTTTTTTATCCTTTGATTTTATATTTAAAGTAATTATATGTGTAATAATATGTTTGAAATTTAAATAAAAATTAATGATATTTTGGTATTAGTGTATTATTATAATTTTTTTTTTAAAAAAAATAAATACTTTGAATTGAGACAAATAAAAATAATAAATAGAATAATTTGAATTTGAACGAAATAATTATATATTAACCGTCGGCCCGAGTTGGGCTAAAATATTTATAAATTAGTTGAGTCTAGCCAAGGCTGCCCAATATAATTAATTTTATGGGCTAGATTGTGGTATATAATTTTATATGAAGAAATAATAATAATAATAATAATAATGCACATATCTTAAATTTTATTATTAAATTTTTTCTTAATTATCTATTAGTTGAGTTTTGCTTGATAGGTCGAGGTCCAATTCTCGAAACGGGTCGGGCCCCACTACTTTTTTCTAAACGAATTGGACTAGAAAACCCAATTTCTGAAATGGGCCAGGCCCAGTGTATTTTCTTTTATTATTAATCAATTACATGTCCCATTTTCTTTTGGGCACGTCAAGAGCAAATAATATCATTGGATGCTAGTTGGCCTACAAAATGATGAAAAATGAATAATTAATAATAAATAAATTAATTAGATGAAGAGAGTCAACTATTAGCTAAGGTCAATGTTCTTGATGGCATATTGGAACCTAATTATTATAGCAATCTTATGGATGGCTTATTTATTTATTTATTTTAAAAATCATTCTAAAAATCTTGGTAATATTTTAATTCAATGATAAAGTACTTATGTCTGTGTTCGATTTAATTAATTTAAGACAGTAAGGATAATACAGTCAATAATTTTGTCTCAACCGTTGGATTTCCAAATCCTTTTAATTTATAGCCGTCGATCATCGTTTATCCACATGGTAGGTATTATTGAAACAGATAAATGGCCAAGAATCTACCAGTATGTTGGCCTGGCTATGGGGTTATAGTTGAATTTCAGGTTGAGCATACAAAATTTAATAAAAGTAAATATTTATATAATATGTTATTATTATTATTTATCTCATTATTTTTTATCAATAATTTAATAATTTTTTTATAATATATTTTTTAACTTTTATTTTATTTTAACATTAAAATATTACTTCAAATTTACAGAAAATCTACTAATATTTAGAGAAAATAATTTAGAATTTAATAAATTAATGAAAATAGAAATAGAATTTTTATTTATTTATTAATTTTTTTAAAAGATGAAATGAGCCAAGTTTTGATGGAAGGAATATATGTAATTTAGTTATGGATTTCAAACAACTATTTTGACCCATACATTTTCAATAAAAAATAATTTTATTTAATAAAATATCAAAATCAACCCAAACAAACTTAAAATACGATTGTTCATTAAAACATATGTACATAACATAGAGTGTATTTGTATTTTTATCTATTATTTTTTTTTTTAATACCTAAAAAATACTAAATTAAATAGTTTGTATTAAAACAATATTATTTTCTTTTCATAATAATATAAGATATGTAAAAACGGTTCCATAAATATTAAAAATATAAACATCTAGGTCAATTTTGCTTAGGTTATAATATACACTAATGATTTGAGGCGGTAGTTGTGGAAGAGTTGAAAGGGCACCAACAGTTACCTAATGTCAAGCGTTTCAATTAATTTTCTTTTAAAATTATCAAACCAAAATATTTTAAGTTAAAAATATAATAACATATATATGTATATATATGTTATGTTTTTTAAATTACATAAACTATTACTTTGGACACGAGATTTGATAAAAACTACCTATAAAAAACTTTTTTTTTTTCATTATGAGTGTATTAGTGTAAAAAGTAGTGACAATTGTGTAATAAAAATAAAAAAAATGTAATTTTACGGTGATATGATTATTTATAAAAATAAGACTGTTCTTATTGAAAATAAGTGAATATTTTAATTTACTTTTTTATTATTTTAAAAATCTAACCGGTCCTAAACTTAGAGGCAGATTCCCTTAACTTTAAGTTGAATCTGTCAGTTCCATTGCCTACGGTCCTTAAGCATGATCTACTCTACCCTCTCTATACATACACAATTAATAATAATAAATAAATAAATAAATAAATAAATAAATGTATAGCAGTAGCAGGAGGAAGCAGGCAGGCAGTTGTAACAAATACTTTGGCAGTTGACACCACCACATCATTCATTGTATTTTTCTCAAAGCAACCTCTAATAAAAAAGCATGAATTTCTATGCTCTTTTTATGATACTATTTAATACTAACCATTTATTTCCATGAAATTCTTGCAAATAAATTTAATTAAGAGGGGCCGTACGCCTCGCCTGGTTGGTCACAAGCAATTTTCATATTACCAATTATTATTAAACTTTCATGACTAAAAACTATTGCAAGTGTTGATGGCAACCTCTGTGATCATTACAGATACATATACATATATATATATTGTGAAGAATGGACAAGAAGAAGAGAAGATGGATTATGAGCTGTAAAATTATTTCATGTGATGAAGGAAGAAGGGAGGGAGACAGTAGCCATGTTCTTCACACGTGCACCATGTGTTCTATGATCTTTTTTGGCACTTGATCAAAAATTTAGAAAACATAAAAGTATTAAATAAAATTGGAATAGAATAAAAGCACACACCTCCTCAATATATCCCAGACAATGTAATTATTGGAAACCCACAATACAGTTGTTGTCTATTTTTACTAATTACGTTCGATCAACACTAACGAAGAAGATGCTTAACAACTGATCAAAACCCAACAAAATTCGAATCTTATCTTGTAGCAAATCGAATCAAACAAGAACCCAATTCATTAAAGTTCCTGCCTTTTTTGTGATTACTTTTTCCATCCATCATCTTCACTGTTAATTTAATGGCTGGCTGTAGATTTCGGTGCAGTAAATAAAACCAGTACCTGTAAATCCTTGACACGATAGATTAAGGCCAAGAATTGAAAACAGAAAACCCAACAAAACCTCCATGGATTTGATGAAAAAAACAATATAAAAGTACACCATCTCCTCGAAATCCTTGGGGAAAAAAAAGAAAATGGCGGTCAGAATTGCAGAGAGGCAGACAGGCCCACCGACACTCAACAGGGGGTAGGGAAGAGCTATGGAGGGACCGTAAAAGTTAACTGGCATTAAAATAAATTCTTATTATTATTAAAATTGAAAAAAGAAATTAAAATAAAGACATGGAGTTGGGTGGGCGGTGGGTCTCATTCCGTTCTTCTCAAAATTCCACGTACTTCGTCTTCTTCCTCAATTCTCTCTTTTTGCTGCTTCCGTCTCAGATTCCACTGTAAGAAAACAAAATTAAAAGTAGCAGTCTATCTTCACAGATTGAGGAGCCCTGTAATTTGATGGGTATGTATCTAGAAATGTGCTCTTCGCGAATCCAGAGGAAAATACATTAATGTATCTATCTATGCCCTCGTTTTTGTCGGCTGAGTAAAGTTATTTCCAATTTTCCCGATCTTCGATTTCTTTATTTTTCTACGCTATTTCTTGCAATAGCAAGAGCGTTAATTCCTCTTTCAGCTGCTTAAATTCGAGTTGCAATCGGCTGAAAATTTGGGGATTTTTTTTGGATCTGTTTACTGAGCTGATTTCGGTGGGTCTTCTCGAGATTTCCGATGAACTGCGCTTAATTCGGACAATTACGAGTTATTTGGGGAAGGGAAGGATGTCTTGGAAGACGACGAGAGGGATTGTTGAATCAAATTCGAAGAGTTTCATCTCAAGAAGGCTCACTGTATTACTCTGTATTTGCTGCTTCTGCGGTGGGATGTTCTTCACCGACAGGTTTTTTCATCTTCTAGATTTGCAATAACTGCTTTAATTGATTTAGGGTATAGCCTTTTTAGGGTTCTTTGGGGGTGATTTTGTGATGATTGCCATAGTTAAGCATTTTGAATTGGTTTGTGATCCGATTGAAAAGTGTAAGTTCACTTTAGTAGTGGTGCTAATGATTTGATTTTTGGCTTAGTAGTTCAGATCTTTCCATCTCTGTTTAGATCTTCTGGAAGATTGAAAACTTTATTTCATTCAAGTTGCAGAAGTGAAGCTACTTTTATTACAAATCTAGGACAAGAACTGTGTCCAACATTTGAACCTATGATCAGTTTCTAGGATAATTCTTCACTGGGGATTTCAAGATATTAGGAGCCAAGTCTGTTTGTGAATCAGATTCTGCTATTCTGGATTTGAATTGTCGAAACTAACCAGATCTTTCTAGTCCTTCTACAAGATTAGGACATGTGGATTGTGTAAGATTTTAAAGTTCATTTATGATAGGATGTGGATAATGCCGGACGGTAAAGACGTGTCACGGTTGAAGGGAATTTCGGACGAAAAGCTGAAGTTAGTTTCGGATGGCTGTAGTCCGAAAGTTGTGAGTATTGTGCGGAGAAGTTTAAATTGTTTTGCCATTGATCCATTTGGGATTACTCTGAGATTCTTCGATTTTATTTCTTGAAGGATGTAAAAGGCGGATCCAAGGATGCGATAGGGGAAGTTTTGAAGACACACAATGCTATAAAGTAAGGTCTTACGTTGTTATGTCTCGCTACGATATTATGTTAGAGAGGATTACGAAAGTAATGGTTGCTTACGAACATTCACAGTACACTGGACAAGAAAATTTCCGACTTGGAAATGGAACTGGCTGCAGCACGGGCTGCACAGGATTCGTTGCTTACCGGTTCCCCGATATCGGAAGACGTGAAGATCCCCGAATCGACCAAGAAAAGAAAATATTTAATGGTAGTCGGGATCAACACTGCTTTTAGCAGCCGCAAGAGAAGAGACTCAGTACGTGCGACGTGGATGCTACAAGGTTCTTCAGATTTGTTGTCTTTAAAGTTCACATTTTTTGAGTTAGATCGATGAAGGCTGTGTTAATCGTTTTTTTTTTTTTTTTTACTTGCACGATTCAGGTGATAAGAGAAAAAGGCTCGAGGAAGAAAAAGGCATTATTGTCCGATTTGTGATCGGTCACAGGTGAGGAACATAATATCATTGTTCAGAATCCTTGTCTTATTATTACATCGTCTTATTTGTTTCACGGCTTGCCAGTGCAACGTCCGGTGGTATTCTTGATCGAGCCATCGAAGCCGAAGACAGGAAGCATGGCGATTTTCTAAGACTGGTATTTTGTTATAATTATTATTTTTCTTTCAAGCGATTTTTACCTTTCCCGTGCCGCGATCCTTATTAGTCGTAAAATTTTCCAGGATCATGTTGAAGGGTACCTTGAGCTATCAGCAAAGACAAAAACATATTTTACCACGGCCGTCCAGCTTTGGGATGCAGATTTTTATGTCAAGGTCGACGATGATGTTCACGTGAACATAGGTAAGAATGAATGAAGTACTAAAATGACATTGCTGGATTTTTACTATCGATGTTTCTTAAATGTTTTTTAATCCCGTTATTACCAAATCCAGCAACCTTGGGAGCGACACTCGCTAGGCATCGCACGAAACCGAGGGTATATATAGGGTGCATGAAATCCGGTCCCGTTCTGGCTCAGAAGTAAGAACGATTCTTGCAATAATTTTTGCAATAATTTGTCGGTGTATAAACCAACTAGAGAAATTCTTACATTTCTAATTAAAATTTACTTGCAGGGGAGTGAGATATCACGAACCCGAGCACTGGAAATTCGGCGAGAACGGGAACAAGTACTTTCGTCATGCGACGGGACAGCTATACGCGATTTCTAAAGACTTAGCCTCGTATATCTTAATAAACCAGTGGGTGTCTCGACTCTCGACGTCTTCTTTCTCTTAACATCGCTAACCCCGAACCCATATATAATGTCAACGTGCTATCCCGCAGGCATATTCTGCACAAATACGCAAACGAGGACGTCTCTCTTGGGTCGTGGTTCATTGGACTCGACGTCGAGCATATCGACGACAGAAGACTGTGTTGCGGCACACCACCTGGTAATAACATATGAATCATAGTTGTCATCGCATATATCCTAACTAACTATTAGAACAAAAAATTCCGTCGCAGATTGCGAGTGGAAAGCTCAGGCGGGTAACATCTGCGTCGCCTCCTTCGATTGGACGTGCAGCGGAATCTGCAACTCTGCGGATAGAATCAAGGAGGTGCACCGGAGATGCGGCGAAGGTGAGAATGTTCTGTGGAATACGGCACTCTAATTGCGCATTTGTTGTGGTCGATCGTCCTGTCCTGTCCTGTCCCATCTCGGGACGAGACGACGCTAATAAGATCCCTTCGGAATTTACGTACATTTCGGAATTTCGGATCCACATATGTATGATATATATACATATATATATATATACATGTATATGTACGAGGAGGTTGCAAGAGGAAATCTGCTCCCTTTTAGTCTGAGTAGATTAGATCATTATTTTGCAGTGTAGAGTTTGTAAAGAATGTAGCCAAATATGCTTTCTTCCAAATCCCTTTAATTCATCATTACATACATTTTACAGCTATAATATATATATATATATGTATATGTAACAGCTTGCAATAGACAGCTCTAGATCTGCACAAACTAACATATGTAAATGCATTCAATTTCAATAATGTTGTCACAACTAAATGGCAGAGTAAGTACTGATGGGTTTTTATTATTATCATTTAAATTTGCAACAGCTAGTTAATCTAATTAGAATTATATGTTTAATTTATTCATTCCCTTGGGGGCAAGTCGAAGCCCTAATTGATACGTGTATGTATGTATATGTATGTATATATGCCATCTGGATTCAACACCAACATATTTCCAGCTCTCCATTGCCAGTCAAACAATATATATATATATAGATATAGATGTAGATATTTCTGTTCCAAAACTACCCTCACTTCCATTATTTGGCAGAGCTTGAGCTCACTCTGTGTGTCATCTCCTTCTTCATCTCCTTCCACATACCTCTCTCTGCATTTTTCTTCAGTAAGTCTACAATAATACAAAAATGGGGATTTTTGGAGGCCACGAATCGAAGATTCGAGTCGTGGATTTCTCACTGAGGCTGTTGGTGGTTCCACTCAGCGCTGCAGCATCCATATGGATCACCGTCACCACCAAGCAGAATAATTCCGACTATGGCACTTTGGAATTCAGCAATCTCACTGCTCTCGAGTAACAACATTTCTCCATCACCATCATCATCGTCTTCGTCGTCGATTAACAGTTTTCCCTTTTCTCTTTCAGGTATATGGTTTGCGTGAGCGCAATATCTGCTGGATATGCAGTTCTGACTGCACTATCTTCGCGGCAGAAATGGCTGCTAAAAAAACCATGGATCCTCTTCGTTGCTGACCAGGTTAATGATCCATCTTCACCTCTTTCATCCAATCTAATCAAACAATTGAGATTATCTATGGATTAGCAAATTAAAGTAAACAGACAGATAGGCAACATGGAGATGGGCATAAATTCATGGTGGGGTGGGTAGGTTGGGACAATAAATTCCTCCAACCAAGGCAAATTAAATTGAAATTAAATGCATCTCCTACTACTGCTTTATGAATTCTGAATCTTACGGTTGGGGGTTCCATTAATGGCGGCTTGGTGATCTTCCTCCACTACGGATAGAGGCCCCATTTTTCATTTACTAAAATTCCATTCCATGTTTGCTTTCGTTTTCTTCTCATTTCCATCATCAATATCAAAATCAAAATCAAAATCGATCGCCATCCTCTAATTAATAATGACTGCAGAAACCCTAACCTAATTAATTGCGATTGAAGCAGATAATAGCGTACTTAATGGTGACGTCAATGGCAGCGCAAGGGGAGTTCCTGTACCTGGCCTACAATGGCGACGAGGCAGTGACGTGGAGCGAGGGATGCCCGTCGTATGGGAAGCTGTGCAGAAGAGTTGTAGTGGGGTTGAGTCTCCATGGAATTGGGGTCTGCTGTTTCCTGTTGTTGGCTGTGTTTTCTGCTTATACTGTGTTTAACAGATTCCAGCCTCCTTTGCTTTCTGATCATAATAAAGAAGAACAGGAAATGACTTAAATCACCCTTTCAAGTTTCAATTCACCTCAAATAATTGTTTCATTTTTTTCTAATTTTATACTAGTATTTATATTTTTATTTCTAATATTATACTATTAAGTTTTTTAACATTATTTTTTTATTATTACTATCATATCTAATGTTTATTATAAATTTTAGATTTATTATTTGTAAAATAATCTTAAATGAATCGTTTTGTTTTCTTATTACTTTAAACCAAAATCAACACTGTACACTTACATAGTTTTTTATAAGAAAGATTCTAATATTTCATTTCAAATCACAATCACATAAATTCTACTATTTCGTTTGGAAGGATTTTATTTATTTTTTTGCGTGTTAATATTTGAATATTAATTATTATATAAAAATATAATATAAATTTTAAAAAAATGACAAAAATAATCTATTAATGTCTTATAATACTATTACAATGATATTTGTGCAAAATATTATATAAATATATAAATATTTTTAACGTTAAGTACAAACACAAAAATACTATATATAAAGATATTTCAATGACGTTTGTGCAAAAATACTTCATATTTAACACATATCAAATCAATTTCAAACCACAATCAAATAAATTCTTTTATATTTTTTAGAATAGTTAAATATTAAATTTAAATAATTATTTGATAATAGGTAAATATATATTTTTAATAAAAAATATTATTTATTTTATAAAATATTTTTTAAAAAAATAAAACTACATTCTCAAATATCACATTTCTCCAAAATATTTTTATAATTTCTATTAACTAAATCAAAATTCTACTGTTGCTAAAACACTTGTATTGGGAATATTTGATTGTTTTGTCATTTTCATTTATATTCGTTTTAAAATAAAATTACTATTTCATTTTAATAATTATAATAAAATAAATACTCTTTCAATTTATAATATATTATATAAATATTATTACTTCTGTTCTACAAAAGGTTTTTTTTTTAATAAATTTATTCATATTAAATATATTTACTTAGGACTTACTTAAAACAACCTTATTTATATATTCTCTCATCAATAAACAAATATCTTTTTTTATTTATATTTAAAACTTCTTATTTTTTCTATAAAATTAGTTTTAATTTAATTATAAATAAATAAATATATATTTATATATATAATTTTATCATCTACAAAATAATATATATTGCATATGAGTTTAACAATATTTAAAATACCAACAACACTACTCATATAAAAATAATAAAATAATAACAATTTATTATCAATAATTTACTAACCTAAACTATCCAAAATTTCTTATTTATAACCAAATGACTCATTTTTACTGGAACAAAAAGAGTATATAGTATAATATAATTTTTATATAAATTTATCATTTATTGTTAAACAGAGTGAATAAAATTTCAAATTGAATAAAATTATTTAGGTGCAAAACCTTTGTAAAATTTGTGGTCGAATTCTATCTAGGGTTCAACAGGAACAGGGATATGAAACGATAAAATTCATAGACATTGGATTTTGAGTTGAGATTTGAATAGTAAAAATTTTGAATTTAAACAGTTGTATAATGTGATATAAATAGATATTGATATGATGTTTTGAATGTAAAATTAATTTTTAATATAATATAAAAATAAAAAATAGATATTTAATACTATGTTTTTAAGAAAAAAAATTGAATGAATACTGTAAATCAATCCAATCCCCCAAACAAACACCCTAATGGTAGGAACACTCTGTTAGATGAAATCGACAGTGAGAGATGAGAGCTATAGGAGCGGATGAATTTAAACTCGTTTGGATAGATTTTTTTTTTAAAAAAATAAAATTTATTATTATTATTTTTAAATATTTATTTTCCTTTATATTAACTTTAAAAATTTAGATTAATGCTTTATTCCTAATAATAATATAATATTTGAGAGAAATTTTCTAAACTATAACCGAAACATACAACATTTCGGTGACTATTTTACTTTGTCTTAAAGATTTATTTAACTTTTTATTATTAAAAATATTACTCCATCCGTCCCACATAATTTGTCCCTATTTTCTATTTTCGTTTGTCCCACATAATTTATCTTTTCTATTTTTGGAAATATAATTATGCATTTTAAATTTTAAATTTATAATTTTTAAATTTTAATTAAATTATATATTTATTTTAATCTTAATGTATAATTATTTTTATTAAATAATAATTATTTTTACTAATATACTTTTTAATTATTTACTAATTATAATTTACCTAAATTCCGTGTCTACATGGGACAGAGCGAGTATTATTATTATTATTATTATTATTATTATTATTATTATTTAAAATATTATTTTTAATCTATCGTGAGAAAGAATCGGGCTTGGCAAATCTGAAGTTACGCGAGGAATGGATATCGGTAACAATGGCGGCGTATAAAAAGCTCAACACACACATTAGATTGGTACTATATAAGATACGAGTGAACGAGTGATCACCGACTGCGAGAATTCCGGCTAAATTGATTTCTCTTCGCCTCTACCTTCTCGCAAGATTTCTCTCCTGCTGCACAACCCTAATTTTCATCAGTGTTTTCTTTAATTCTACATTTTCGACCTCTCCTCGGCGCAGCCAATTGTTGATTTTCTTATTATTTTTTTTCAATGGCTAAAGGCTCCTTCAAGTTGGATCACCCACTAGGTAATATCTTATCTATTGGATTGTTGATTAATTAACCTGTTAATATGTTCTTATTGTGGTTTATATCTCCACTGTTAATTTTCTGTATCGTTGGGCATACACGGTCTGAGAATTTCGTGCGTTGTTTGGGAATAGGTTTGGGTGTGCGTATCAGCGTATGTATGTGTATGTGTGATTTATTGCTTTTGATCTGTTCTGATAGTTGTTCGTTAATATTTGGAGTTTTGGAAATTTGATTTTTCTGGTTGAATTTGAGAGAATCGATTTTCAAAGCGATGAAAATCAATGGATAGTGGATTATTAACTACTATATCATATCAGAAGGCATTTTGTTGTCTTCACAAAAGCAAAATCTGGCTTCATGTCTTGCTGGTCTAAGTGTTGGTTGTAGTGTTAAACTGTTAATTGTTCTTCGAATTCCACTGTTTTTGGTATTTTACTCAAATTTATATGTTCTTGGTGATGTTTTGCTATGGTGCAGAGAAGCGGCGGGCTGAATCTGCTCGAATCAGGGGCAAGTTCCCCGACAGGCTTCCGGTATTAAAGATGACAAATACTCGAATTCAATTTCCATGAACTAGTATAACTTTCATCTTCTTTTAATTTTGGCTATCCCTCCAATTTTCCGATATATCTATCTCATCTATATGCAGGTTATCGTGGAGAAGGCCGATAGAAGTGACATACCCAACATTGATAAGAAAAAGTTTGTAACTATGCTCATATCGAACATTGCTTAATATATAGCTAATATGGTCTGTTAGGATTGGCATTTAGGATGTCTTTGGTGAAAATTTTGGCATTGTGATCAATATATGTATTTCTAAATGATTTCAATGAATTAAGAATATATATGTCGGCCAAATGCATGTCGGATAAAAAGATTTTTGCTCTGTTTTTGTTGTTTCATATACATATGCTTATCATAATGTTTGATATTTGAACAATGCAGATATCTTGTTCCTGACGATCTGACTGTCGGGCAATTTGTTTATGTTGTTCGAAAAAGAATTAAACTCGGTCCTCAGAGCGCTATATTTGTCTTTGTCAACGAGATTCTTCCTCCCACTGGTAACTAATGAGGATAAAATTTCTTCTTTTTACACTGAAATCACTTTTTTTTTTTTTTTTTTTTATCAGCGTTCTTGTTCTTATACATCACTTGCTCTTGTGTTGTGTGTGGTGCAGCTGCATTGATGTCTACGATTTACGAGGAGTATAAAGATGAGGATGGGTTCCTATACATGACTTACAGTGGTGAAAACACATTTGGTTCATTCTGAAGATGATGAAGGAATGGTGTATAGACCTCCAAGTAACTTGTAAATTATTTCTATTCTATTTATCTGATCTTAATTAGTCTTTTGGAAGATTGATTGATTGTCCCAAGTGGTTTCATCTCTTTTGGATTTTGTTATTTTTAATTTTCAGTTGCTTATGATAAAGTTCTTGAGTTCGTTCCCATTTATATGGTTCTTACTGTAAATTTTGTTAGGATTTGCTAACTAGTTTTATGCTTGGTATGGAAAATGGATCTCCGGGTGTGTTTGTTTGAAGGATTTTGTGGAATTTTCACTATTCCCACAAAATTTCATTCCAAAAAACTTTTATTTTTTATATTATACTAAAAATCAATTTTACATTTAATACATCAATCAATTCTTATTACATAATTATTGAAATTTAAAATTTTTACTATTCAAGTGCGAATTCAAAATTCAAACTCTCAAACAAACACACGTGGATGTTTAGGGTTGAATTATCTATCATCAAGCAAACTTAAGGTGACACTGGTAAATTCTTGATTGGATTTAACCTGATATTATGCTTTTATTTTTTTTTTATATTTTTATTTTCAAATGTTATATTATGTTGACCTATTCAAATTTTTTATTTTTATTTTTTTTAATAACTAAATATATTTATATTCTCAAAATTCTCTTTTTTTTTTCTCCATAAATTTAATTTATATTAATTATATATAAATATATATTTTATAGTTTTTTGTATTATATAAAATTTTATTCTTTATAATATGAATTATATTGTGTATATATATATAGTATAGATATAGTTTTTAAATATTTACATCGTAATTCAAACATTAATTAACTTTATTTAACGTAATAAAAATATATATTTGTATGATTGTTTGAATGTAAATTTAATTTTTAATATAATATAAAAAATATAAAATAAAAGTTTAATTTGAAAAACATGGGAATGGAAATCCACCAACAAATAGAGTTTATATTTTTCCAAAAAATGCAATAATTGCATAGAAAAAATATAAAGCAAAACTATAAAAATAGAAGTAGGTTGTGTTTGTCTGGAGTTCCTTATTCGACTTTTATTATTGATGAAATAAATTTATCAAATCTATCCCTTATTTTATATATATATATATATATCATATTAAAAATAAATTTTATATTTACAATATTATAAATTCAAATGTTATTATTAAAAATTCCAAAACAAAGTAAACAATAAGTAAATATATTATTATTATTATTATTATTATTTTGTTAGAGGGATTATTGCGAGCATTGTCTGGTGTTGGTGTGTCTGCCTTTCGATTTTCTTATCAACAATTACAATAATATTATCAGTAATTATTATGTATTTATCCGTCAAAGATTTTGACACACCAACACCACTACCTCAGCTTTATTGTCCACCATACATATATAATTCATAATTTATTTTCCAATGCATTTAATTTAATTTAATTCAATTTAATGTTACTAATATTTTTCTATTGGAAGACCCCCTGTGTAGACATGCAAGTCTCTTCCTCTCTATGTCACTACGTGCGTTTGGCAAATGATAATAGAAAAATATATATATAGTTTAGAGAATGAGAATGATAATTAATTATTTTATTTTTTTGTATATGAGAAAGAATTTCTTAATTTTCAATAACAAACAAATATGAAAAATATATTTAATTTTATTTTTCTACCACTTGTTTTTTTTTTTTTTTTGATACCAAACACTCCGTTATATTATTTATTTTCAAAATGGTACGAGTGGTTTAAAGAAAGCGGTGCAGAATTGACCAGCTAGAACCTCATACGATTATTATAAAATTACTACAAATTAAAATAAAATCACATTTTTTAAGATTGCTTGCCACGGCACGTGCCAAGAATCAATAAATTTGTGACAGATGAGCCAATTTTAACACCATATTTCAAGAAGAAATACGAATAAGAAATATTCCTTTTACTTCACTAACAATACAGTACACGTAAGATTTAAATTTTAGTATTTAAAAAATAAAAAAAATTGTAACAACATTAAAAAAACTGAGACACGTGGCCTTGAGATATTTCGATGCACGCGGTTGCCACAACCGCAGCCTTGTATTGACCCAACGGCCTCCATTTATATATATATATATATATATGTATATATATATTGTTGAAGAAGAAGAAGAAGAAGAAGAAAAAAGGATTTTAGGATGTCTTTGCTGAGGATTTTAGGATGCTTTTCGGAGCAGTCTAAGAATGGAATTGGAAACCGCAGGTCAGGAATCAAAAGCAGCAGCAATTACGTGTGCCAAGGAGATGTCTGCTATCTCGATAATAATAGTAATGATTCTTCATCATCTTCAGCCTCCAATTTGAAGACGACGACGACGACGACCACGAAGAAACGACGAAGCATTCGATTCTCGTTGAATTGAATTGATTTGATTTGATTTGATTGATTCGTGCATCAATTCTCCGACAACCTCGAGCTCGTAATGTCTCTCCATTACGAATTTGATTGTGTTTTACTACTTTCAGTTCTTCGTATTAATCGATCTTATGTATATATGGTTTTTGTCGATCTGTATTCTATTCTATACGTATGATTTTCGTAGCCAATTTGATGAGATTATCATATATATATATATACTGTTGATTGAACAATTTGATGAGATTATCAATTTGTCCTCCTCATGTTTAGGAATTTGATTTGATTTGATTAATGGATGCTGTTAAATCCATATTTAGTTATTATTATTAATATAATTAACCGAAAGCAAAGCAATTAATTAATTAATTAATCATAGCGTGTCCGGACATTAAAAAATTAAAGTATGAAAAACAAGTTAAGTTATTACTATTATTATATATATATATATATTTTTCTGACCTTTCTTTCGTCAAAGCCACACGTTAAGTAATACAATTTCTTTCCTTTTATATATATATATATATATATATATATATATTTGGGTCAAAATCATGTCTTAATTAATTTGATGTAGCTCCGGTGGTCCTTGACTCCAATTTTTGTGGACATGATAAAGTCAAGCGGTGTCGTTTTTTCTGAAAAATATATGTGCACAGCAACTTGGATAGCAGACTGAAATTTCATTATTCAGCACTGCTAAATTAAATCTTAGTTATTGATAAGTTAAATTAATTAAATTATTATTTTTAATTAAAAGTAAATGAATAATTAAGATTAATTCAGTATAAGCTGAATTAATTTAATACATCAGCATAGGATCCAAACTCTGTGCACATAGAAACAACTAAGAGCACTAATTAGTCCATTCAGCTAATTTATATGTGTTATATGTTGTAATTTACATGTGTTGTTTTAATTTATATTATATATGTGATAAGATTAATTGTAATATGTGTTGTATAGATTATTATATTAACTCATACTTGATACCATCAATTTACATTTTTTAATGCTAGTTATAATAAGTCAGCACAATAATAACATCCATGTATATGCATACGAACTATGTCGAATTTTGTATTTTAGTTTAGTGCTAACATAATACATTATAACAAACAATACATAATATAATTATATCAATATATAATTTATATTAATACAATACTGGCTATAATATATACCAATAAAGCATAAATTATAAAGCGATAATACAAAAAATATATGTTTATATAAATACAAATACAATATATGAATTGATAAAACATATTGATATAGAAATTATTATGTTCTGTAATATTGAAAATAACAATAGTATACATATTACAATTAATCTCAACATATAAAATATATCAACACCTCGTATATAAAATGAAACGGACAATGAATACTAACAATTTATACAATATGTATTGTCTGAGTATTTTATGTAACACCCCATATGTTCTATAATCATCCAAAGTCCTAACAATTCTCATAAATAGATTCTGTTTAGATAAGAGATTTATAAGAGTTTTGAAAAATTTGAATACCATGAAAATTAATATTTGAGATATTTTTTGTGAGAAAAAAAATCTAATTAATGGAGTATTTTATTTAATTTTAAAATATTTCGAATAATCTCTGTAGATTTATTAATGTTTGAGATTTTATCCAAGGTAATTTCTTGAAGAAAATAAATAAATCATGTGTTGTGATCTTAGGACATGATTGGGCCTTGTTATAGTGTATCGGCCCAAGTAATCAGGCCGGCCCATGATCACAGTCGGGTTTATTGATCCCGTTCTGTATTAAGACCCAAAATTAACAGCCTTGCTTGGGTTTTTTATTTTTGGCTAATAGATACACAAAATTTATGTTATATGTGCATTACTATATTATACTCCATCCGTTCCAGATACCGTGTCTACGGTGTAGTAGACACGGTCTACAGAGAGGTGTAATTAGTAGATAATTAAGAATATATTAGTGAAAATAATTATTCTATAATACGAATAATTATAAATTAAAATTAAGATAACTAATTAGTTTAATTAAAATAAAAAAAAATTTAAAAATTTAAAATGAGATTAAAATGTGTAATCATTTTTCAAAAAAGGAAAATAATATGGTATGTGGGACGGAAACGGTAACGTGGACGTGGTATCTGGGACGACGGAGAGAGTATTATATTATATATAGATGATCACAGTGTGAAATAGAAAATATTATCACCTCTCTCTCTCTCTCTCTCTCTCTCTCTCTCTCTCTCTCAAAAGGCAGTAGATTTAGAGTGCAAGTCTAGTCAATGAAAATAAAATTCTAATAATACGGGTTGGTTACATGCGCACGTACATACACATACATCAATAAATATAAATCATTCAAATAACCTTCATTTTCACTGCATGATTTCTTCTACGACTCCTATCAATCTATTGATTAGGTTTTCTGTATTTTGCGATTTATTATTGTATTTGTTCTTGAATCTGTTTATCAAATTGATTTTATTATTTGAAATTTTAATAAATAATATACAATTATTAATGTGTGAAAGATGTTGGAGGCCAATTCAGATTTTGAGTTGGGTATCGTTGATCCTCTTGCTGTCCAAACTTAATGTGGAATATGGACAACAATAATTTGGTGAACCTGAAAATGATAGCCCTTAAATTTCAATCCCTTCATATTTATTCTACACCATTCATTGTAAATATATGTTGACTAATATAATATATATATATATCAAAATAATATTCACATACACAACTGTTTGATTGATGTGTAAGTGTATAATAATAATATAATAATAATAATAATAATAATAATAATTTCAGTTATGAGCACACATAACAAATATATATATATATATATTTATATATTCTTATTCTCCATTATTCCAATCCCACCCACACCTCTAATAATAGCTAGTCACCACCACCACACATGCATTTCAGAATTGTTAATTTGTTATATTTATTTATTTTCCCCCAATTTTTGGTGGAATTAATGATTAATGTGAACACAAAAGAGCAGCCAATTTCCCGGAGTCAATATATGATATGCATCACTCCCATGACCATCCCCTAACACAACAGTCCTGTGCATTATATATATATATATATATATATTATAATCGTAAGTTACTTTTGCTAAATTTGCTAATTCAAAACAATATTAACAAAAACGTTATATAATAACACACATTATATCATTTATGTTTAATATAATATATATAAATGAATCCAATAGTACATGAAAATTGTCAATACATAAGATATTAGCTTAACTTATAAAATGATTTCTATTAATTTATAATGTCCTGATTTTCTGCCAACCAACATGTATCCTCTCTCATATGAAATGATATAAGATGGGCCAGAGATAATCGAGTTCCCATAAGCTAGCTAATTTACTAATGTGTTTATAAAAACCAACGATTTCTTAAACAATTCTCTTCTCTAAATAATTTTTTGAAAAATGATGGGCTTTTTATATTCATACATTAAATTAATTCCAACCTCTATACTAACACAATAGTCAATGCATGCATTGTTTGTGTATACATGATGGGATTTTTATAATCTTAATTACATTAATGAACCCCAAACCCTAGTAGCTAAGCTAACTAAGATTTGATCCACTTAACTACATGCACTCAAATTCCATCTAATACTCAGAATTTGAATGCAATCAGACATCCAAAATTATAGATGCATAAAATTAATTTCACCACATTTTGCAGATCTGATTCTTAGATTTCAACTCTGGCTAGCATGCATTCCCATCTACTACTGTTCATCGATCACATTCCTCGTGCTTACCTACAAATCCACAAAGTTCAAATGTCCAGCAAAAACTAAAACAGTAGTCAGTGTATATATGAACAGATCACAAACACACCCTCAGATCACCTCGATCTATCCAACGTTCACATTAGAACACATACATGATAGCTAATTAATGAACCCACTTTCTTTCCATCACTATATAACCCATTCTCCTCTTCTCTTTCTCTGTCACTACCACCAAATCAAATAAGAGAGCTAGGGAATTAAGCTACCTGTAGTTAAATAAACCCCCCCACCCCATATCATATATTTTCGTACTGAGCTAGCTGCTGCTAATTATGGAAATATTTATTCCCCACAAAACTGTATCATTGATTAGATCATCCTATTCCAAGGCCACAGCCTTTGTCTCTTTCAATCTACTACTAATAATAAATTTGGTGGTTTCTGGTATGATGATCACAAAATCAAGAGGTGAAAGTACAGGCACAGTGGGTGGAATTTATGTGTTTGGGGACTCATTAGTTGATGTGGGCAACAACAATTACCTCCCACTTTCACTTCTCAGAGCCAATCTTCCCTACAACGGCATAGACTATCAGGATAAAAAACCAACCGGCAGATTTTCCAATGGCAGAAATGCAGCAGATTTCATAGGTATTTTCATCTATTTATCTATTCCATATATATATATATATATCTACATCTACAGATACAGCATATATATATGTGTGTGTTCTATAGGAAGCACTTGTTTAATTTTCAGGTTAATTCTGTTCATGCGTAGTTAATTCCATTTTATCTATGTTATTAAATATGCTATTTATGCAACAAACAGCTGAGAAATTGGAGTTACCGACGGCGCCGCCGTATCTTCGCCGGCGGGACAACGAGCTGTATCTGAAAGGCGTGAGCTTTGCCTCCGGTGGTGCTGGAATCTTGAACACTACCAATGAAAACCTCATTGTAAGTCCCAAAACAAAATAGAGAAAACTAAAACGAAAAAGAAAAAAAATTAAATCGAATTGCGGTGAGCGTGGATCGAACACGCGACCTTCAGATCTTCAGTCTGACGCTCTCCCAACTGAGCTATCCCCGCAACTTGTTACTTTATAAATCTATTTACATCTTATTGTATTATAATATAGGGAATATTAATTAATTACATTAAATAAATATGCAGAAACAGACTATACCAATGCCTCTCCAAGTAAATCAATTCGGGAGAGTACGTGAAGGGCTGTTGAAGCAAATGGGAGATGCAGGTGTGCAAGAACACCTGTCGAAATCACTCTTTCCAATTGTGTTTGGAAGTAATGACATTCTAAGGTATTTCAGTGAAGGGTCTGAACAATCCAAAGAATATCTCCCACAGCAGTATGTGGATCTTATGGTCTCCACGCTCAAACAATTGCTCAAGGGAATCCATGGTCTAGGAGCTCGAAAATTTTTAGTCGTCGCAATACCGCCATTAGGATGTGCACCTAAACAAAGGCTCAAGAGTAAAACAGATGCATGCGACGAAGAAGTAAATAACTGGTCGAAGAAGTACAACGATGAGCTCACCAGAATGTTGCCTAGCTTGCAGTTGGAACTCGGAGCTTTCCATTACACATACTTTGATACTTACGGTGTCCTCCTCGAGCTGATCCAAAATGCAGCAGCTTATGGTATGGCATCAAATTTGAACTTGGCCCTGTTTTATTTTTATGCACCATGCAACGACTATAACGATCAGCCTATAATAAATTTCAACCGATTATTGACATTCAGGTTTCAACAATACGAAAGGCGCTTGTTGCGGAGCAGGAAGATTGAGGGCAGAGTTACCTTGCACACCTCTTGCTGTGTTTTGCTTAAACAGAAGTGCACACATCTTTTGGGACATATTCCATCCGACAGAGGCAGCTGCTCATGCTGCCATTGATATACTTTTTAGAGGATCTGGAAATTATGTATTCCCCATGACTATCCAACAATTGATTGCCCTGTGAGTGAAGGGTTAAGATAGCACACAGCCGACAAAAGGGCATGCAAACAAGTTCTTCCATAATAGAAACTGAATGATTCTTCTCTAGCTGAGTTCTTCACATCTGCATTGAGTACAAATTTAAGGAAGGCAATATAACGTCCAGTGTAAATTAATTCTTACCTTACAAACTGAGCAGCAACTTCAATACCTGAGGTGGGTAATAGCCTCTTGCCCCCTTCGCCAATGAAAAATCTTTCTAAATGAAAACAAAATTTAAGCAGAGAATAAGATAAGAGGTAAAAAAAAAAAATCACTTCCACATGTGAAGTTTTTCTCCAATCAGTTAAAAAAGGACCTCTAAACACAGTGTGAGTAGAAAGCATGACAACTGAGACAAAATGTAGTGAACTGAAGTGCAAAACAAGTTTGTTTAAGGAATTTTATTCAACTTTAAATTGAGGACAGCTGCAACAATTTTAGTATATGATATATGATGCCTAAATATGAGAATATAGCAGATATGATACTCCTACAGGACAGTGCTCCATGTAAACTTATGGAACCCATGTTGAAGGTGGTGCACTATGTGATGCGGCATTGCTACTCTCAATGGTGCGAGGGGAAGATTTCTTCAAAAAACTGGTGCAGGTCTCCATTTGAAGTGTCAAAAGTTAACATCTTCTCTACAGCCTCCTGTATTTTATTATTTTACTTATATAGGAGTAAAAGAATATGTAAACGTATCTGACATAAATGTGTGCAAGATGTACCTTGTATTGTTGATCCTGTGCCAATATATTCTCATTCTCTAGCCTCTGAATATTTTTATTACTTTCAATTGTTAGTAGTACAGAGGCTGCTCTATCCACAACTTCATCAGGAACTCCTATACAAACTGAAGAACATTAGAAGCAAAACTCCACTAGACACCTGCCCTACCTCTGCTGCCTGGATTAACAATCTATCAATTATTACCCCATAAATTCCAGACGGCAGACACATGCACAAACAAACCTCTTATAACATTAACCTCTAGGTTTCATTACTTAACTCGAGCCTAGTAATTTACATGTGTAACAATCTATTTTATGATACAAAATGGGAGTGGAAAAAAAATAAAAAAGCAGATTAATCCCTCCATTATAATAAATAAATTAAGCATAATCTGTTTGTCTTGAGGGTTTTATGCGTGTGTTCTTTTTGTAAGAAAAATCCACACATTTTCTCAAAAAAAAATATATTACACATTTATTATTATTTATATTTTCTACGCAATTTTCTATACTTCACATAAATAATATCCCCTTCAAACTATTTCACAGCACAAACATGTGTGTATGTGAATTTTGAGTTTGGGTGGAATGGGAAAGGTCGGTGGTGCTTTCACTCAGGACTCCTTGACATGCCATTAATAGAATGTAAGTGAAAGCAGTATCAGCAGTAGAATGAACTTTGACATAAAGTGGCAAATCCTTAGGATTTATTATAGTGGTTTGTTTAACTATAGTGTATTTAGAATAATAGAAGATCTATAATTTAATTTTAGTTTTCTAATTTACCATTGGATTACCTCCCGTGTCTCTTACTAGTTTCATTGCAATGACGTTCCTTTATCATTACCTAAAAATTGAAGTCCAGTGCAAATGCATAGAACGATTCTGGACAGAAAAATATCAAGCTTTTTTCAAAAGATCATATTTTAAAAACAATACCTGCTAGCAGTGCACAGTGCAATCCTGCAAAACAAGTTGCATCAAACTTTAATAAAAGAAGAATTGGTGGATAACCAATGGCCACATGAGATGGATCAGTGACTCACCGTAGCTCTGAAGTGCCCGTCCAGGTATCAGTCTGGCAGGCACAAATTGAAACGGTCAAAGACTCAAAAGAGTATTAGAGAACCAGGAATTATTTAGTAAGAGCAGAGTTGATTGGTTTTGACAGAACAATAAAAAGAATCCGCTATGGTATTTTTACTCGCAAGTTATCCACTCTAGTAAAGATAACTTTTTAAGAAGAGAAGCATCTTATCACCATAGAATCTAGTGAAGCAGTATTGATTGAGATTTCACATTTCTTATGTAAGGTCATATGTTATATACCATGTTAAGAAGAAAGACAGATATCCGCGAAAAAAAAAAAAACAGAAGAAGAAGAAGAAGATAGATATAAAGCACCTGTATAAAAATACAATGTCCTCAACCTCTGTGCAATTGTTATCTGGGCTTAGTACACTCATGGTGTAATACTTAATCTTGCTAGACTGCAGGTATTGAAGGATGAAATGTATAACGTAGCTGATAGTAGAAATTCGAACAGCACATAATGGAAGAAAGAAACCACATTATTGCTACCTCCAGTAAACATCCATTTTCAAATATCTCAGTCAAGTGAGTACACAACATAACCTGCAAGAAAGCTGGAACTCATGATGTGTTCAACAAGATCACTGGACATAATTAGGATTCCAAAGATAAAAAAAATAGAGAGAAGGTATCCTTCTGCTCGCTGCTCGGGAGTAATGCACTAACAAGGGAGAGCTTGATCATTTAGCTATAATGGTTTACTGAGACAAATGAAGCTGCATCTCTATTATCCCCCCTCAATACAGTTGTAACAACTATTCCATATTTTTACATCCGAGAAAGCAGGTCAAGTTGCCAATATTGGAAATGAAATGCCATTAATCTCTCTATCTATCACATCTAATGCTTGAAAGGACTCTGGCAAGCTGCCAATCTTGGAAATGAAATGCCATTAATCTCTCTATCTATCACATGTAACGCTTGAAAGGACTCTGGCAAGCAATTTGTCTCAAGGATGCATGTAACATACATACTTCCATTTTGTTTTGACTGGACTTTTTGAATGAAAGTTGAAAAGATGGGTGTTCTGTATACCTAAGACTTTTGCTACAATAGTTGAAGTAAAGTTCATGGTGCCACATCATCCCTCAACTGAGAGGATGGGATTTTGTTCTCCTCTCAACTTAGACAACAGAGTGTCATTGAGATGTTTCGAAAAAATCAACATGAATTCAGGATGAAAGGTAAAGGATTTTATCCCAATCTTATAGGGGTGTTAAGAACAAACCTTTGGAGGGTTATCACTTGAGGCAAAATAATTTATGGTGCCACCAAGGAGACCAATTCCATCTGGAGATTATGTGTATTAAAAATGTTAAATATTCATAGTAGTGACCCCAAGGTATTACAGCTTGATTCATCCTCTTAGTAGCTAACCTTCAGAAAGAGTTCCTTTTCCAAATTCATCCACCAGACATAAAGACCGATGACATGCATGCCTGATGATGAAAAAACAAATGAAAGAACAAACATTTAACATTTTCCCAACATGTCCCACGTAGTGCAACTGAAGCTGCAGATTATTTTACTAAGCACAATGCTAAAGAACATGTTGAAATGGCTGTCTGGTTGTAATTCATAATCAGTTTTTGGATTCTCTTCTATCTTGTATCATATCTTCCTATTAATATAAGTTTCTTTCTCTCCCAAAATAAAAATAAAAAAGTGACTCAAAGATCGAAATTACTGCATCCATGAATCACATTTTACTCCTAGTCATAACATATGCCACACAGTAGATATAGTATCAAGAAAGGTGAGGGCCATGAGCTCAATTTAGATATCAGAGACATCTGACTTCATACCTCAACATCATGCCAACTTGTTGGAGATCAATCATAAATGTTGACTGTTCAGCAGTCATGAATTTACTTCCAGTTGCACAAAAGATCCTATTAGTTATTGATAAAGCATCACTAATGATTATACATAAATGAAAAGCTACCCTTTACAAGGGATGATTAATGAAAAGTATGGCAAAGCAAGAATAGAACCTATCAGTCAAACCCACTGTCGCTGTTTCTGCTGGTACAAAACTTCCAATATGGGAAAGGAAAACAATCAGTGCAACCTAAAACATGGAACAACATGGATTACGATGAGAAGAGATGATATTCACTATGAGTAAAACTTCCAATATGGGAAAGGAAAACAATCAGTGCAACCTAAAACATGGAACAACATGGATTACGATGAGAAGAGATGATATTCACTATGAGTAAAACTTCCAATATGGGAAAGGAAAACAATCAGTGCAACCTAAAACATGGAACAACATGGCTTGGTGTAATATTAAAATCCAAGAACTGCAAATATATCATTTTATTATTTCCTTGTATTTTGAATTTCTTCCTCTTAACTTTTAATACAATATTTTTTATTTAATCCTTTTTATTTGTATTAGATTTCTTCAATTCTAGAATTTTATATCTGCCAAAGGAAATGTCTTAATTGTAATCCAATGAAAATATAAAGGTTTGTTTACTTGTGTTACCTATTTTTAACTATTTGTTATCTAAGTTTCCTCTAAAAACATCACATCCGACACCGAATTTTTCTCCGAACATATTACATCTAGCACCTATTTTCCACTCAAAACACACATCCAACTACTTTTTCACCTTAAATACAATGAAGGAAAAAAAACACCAATATGTAATAACTGTTTAAATTGTGACAAGTAAACAAGTAACTGTATATGTGAACAACACCAATATAATAATCTTTTTTTAAAATTTTTATGATATATTTTTATAAAAGATACAAAATATTAAGATCAGAGTTAATAACCATCTCAACAATCATATGTGATTTGAAGTAGTTATCATGTTATAGTTGGCTTGAACTAACAAGAAAATCAAATATGTCAACGCTTCAATATTTTAGATTTTAATGGTCAAGTCTACTCTTACCAACCTGTTTTATGTAGATACTTTTTCCAGAAAAATTAGGTCCAGTGATGATATTGATTCTTCCTGAACACGTGAATCCATGACATGTCTTTAGTAACAGAAATGACAAATCTACATCTAATCAATACAGGGAAAAGGTTTCAGAAAACTACCTTCATCCATAATCTTTGTATCATTGGGAATAAAGGTATCAACTGTCATTTCCTGCAAAACATGTCTGCTAGCAATTAAAAAGTGCATAGCATCTTCTGTATAATATTTAGTATAACCTGTTTGTAGCATGGTTAGCTGTGCAAACCTTCCATTTCTTATATCAAGCAAACTTTCTGAGGTCAAAGTAGGCCTCACATAGCTATTCTGACGAGCAACTAATGCCAACGACAAGCAGCTACATAGACACACATGGTAATTAAACAAGGAATCAAATACAATGAAACACCTATGGAAGCTTGAGGGGAAGGGCATATTAAGTGAAATGGGATAAGCTAGAAGATTTAAGTACACTCACCAATCAAGCTCTGCAGCAAATGCAGTAGCTTTGAATAAAGGAACTGAGAATTCAAGAATATGTGAGACAAGGTCTCTGGTAATTGCTCTCTCCATGTCTTTGAAAATATATTCAGTGAAAAAAGAACATAAAGCATCAGATGCAGCAAAAGATATCATATAACTACTTTTATAGACGTAAAGTACATGACATACAAACTAAAAAGTTATAAAGTTTTTATTTTTTTAAGAATATATATATATATATATAATAAAATACACCAATAATATTCTTATGACACTTGACTTCAATAACCTCAATCACTTTTAAGTCAGATTTCATAAAGAAGACTTCCATCAACTCACCCAAAATTTTGTGATATATATCTCCTAGAAGGTTATCCAGTTCCCTTGTCTTAGCAGTGCGATAGAAAAACTTCTTCGAGTCTCCATCTTCATCTGAGAACTTTGAAATATCTCAAAATATAACTATATTATTCCAGCACAAACTGTTAAACTACATTCATTAAAAGATAAATACAGCAAACTCAAAGTCTTGAAGTTTCTCTAGAATGTTGTCATCCAGCTTATCTTCATATATGCATATCAAGTACCCTGCATCACATATAAAAGTGAATATCCCTTGAAATGTTAAGAAACGTTTAAATCCTATCTGTTTATGAAGTTAAGATTTCATATTCCCTTACAACAGGCGTGAATTTAATTCTAGCCATTGTGATATCTGTCACCTGGTTCAACTTAGAAAGGTCCTACAATAGGATAAAACAACCTTAAATTCTATAACTAACCTATTTGATGTATATAAACAATATGAGGAATGAACTTTTCCCTTGACATATGTGGCAACCGTGCAAGTTCCAGTGATGACACCTGAAAGTTTAGAAGCCGATAATATCACTACACAATCTACATCTTCCACATTTTCACTAAACTCTGACAAATAGAAATAGAGGACCTCTTCCAAAAATTCAGGCAACTCTTCATATATTTGCCTCAGCTCGTCTAGCTGCATTAAATAATGTAACTAAAAAAAAGAACAAAGAAAAAGAACCAGAAAACCAAACCAAAAATGATTAAAATCTGCTTCATAACTCTATAGACCTCACACCTCTCCACAGAAACCATCTTTAACAATTGTCTCGTAACTCTTATCTTTACATCGATTTACATCTATAACTCCAATGACCTACAAAAAATTGAAAAATATCAAAAATTCAAAGAACAATAAGAGTGATAATTACTGAGGAAGTGAATTAACAAGTTCAGAAATCAATTGATCCATGTTGGTTGTTCATGTAAATAATTCCGTTTTTACATGGAACTTGTGGATCTTTATCCTTTCATTTGGGTTGTTTGAGTGTAAATAATTTAATCATTAGATGCCTTTTGAAGTGATAAGTAGTTATAAAATACCTGATATGATTTGAAAAGTCATCGTCAATTCATTTATGAAATATTAAAAGTTTATGCTAGATATTTATATTGGAGTTTGCAATTTCAGCGTACACTTTTGGGACTGTGTATAAGAAGAGTTTGAAATACTGTTGCAGGTAAATACCAAAGTATGCTTAAAGAAACATATAACATAAAAACGGACAAGTAACCAACACCACACCAGTTCATATACAAAGGCCAGGTCAGTGGAAATGTAGAGGCAAGCCTGCAATGTAACATGAATTGATATATTAATATATTTATCGAAAAAATCAACACATGACAAATATAATATAATATAATAAAATTAGAGAAAATAAATAAAACCAATCCACAATAGATATACCTTGTCAATGATATCCAAGTTTAAATGGTTCAGTTGTTCTTGAAGTGATTCAGAAATGCCAACTTCAAATATCTTCTTGATGTGCAACAGTGAACTAATGCTCTACAATACATATATATATATATATATATATTATTATTATTACATTTACAAAAACATGGGAAAAAGAGGAAATCTTTTGAACAATCTAACTTTAATCTTTTCAGGGTTCGAACTGATTGTCATCAAACAAATGCTTTAGAAGAGAAACTAAATTGAGGCAATGCTCCAGCTGCTGATCTCATTGTGTGTCTTATAAAGCTTGGGACATGTATAAGAAGCAACAATTCATTCAAGTTCTGTTTACCACTATGAAATCCATCAGAAGATAACATATTGAAACCAGGTTGCTTAAAAGAGCAGAAACAGGAACATAAGGTGGCTAAGCATCACACTGATTGGGCAATGACAATTTTATAATATTCTCAACCATTTGCATCTACAAAACCACCATGTACACCCCACTATCATAGAGAAATGATGCAAAGATGACTGGGAAAGACAAGAATACACATATAAGCATGTTTCAGAGGCACATTTACAGAAGTATCTTCCAGACAAATGAATCATTGCATAATGAAGAGGTAGATCATACTGGTTAAAATGATAGATAATAGTGTCATACCTTTAGAAAGGCACTCCAGTCATTAGTAGTACATACAGAACTTGGAGAGTTAATTTTCTGTCATAATTCAGAATTGTGTTCAAATTACAACCACAATGAGCAATGAAACATAATAAGAAAGAATAATGCTAACCAACCCCACATTAAAGATTAATAAATGTTATTGCATGTACTGATGCTAAAAATATATTTCAAGACTTGGTAATGAAACAGCATAATTGTTTTTCTTTGATTATTAGAAGTTTAGAAATGGCATAAGGGGATATAAGTTCATTATGAGCTAAGAGAAGGACTTCCAAACCTTTAATATGTGAGGAATGTCTTTTACAGATTTCAGGGTCTGACGTAAAGAAATCAGCAGCTCTTCCGCATTGAAAAAGAAAGATATCTTCATAATTACATTTAAGAATGGGCAGACATTAGTAAGGTTGCAAATTTTGTGAACTCACAACACATTTTGATTTGATGAGAATTGGATGAAAATCATCATAAAATGCATATAATTCAGTTGACCCAGGGCATCATTTCATTTGACATTGCCTCACTCTCATTTTTGGGAAGCTTTAACTTTTTACAGTCATGCTATCACTTCAAAATTATATTACAAAGACTAACAAAAATTAACATGATCCATATTCGAGAACAAGGATACAGTATCGAGACGATTGTTCAACTTTTCCAGGTCCAATATTGGTCTCAGAAACCAGTTCCTATTCAAATGAATTATTAAATCAAAGATTCAACAAAGATGACACAATTGCGTACATTTGCATTTATGGAAGAGTACTACCTTAACAGCCGTCTGCCCACTGGTGTTACACACTGACATTGTAAATAATTAGTTGCAAGTCAGCCATAATTGTCAAAGAAACATCATTTTATAGAAATAAGAAGCAGAAGTCTCACAAGACCTTGTTCATCATCCCATAAACAGAGAACCTGAAATTTGAAAATAAACATCATGTTTCCTTTAAGCATTTTTCTTAGAGAAAAGCTATGTTTTCATATTTATTTTTCAATACCTATGCTCTTATGGATTAGAAGATTATCTAGACAGAAGATAAAGGTTTCTTCAGTATTTACCCTTCCTTCGATCTACCAATGCCCATATGACTTGGGTGCTTGTCAGTTTGGAATATTTGCAATGCTTCATGGGCAGCAGAATCAACTTTGAGAAAATTGTTTCTTAATTTTTCAGTTAAGTTGCATTCCTCCCATCAAAAGAACAGTTAGATATATCAGAATAAAGTTGATATGAGTAAGAAAACATCAAAGATACAGTGAGATTTCAGAGACTGAATTAAGTGCAATTGACGCATTCCCACTTTCATTCAGTTCAAGAACATCAATTATTCTCTCATTCTCTAATATCGCAAGAAGACCCCCACTGGCACGAACTTGTACATCACTTCGAATGTCCATCATGGTACTAAGCTGCAGTTGAACAAAGGACAATATTCATGAGCACATAAATATTTAAGTTAAGAATTTATCTGTTATTATAATTACTTATGTCCGACAAACTGAGACATACTACAGATCTCATTACTTCAAACATAAGCTCAAACCAAAATACAACTAAAATATGTTAATAATGAGTCTGACCATCCAGAGTATGCAGAATTTTACAATTGATGAAATACTTACAGGAAAGAAACTACAATTCATTCACATCCTCAAATCATCAAAGGTAATAGTAGAATAGTTTAATCAATAAATAGATACTCTTCTTTTAATAATTCAGCCCAATAATTATATAAATTTTTTTGTTCCGGCTTGGATAAAGTTTTGAAATAACTAGGCATATTGCTGCTTTGTTCACGTCATGCTATAATTAAAAACATTAACTGCAACCTTTTCCTTCAGCAGATATCTTGTTATTTAGTGTTGGAAGAATTTAAGACATGACTCAATCTAGAATGGAAAGGTACATCAGCGCAATCTGTGATCAAATAAATAAATTCCTAGAGTAACTGAATGATTTGCTCAAAGAGATGAAAAGTGAAGCCCAGCGCACAGCTAAATCCTGAACTCTTCAACTTACAAAAGACACTCTCTCTTTGATATTCAGCCCTTCATCCATTCCTGCAACCCTTAGGTACATCAGTCTGATACATGCAAACAAAAGAAACAAGGTATGTTACTGATTACTGAAGAGACATAGCATAATAAATATAAAAGATTTGGAAAATGGAAAGCTCAGAATAAAGCTTGGTAATATTTGAATAACACTATCATATATGCCATTTGAAATCCTCACGTTTACATGGTGCACTCACTTTGTTGTTATGGTCTCTTCTGTTTCAATATATTTTCTTACTAAAAAGCCAAATTCTGGATAAAATTACACAACACCAGATTTTGATATTATTTCTTCACCTGTGCCATGCCTGCTCATAGCTAAATAATGAGCTCTTTACAAGCTTGACTGTCACAGCATCAGCTGCTCCCTCTACATAAATGTTAATCTTAGAAACAGCTGAATGTAGAATGAGACATCACATTATTGAAACCCAAACCATTATTTTGTAATGCAGCCAAGAAGGATTCGTCACTCTTGGTGCTGGTGTAGATGATGCAGGGCTGTACTTGATATTTCACTGCATGAATAAACGTAAGATTAAATCATTCAAAATAAATGAAACATGAAATGATGAACGTGGGACTTGAACATCTACTTAAAGTACCCATCTCGATCAAGGGAAATTCTTCAGTGCTATCTTCCCAAAATTCCATCACTTGGAGTTGGCAGGAGATGGAATCATAATAAGAGATTCCAGCTCTGTAAGAAATGTTAATTCATATCGAAGGTTCTTTATATCCTCTTTTCAAGCAATCATGAGCAGGGAAGACTACAATTACAATTGTATGCACTAACGGACTTCACCTTTGACCGTGCATTATGCATGCCATATAGACCTGCCAATTGACACAAGGAGAAAGACAAATATATCTTGGAAACTGAGCCATAACTTAAATTGAAAACCAAGAACACCGGCAAGAACATATAAGAATATTAACATTTTAAAAAGCATCTTAAATCACTAAAATTCAAACGGGATTCTGTGAAATTTCTATTATTCATTATATGCAAAATTTGTAAATGCTAGTGCCTTGTGGAATACGCCTTTGATGGTTTTACGTTCTCGTTCTAACAGTTCCTCTTAGGTGTAGTTTTTACGACAAATTCATGCTTCTTCTCAGTTGCAGCAAGTCAGAGTGAATCTAATTATAAATTATTCTAGTGAAAATCGCAAAAATGCTAGTACTCATTCTAGCACTAACAGGCGCAAATGCATCCAAAAAACTTAGCGATGGAGAAACGGAAAGCGAAAACAAACCTGAGGTTGCACATCTGTTTCATCAACTTCCTCCATAACTGTTCTGCTCGTCCTAAGAGATCCACAGCGAAAGGAGGTGGAGGAGGGATAGATTGATGGAATGAAATCCGCGAAACAGAGGCGGGAGATGTTTTGAGATCAACTGAAACTGATCACACTCTGAAGCGCCTCTTTTTGAAAATCACACTGAATTTGTTTATTAAACTTTTGTCTTTTGTATTTATTTTTTAGTTTGTTTTGAAATTATATGATAAAAAGAATAATAAAAAAAAATTAAAATTAAAAATATAAGTTTGTTTGGATTTGATTTAAATATATATTTTTTTAAAAGATAATAATATTTAGTATAATGTAAAAAAACAATAGTATATTTTTATTAATAGATAGCTTTATTTTTATATAAATTATAAATATATTATTATATATTTATACAAATATAAAAAATGGAAAAGTATCAAAATATTTTATAAATTTTTACTAAATAATAAAAATATTATTTTCTTTAATTTACTATAAAAAAAAATTAATATATATTTTAGTCTTGACGAAAGAAACATATTATTTGTTAGAGTATTTTTTATACTAAATATATATTACAAATATTTGAAAAAAATAAAGAGATACAACATTTTAGAATGGATAAAAAAAAAATACTTCTTTATATTTTTATGGGCAAAAATGCTTGTGATTATAAAATTTTGTACAATTATTACCATAATTTAGAAAGTCATGAAACATCTTTATGTTTTTAAAATTATTGCACATAATTCATTTATAGGGTTTATATGTAATATTTTCAAAAATATAAAAAAATTTTTGCACAAATTTTAATTGATTCCATGCAATATTTTAAAAATATTTCATCCAGTCTCACTTAATTTATCTACTTTTCTATTTTTACATAATTTATCATTTTTTCTTTTGAAATATAACTATACATTTTAATCATATTTAAAATTTTATAATTTATAAATTTTTTTATTTTAATTAAACTATTCATTATCTTAATATTAATTTATAATTTATATTTTTAATTACTTAATACCTAAAATTCGATGTCCGACAACTTAAGTGGGACGGAGAAAATATAAGATAAATTTACTTATTAAAAAAAATAAATGACAATGAAGGCATAGTTGACTAACGAAAACAAAAATTAATTATCAACTAATCCTCATTTAACTGCACTCATAAAATCTATAAAGTCAGTCCTTAAATTTATAAAATCAACAACATTAATCATAAGATTAAGTACTATTGAAAAATCGGTTAATTATTTAATCAATTGAATTTAATTTGAATTAAATTCATAATTTTTGGAACCGATTATTCGGTGAATTAAAATGCACGTCGGTTTGTACAGTGGTTATTGATAGTGTGGTGAGGCATGTAAACGCTGGTATGCTGGTAAGCCACAGGTGTACGGACCAGATAATTACATAAATATATAATAAATTATTATTTGAATTTTTTAAATTCAAATAATATATTTATGACTGGAATTAAATTTGGTGTTTATAACCGAAATTCAATTAGTGTTTATGACCGAAATTAAATATGACGTTTATTGTCGAACGTTACCAAAATTATGGCAGACGGTTATAAGCTATTAAAAGCCAACGGTTTCGATTAGGCATTTAAACTCCAAGGGGTGGAGTGCCTATAAAAGGCCCTCTCCACCCCTTCATAAAACAACACACCAAAATTTGAGAGTTTTTCCTCATCTCTCCCTCTCTAATCCCCTCTTCTCGGGCAAAGCTTTCGACGAGTTCTCCGGTTAAAATTTCCGGCGACTTTCCGATCTCTAGCCTCCCAACACAGCGTGTGTTCCCCTCGTTTTAGTTCGTCGGAGCTCCGAAATATTGGGGTGTCACATAATTTGGAGACGAACGTCGTTTTATCTTTGGGAACGCACTACCGGAGCGCACTACCGGAGCGTATTTGTTTTTGCGGAAATAGATTCTACCTAGATAAAATTATTAAATTCGATAAAACTAAATTATTACAATTTTCAAAATTATTTTGAGAAATTGATTATCGAATTTATAAAATTGTTGTGATTATCAAAATAATTTTGATAAATTGATTATCGAATTTATTTCGATATTTTAATTATTGAAATTTCGATAAATTATTATTGATTATCTAAATTATTTCAATAAAATTATCGTGATTATAGAATTTATTTAGATAAATTATTATTGATTATCAAATTAATTCTCATAAATTATTTTGATATCTAATTTTATATTTCGATGACTATTTGATATTCAGTATAAAATTTTTCCAAACAAGTACAACATTGAAAAAAAAGCCTTGACCTAATCTCAATCTCAATCACTTCTCTTTCATACATTGCATTACATACATACGTCATTCATCATCATCTTCTTCGTCTGAATCATCATCATCATAATTGGTGGTGGCTGATTCTCCAGAATTCTTCATAATCATTCCAGGCACGAAGAAATTGGCAACCCAAAATGCCATCAAACACACAGCACTGCACCCAACAGGAATTCCGTCTTAATCAATTAATTAATTAATCGAAAATTAATTAAGACGACAAATTAAACCCCGACCCTGTCTGAGCAAGGACAGAAAGCTTCCCGGCGTCGGAGAGCTCAGCTGCAACAAAAAGAATGGGAGAAACAGATGTTAGATGAGCTCTGGTCTTCACCAAACACGACGACGATCCTTTGATGGCGACTCGATTTGGTCGTATTGAAGAAGAAGAAGAAAGTCTGTGTTTGTGGTAGGGTAGTAATGGCGGCGGCGACGGCGGCGGCGAGATGCACTTATTCATCAATCCGACCAGGTAGAAGATTGGTGTAAGAACAAAATGATGGATTTGCAGATAATTTCTGAGTTTGAGGAGAGCTGAGGAAGAAAGATGATGGATAGCTGCGATTCCATTTCTGTGGTTTGGATGTTCTGCTGTGATTTTCCCCACCTTATCCTACGGCTGAGATCGCTCGACATTTATAACACTTGAAAATATGCCATGGATAAATATATATGATATGAATTTGAGTTTAGTTTTTATTTGAATTTTAAAATAATTTGAATTTTTAAAAATCTTTAGTGTTTAGATATTGTTTGAGTTTGGGGTGATTTGATGGATAATAAATATAATAATATAAATATAGATTAATTTTAAAATTAATAATGATAATAATTTATATTATAAAAAATTATGTGCGCATGGTGTCAAGAATCCAATCCTTATTATAGGATTTAATTATAATTTATTTTATAAATTGAAAACATAGTTTAAGTATATATTTTTAAAATTTCACTCAAAGTTAAATAAAATTTTTAAATGTAAATGTAATTATTAAAAACTGTATAATTGTATTGTCACCTATATCATTATTTACATAAATATATATTATTATAATTCATATAATATATACTAAAAAAATAAATAGGATCATTGTCAAAATTAAAATGGAAACTACAAATCATTGAACCGAACTCAAAACTAAAGGTTGCTAGATTGAAGAGGTCAAAAAAAATAAATAAATATGTGGTTCAAAATTAAATAGATATTATAATTATTTTAATTATATATAGTAATTTATTTTAAAATTATTAATATTTTTAATTATATAAAAAATAAGAAAATTAAATCATAACTTACTATTATTTATTAAGTAAATTAAATATTATTTTTTAAATATAAAAAAAATCAATACCGACAGAGTTAGAGAGTATATATATATATGTAAAAGTATTAAAATATATTGGTAATAATAAATTAAATATTTAATATATGATTTTTTATTAAAAAATATTATTAATAAATAAAATAAAAAATCTTTATAATATAATACTCCCTTCTCTATCCCGTTCCAAAATTGTTATTTGATTTTTGTGTCATTATATTTATTTGACATTAAAATATTTTTATATTTAAATAATTTGCTCCTTAAATATCATTATATTTATATTATAAAAGACTAATAAATATTTTTTATTTTTTTATTTATAATATGTATTGATATAATAATTAATATGAAAAAAATCAATCATAATCTTATTGTGGGACAAAAATATGGAGTCTAGTCTATCTAAAATTCAAACACCCACCACTAGTACGGACAAGATCAGTTTTGACAAGTTTAGTAAAGAATAGCCTGGTGGTGTTGAGGTTGGACTTGCCACCTTGGAGTTTACCTCTATTCTTAGCGACTGGGAACGAGACTGGGTTCATAATAAAAAATAAAAAAAATAAAACCAGTTTTGGCAGTGATTAGAGGTCCCACTTGTAATTAAAGTTATATAGATGTTGGCAAAAAGAACGAGTCAATCTTCCAGCAGTACGTACTTGTTATGGATTGCTACTATTTTTTATTTTTTTAATATAATTGTAGAAATGAGATTAATTAGATTCGATTAGACAAGTAGTGAGAGTATTGTAGTAACTTGTAACTAACTCACATTATTATTATTATTATTATTATTATTATTATTAATTATGCATTTTCAATATATACTTACCTATTTCAGTTTACGGATGAGCCGATGCTCCATTAATGACCCCTAAAGCCCTATAAATTGATACCTACATACTGCTTTTCAATATCATAACCACCGCAGGTAATAATCACCATTCCAAACCATACTTAAAATAATTATTAATTAATTAATTATTAGCTATCTATCCATGGCGGCTTCGAAGTCTTCCTTCCTTCTAATGGCTTTCCTCGGCGCGCTTGTCTGCACGGCTTCTGCGGCCAGGAGACTCGCCGGTTCCGACAACGACGCCACCTTCCGTGATCAGAAGCAGTTCTTTCCGGGATTCGGCGGCGGCGGCGGCTACGGCGGCGGCGGCGGCTTAGGTGGACTCGGCGGAGGTGCGGGTGCTGGCGGCGGCTTTGGTGGGGGGCCTTTTGGAGGCGGCGGATTTGGAGGCGGTGGCGGTGGTGGAGGAGGGTTGGGTGGTGGGTTTGGCGGCGGAGCCGGTGGAGGATGGGGTGGATTCCGGCCATGAATAATTAATAAATAGATATTATATATATATATATATGTGAGTGTGTGTTAATTAATTAAGTAATATGGAAGAAATTAAATGCATGTTATATATATATATATATGTGCATGAATTAAAAAGTTTGTGTACGACTGCTGTTTGTCATCAATAAATTATGAGTTAGTTTTCTTTGTATCGTATTTTATTTTATCAATACTTTTTGTATTATTCATTACATATATTTTGAGTATGAAATTGAAATATATTTTATTTTACATATATTACTAGCGAGGGATTGATATTCCGTCACAATTGCGAACCAAGTTTGTGACTAAATTTAAAATTCCTTTCAAAATAACGAAAGACTTTGCAAAATTTAAAATCAAATTGGAACTCTACACCCAAATTTCATTGGACGCACCCACCCGTTGACAACTACACTTTGTAAGTAAATGTCCGTTGACTTAATGGAGTAATCAATGCCACTTAAGAGCTTACAACCAACCCGTCAACTTGTAATCTCCCTTTACATAAAAGTTTTGCTACTTCTAAAGAATTTAAAAAAAAAATACTTGTCAAGTTTTGGTTTTGGATTTTGATTTTGAATTAAAATAATTGTTTGATGTGATGTTTTGAATGTAAAAATTATGGTATCTGATTTGATATTTTTTTAGAAAAAAAGAGATGAAATACTAAAATCAAGACTAAAATCTCACAAGTAAAGTAGCGTAAAATTTTTTACTTAGTTCATTATTTTATTATTAACATTTTAATAATTTTTGCTATAGTATCTCATTATTTACTTTTTAAATAGCTACGCTTATATTAAATTTTTTTTTTTTATTAATCTTCATATTTGAATATTATGACATAATTACTCCGAATACAAAAAAAAGGTATTTTATAAGAATAATAATAATATATGTTTATTAAGAATTCCTCTTCCATTGCAATCTGAAACTGCAATTATATTGAAGTTTTGTAACAGTAAAAAAATTAATATTTTATGTGATTTATATTCCCAATTGAGGAGGCGGCATTAAGTGGCCGACGGGACCGCGGGAAAGGATATTCATACTCAGAATGACTGAAAAAAAAAAAAAAAAAAAAGTTCTGTATATGAACAGGCTTTTTATATATATATATATATATATGTATTTTCTCTTTTATTCAAATTTTTACAAAGAAGGTGAGAATACATTTTTGCATTTCTTCGTACAAAAGTAGTTTGGAATTGGCCAATGTTCTGCAAGTTAATTTGTGTGGAATAAGTGTAACATATACATATTTATACTGTCCATAAGTCCTTATTCTTACAGTGTTTGGCCATTCTACAAATTAAGTTCTTGGTAATTGTGTGTTTAAATTTCATTCTCTGCTGGTTGAAATTTGTGTAATGTCTCATGCACCATTATTAGAAATGTATATTTATTTTGTACTCCCTTCGTCCCACATATTGTGTCTGTTACACTGTAGACACGGTATTTTAGAAGGGTATAATTAGTAGATAATTAAGAATATATTAGTGAAAATAATTATCCTATAATATTTATAAATTAAGATTACGATAACTAATTAGTTTAATTAAAATTTAAATAAATAAATAAAATTAAAAAGTTTAAAATGAGATTAAAGTGTATAATCATTTTTTAAAAAAAAAGGTGACATGATACGTGGGACGGACAGAAACGACAACGTGGACATGATTTATGGGACGGAGAGAGTATTATATATATATATTTATAGTGATATATAAATCGTCTAAAAAGACAATAATTTTAAAAATATTTTAAATAAAATAACTATTATAAATACTATGTATTACTTTTAGCCTTCGGATCAAGTGCTGATGTAATATAAAATTTAGCATAAACTGAAATAAATCTCCACCTTTAATTTAAATCTAATTATTTTAATTAAATAAGTAATCTAATTAATCAATATTGTAGATGAAATTTAGGACAACTGAATTCATTAATTCAACAGCTAATTCAACCTGTTACTTTTAAATATATTTTAACAATATGTTTGGCATGTATTTGAGGAGCCCAAAAACGATCAGAACTATAGTTAAAAAATTAGAAATTAGTCTCCTAATGGTGCACCGATTGAACATGTGACCGTGAAGTAATGGGTTCAAACTTTCGCTTCAAGCGACCTCGTTTGCATAGTATTAACCACGTATGTAAGAAAAAGAAAAGTTAAAATAATGATTTATGTCTGGATAAATGCACACCGAAACAAATTAACGATTAATGTCCGAAGCACGCACGTGTTGAAAAGTCCGAAGCTAGGGGTTTTGCAATGCTTCAGAGTGAATCTAGTCCGTTGGTATTTTGTAGAGCCTATATGATGGACGGTCTTGATTTACTCTATTAGGTTCTTTACTTCCTCGAATCAATTTTTCCGTCTCCCGAACCTACAGCTTCTTCTTCTGAATTTTCATTCAATCTTTGATCGATTGATCGATCGCTCGCTCGCTCTTCCAACAATTTTCATCTGAAATCTGTGGCGAAATCGGTTCGAATTGTTTTGAGGCAAGATGATGCAGCCTCTGTATGCTCTGGTTTTGGGGGAAGTGGCGGCGATTTTGCTGCTGCTTTTCCGAACGCCGTTGAGGAAGCCCCTTCTGATGTTGCTGGATAAAATGAAGCAGGGGAGGGGTCCTGTGGTGGCGTCCACTGCTGCCGGTACTCTGTTCGTGATAATGGTGTCCATCATTATAAACATCAACAACATCCAGTCCCGGACTGACGAATCTGGCGCCGTTCTTAACCCCACCGACCAGGTTCTCCTCGCGCACCAGCTTTTGGAAGCATCACTGTTGGGTAAAACTTTCTCCTCCCTCTGATTCCTAGCTTAGCCAATCTCCCTTGCCCGATTAATTTGATTCGGAGATCATTATTACGCGATCACCTGTTTTCGTGAAAAATTATACTAGTGTGACCTAGCTTCGATTCTTCCTAATTGAACAATCAAATCAATATCATGTGTTGATACATTTTAAATTATGCTGTCACGTGTTAAATTGGGCTCAATAATTCCCAATTGTTATGATAAACATGGACCTGGATGAAAGAAACAATGGAGCTGTTATGAGTGCAGGGTTTGCTCTTTTCCTGGGGTTGATGATCGACAGAATCCATTATTACATTAAAGAGGTCCGGATGCTGAGAAAGCATTTGGAAGCTATAAAGAAGGTGGATCCAAAATCGCCAGATGCTAAGGGCATCGAGAAGGGAAAGAGTAAAGCTGAGGAGGAAGACTAGAATTCGAAATCAACACATGTGACTAGCACTACCCTTGAGTTGGCATATCTAGATATCAATAATTTCTGCTTTTTATTCTGGTGATAAGCAATATTTGGTTGGAACAAAAGTATGCAGCAAAGACTAATGTATGTTTCTTTCTGTTATAAGTTTTGGCTCAATGGGGATCACTACCTTAAAATGTTTCAGGTCACTTACATGGCCTTGCAATGAGATTACAGTGATATGTTAACTACGATACAGGATATTCTCCCGGCCTCTTACCTCAACATAGTCCAAGTTAGGAGTAAACAAACACTAAGGAACTACACGGCATGAAGTCTCTTTGATAAGGAAGGATGAATTATTGTATTTGTGAGATTAGATATCTTGAATGATTGAACTTAGATGGTAAATATACAGAAATTATTCTGTTTGTAATTTTCTTTGGTTTGGAGATAACTCAAATGGGTAAACCGGGCTATAAATTAATTGTCTTGCCCTTTTCTAATCTTGTGAGAAGGCTTTCCATTTTAAATTGCAGGTAAGATTTAGCAGGAGTAATTGTATGATGTTTCTATATCTTACTTGTCCCACAGCCTGTATATGGATCATATTTCCTTTTTTTGTCACTTTTATGGTTGATTGGCAGACCATATGAATAATGTGAGGAGTGTGTTTTGGTTTAATTGTAGCTTAATTCTGATAGCATACAGGTCATACTTGATTCTTATTGTCCCTTTATTTTGTATAAAAGTATAAAGTTCTCTGTACATGCCAGGAAAGGAATGAATGACCCTGTTGAGCATCTACCCTCTAATTCTAAATTGAATTATATATACTTATTCTGCATCTTATTTCCAAAGTATATGCATACATTATATTTATTTTGATTCCACGGTTGACACGTTGTGTGTTGTGATTCTCTAATTGAGCCTGTTATTGTAAAATATATATAGTGTGATTCTTGTTTCATAGTCCATAACCTTCTCACTGTATATTATCATTTTATTGTGTTACTGAGAAAATTTGATGATAGCAAAAAGCAATGATTCATATATTCCTGCACAAAGTGTGGCTGTGTATCAGTCAATCTATGGTGACAAGAGATGAAGTCATGGCTGAAGTCAGTGGATCTTTCCCCATCTAAAGAAGAAGGGATATCAGTGGTGTCAAGCAAATGCGCATAGGATTCGCACCTAAACATATCCCAAATAAAAGAGCGTTGGACTTCAGGTTTGGCTCCACCCACCCACCCACTTCTCTATGGTTTTTAGCTAAATAAAGTTGCAGAATGAAAATATTGGGTATATCTGCTCTCAACCATCAAAGGATGCTTTGGTCCGAAGACGGGCCCGTGGATAAGCATCCTTCTTGTTGTTAGGTGAGCACTTTGGTTTGGAATACCTGCACTTTATGGGAGAATAAACTTTGCCGACTTGCTTGGGATTAGGATAGCCTAAACTCTAATGTCTTGTGCATTAAACAAGTGTCTATGTTACTTTTATGTTTTTTTTTGTGAATTGTGAATCTTGTTTGGCGATGATTTACATGTTTTGGACACTTGTGGTTGGGAGTCGTCGGTGCTTTGTCGTAACATTACACACAATGTGTTTTATTTCTTTCTTTGTTGGCTGGATATGATTGTCCCCACAGAGATTACAATTTACACATCAAACCACACTTGCAACATGCCTTATATGGATCAGCACATTTGCTTTGTTCTTGATTGCTTTCTGTGTCCAGCTATTGCCTGATCCAGCTTGTCTTTCCTTATTGCAGTGGCCCCGTTTAAAGATTTTTGTCAATTGGGATGGGGTATGGGCTATGGCTGTGTGTTTGTTTGAGTTGACCAGGGTTGAAAGTTAGGCGTTGACTTCCCATTTCTTGAACAAGGGGAAGTGGCTGCCTTGCTGGCTGACCGGCTAAGATTTAACGTTTGTGTTTGTCGGCCTGTTTATGGGAGTCGGTGTGATTTGTTTTCAAACTTGAGATGTCTGAACTAGATGACAGTAGTTGACTTGAAAGTTTTGTACTTTTTCAAGAAATCATGGAAGTAATTGGGTTAGTGTTCTTACCATGAATTAGCAAGCAAGTCAACCCTCTGCACTAACATACCATTATCCATGATTGAGCTCCATAGTTTCTTCTATTGTGTGAACAGTGCAGCCAATATTCCTGTGTGTTTGTGTACTAATAAGACATGTTTCATGCCAGAAATGGGAAACTCAAATTTGGATGTCTGGTCTATCTGGGTATTTCAAAATTTGAAAATATTTTATTAAATTGTAATAATCATTATCCCTACAAGAAAAATATGTATATAAATTATATTATTGGTGGTGAATTGGTTGAGAAATTAAAAAGGTGGAAGCTGTCCAATAAATTCGACTTCTCAACCAATGGTCGGTTGCCCTTTACGATTATAAATGAATATATCCATCTTATTCAATATCTCTTAATTTTAGAGTTGAAACTGAATTAATATATTGTTAGAAGTCAAATAAATCTTGTTAAAAATTAGTTACTTAATTCGTACTTCGCACCCCTCTTTCTTCTACCAGCATGAGGAAAATGCTTTGTAAATCAGTCATCTTCTTCACCAATGGAATAATGCCATGAAAAAAGGACTGTGAAAATTGCAGGAAAAGTCGATTTAAATTCCATTACTGTTTGATCGGACATAATTGTTCTTGACACAGAAAGCCCAGATGAAAAATCCCTAATTCTATCAGTAACATTAATCTCATCACTAAAGGAATTCAAGAATGGATCTTCAATGGCAGTTAAGACACCCGTCTCTTCTTCACCAATCAAGTTTTCGTAATTCGAATCTTCACTGCTGTAATAATCCCGTGAAGATTCTTTATTCCCATCATCCCTAACGGTTACCCAATCTTCCTCCTCTGTCCAATCTGGAAAATTCAAATTCATCGGAAGGACGCCGCCGGCGAGACCTGTGATCCTGGCCGCCGGAGAATTCGTCGACGACGAAGCCGTACCCGTCGGATCGAGAGAAAAATCTGAAACTTCCATGGCATCCCAAAAGCACTGATCCATCACGCTCGTCGGCGAATTTCTGACGAGCTCTCTTATCTCGCCGGAATCGGAATCCACAGAGCTGATAAAAGGATGCTGCAGAAGCTCCGCCGCCGTCCACCGCTCCGCCGCCTCTCTAACCAGGCACTTCCCGAGAAAATCCCTGCCGGCGTCGGAGAACCAGTCAGGAAACTCCGGCACGTCGCCGGAGTAAGCCACTCTGTAAAGCGCCGCCGCAGGGTCCTTCATCTCCGGCCACGGAATTGTTCCGGTGGCCATTTCGATCACAGTGCACCCCAAAGCCCACACATCCGCCGGAAATCCCTGCTCCTCGCCGCGGGCGACCTCCGGGGCCATGTACGCCGGCGTTCCGGCGAAACTCCCGCCCAATTTCCCCCCCACCCATTTCGCACACCCAAAATCGGCGATCTTCAACCCGCCGGCGCCGACCAATATATTCTGCCCTTTAATGTCGCAGTGAGCCACACCCTTGAGATGAACACAATTCAATCCCTCCACCAATTGCCGCGCGTAGAGCCTAATCGCCGCCTCCTCGAGGCGGCCGCCGCCGCTGCTTCTGATCAGATCGGAAAGCGTGCCGCCGGGAACATACTCCAAGAACAGATTAAAAACGTGGTCTTTAACATCCGACCCAAAGCACTGTACAACGAAAGGAGAGGAGAATTGAGTCATTATAATCTCCTCCTTCCTCAGCGAGCCGGAAGAAGAAACGCCAGCGGACTTCACCGCAAAGACCTCCCCGGCGGCGGTGGTGGCGACGGAAACCACGGCGGAGGAGCCCCGGCCGATCGTGGGCCCTTTTCTCCACTCCATTTAGATTTTTAGATTTGAAGTTTAAATTGGGATTTGGATTTTTGAAATTTGGGTGTGCACTTGTGAGGAGTATTGTCATGTAATAATTTATAGGCGGGTCGCATTGCCAAATTGGTTTGGTTGGTTAGCTGTATGTATGTATAGTGTATGTACATATAATCGAACAGAATAGAACAGTTAAGCTTTTCAACCTGTAATTAATTAATTTATGGGGTGGGGGTGGAGTGGGGTGGGGGGGTGGCTTTATTTATTCTTTCGTCTTCTTGGAATCTCTGGAGGCATATTTCGTGAGCTTTCCTCCATTAATATAAGTATATTTTTAACATGGAGCATAGGTAGAAGAGGAGGCTACGTGGCGGAAGGGGAGTGGTGGAGAAAGGGCTCGGGGCGACGGTGAGAAGCCGTCCACATGACGGCACGTGGTCACGTGCCGCTCAGCACCGCCGCTATCATCGCTGTTTCTTTTTTTATTTTTATTTATTTATTTTTAATACAATTGCGGCGCAACGCCTTTGCTTTTGCGTTAGCCTTTCCTTTATGGAATCCTCCTCGTAATTCATTTCATTTGTCTTAGGTACAATTACCGAGGCTGCCCGCGGTCAACTTAACAACCTGAGTAATTTTGATTCTTGAAGCTGTAAAATCTGGTAAATTAAAAAATAGAGAATAATAAGTCAAAATAATAAAAAGGCCATTTTTTATTTATTTATTTTTTTATGGGCAACCTACATAGATCAGTAAATTTTGGTTATTTATGGCAGATCAGTTATTATTATAGTGAGTTGAAATTAAATAATTAATTAATGGGAGGGGAGACTTGAATTGAATTGGGGTCGGGTAGGGTAGGGTAGGGGTATGGACATCTAATTGTAAAGGGGGGGTAGTTCACAAATGCAAAAAGCTGTCACAATTAGGCAAGGGCAGTTATTGTGAGAGGAGAGGCTGGTGCACTTTCAGACTTAGATAGGGGCAAGGAAGAAAGAACCCTTTAGCCCACACTCCTAATTTAATTTATTAATTAAAACATTAATGGTTAATAAATATAAAAAAAAAAAAAAAAAATCCAAGAGAGAAAAAAACAAAAAAGAAAAAAAGTGAAAAAATCCAGCCAGGCTGGGAGTGGGCGAACGTAGAAGGTTGGCCTCTGGAGGGCCACGTTGTGAGGGAATTTTTCACATGTTTTGTTTGTTAAATTCTTGAATGTGAGAATTAAATTTTACAGGCTTCAATTAATTACCAATGAGGTATAGTAGGCTGTTTAATTAATAATAATAATAATAATAATAATATAAATTAAATTTTAAGTTATTAATAAAGTGGGGGCCATTATTAGAATATATATATATATATATATATATATGAGGCATGGATGAAGAGAGCTTGTGCTTAAAGTAATGGCAGGCGGTGATGCTATTGCTGCCTCATCACTCACTCGCCACCTTTCTCTCTCTCTAGATCTCTTTCTCTTACTATATATATAAAAATATATATAAAGATAATTGTGGACCAATCATATACGAACACACTTCTCCACGCATCTAGCACCACCGCCACATCATCATCACTATTTCAACAACTATATATATATATAAGTATTTATTAATTCCTCGGACAAAACTATCATTATTAATAATTTAATGAATGCAATTTATTCATTCGGCAGTATTTGTAGCACAGCATAGTTTCCCACGAATTATGTTTCTATTTACACAATCAATTTTTATTCATTTGATATTAGTAGTATGTTTCCGGCTCTCATTTATTTTTTTTTCATCATTATAGTTAATATTAAAAATATTTTTATATTTGTAAAAAAATTTATAAAAATATTATTATAATAATATTATAAAACACTAATAAAATTTTTTTTTCTTTGATTTGTATTACATTTTTTATATAATAATTAATTAATATTCAAAGATCAATATACTAAAAATAAATGGAACCATTAGAATCGGACAGAAGTAGTATTATTTATTTTTAAAAATATTATATCAAATATTTATTTTTTCTAACAAAATATCAAATCAAAATACAAATTTTTTTTTTTTTTTTTCTGAACTTCCAAAACTCTCCAAATGGGGTTGAAATTAAATTAAATTAAATTAGATGCCAATATTATATACTAGAGTAGTATTTAATTATTAGTAGTAGAAGTAGTAGATATGAAGATTTATGAGTTTGGTTTTGCAGAAGAAAAATTAATTTCGATGGGTTTTAATTAGATTAATTCCAGTTGATTTTTTTTGTATGTAGTGATGAACGAGTAGATATACAGATGCATACACCAAATTTATTCTCATTTTCCTTTTTAGTCCGTCAACTAAGACAAAATCAACATTTAATTATTACCCTCAATCCAATACTTATTTACAACAAATACCACTGACTTTATTATATTCTCTTTCTTTATTTACTTAATTTTTTAATTAAAATTCCAAAAATACCCTCAACTACTTATCACTTTTTCAATAAAATATTTACTTTTCTTAATTTCCGTACATAACCCAAATGAGCTAATTTTAGTAGACGGATGGAATATATTATAAGTATTCGATGAATATGAGATATATATATATATATATATAATGGGACGTTCATGGGAACTCACTCTCTATGTTCTAAGCTGTAACCAAACCAAGGAGTATTTAATTTATTATTATTATTATTATTGGGATTGGAGTATGAATGATAACTAATTTTCTGGTGGTGTTTTTGTGGTGAGCCACAACTGCGACCATATTACATCATCACTATATTACAGTAAAATCCAATTAACATATAAATCTATATCTATCCATTTAGGGGTGAGTGGCAGCCACATTATTAATATAATTAATATTAATGGCACTACACGACAAATAACACCCCCCAACATTAACTAACAAACTAACTAATTAATTAATGAAGTGTGTGTGTGTGTGTACAATGTTGTATTGTGTGTCGATCCGTCTGTGTAATGCAATGTATGCGTTGGAGAAGGTGACCAATCAGATGAGGTAAGAATTCTTTGAGAAATGGGAAACTCTCTGCTTCATTGGTTTCTATTTACTACATCATCATCACCATATTAATAATAGTATTAATTAAATAATATAAAACAAGTTTACAGTTTTTCTAATTTACTATAAAATCTGAAAACATCCCTTTTAAATATAATACAAATGAAATATTCCATCCGTTTCATAACTACAGTAAAAAGTATAGGTCAAAATTTTTTTTGCGCTTGTGAGTATATTAGTGTAAAAAGTAGTGGCAATTGTATAATAAAAATGAAAAAATAAGGATAATTTTATGGTAATATGGTTATTTATGGAAATAAAACTATTGTTTTGAGACGAACAAAAAAAAAATAAGGCTATTGTATTAAAACAAATGGAGTATAAATTAAGATGATAGTAGCACAAGAAATATATATATATATTAGTAATGTTAGGTAGACAATACAATTACTAAAAATAAAAATGGATTCGTTGTTATGGGACGAACCAAAATAAAAAAATAGATAAATTGTTAAAAGACGGAGGAAGTATATAGTATAAATGAACTGATAATGCATAATAATAATAAAAACAACATACGTATGCTACTTTATAATTCAAATACTAAATAATATTCCTTTCATCAATTATAATTACACTAAATTTTAGTTTTGGTTGTCTATTAAATTTATGTATAATCTATGTACCGGAAAATAATTTTATTCCTCATAATTTTATTATTTCTATTTTAACAAGTAATATTCAATTCACTGTTCCCTCCGTCTCAATTCAAAGTATTTTTTTTTACTATTTTCGTCTGTCCAATTTCAAAGTATATAGTTCTTATTTTAGAAAAAGTAATAATACACTAATATCAAAATACCTTTAACTTTTACTTAAATTATAAACATACCATTATTTTATACATAAAATTAAAAGAGCAAAAATATCAAAAATTCTTACACGCCTCCATTAACTAATAAAATACTATTATTTTTTAATTTATTACAAACTCTAAAGAACCTCTTTTATTCTAAGATAGTATTTTTCTTTCTATTTATTATTATTTTTTTATCATTTATTTAATAAATTTTTTATAATACTTTTATTTTATCTTACATATATATATATCCTATTTTTACCTTAAAATATTACTTTATTTGTCCGGCTCTAAGAGTCTCATTTATCTTTTGCGTTATTGTACTTAACATTAAAAATATTCTTATATTTGCATAATCTTTTTGTACAAATGTCATTATTATTATTATTATTATTATTATTATTATTATTATAAGACACTAATAGAAGTAGTTTTGTCACTTTTCCTTGATTTGTACTTATGTTTTAATATAATAATTAATATTCAAAGATTAACATGCACAAAATTAACCCAGCCAGACATCCAAATTATATACTGTCATTTTCCTTTTTGTTAAATTATATAAAGATTTTATATTTACGGTCATTAAAATAAATAGTAGGTCATTAATATAAATTTTTTGTTTATTTTAAGCGAGTGTTCTTATATTTTTTAAAAATCTTTTTACTATATAATTGTTAATTTTATATAAAATATATTAATTATTCTCATAAAATATTATTTTATACTATGTGCAATTCACATAGAAAATAAAAAAGAGTAAAAAACACACCCTAAGCTTGTTTACTTGTGTTAATGTGTGTTTGTGTTCTAATATGTTTTTTGTTGCTCAATCTTTCAATTTATTTTAAAAACATTATAGTAAGTAGTATTTCACGTACCTAAAAATATAAATACTAAAAAAAAGAAGAAAATAAAAGGTGTAAACGAACCATAACTACAATATAATATATTGACCTGTCGAACAATGAAGGCTTGTTTAATTGTAATTTTTTAATGTTAAAGTTAATAATTATTTGATATAATATTTTATATAAAAAATTAGTAAATTAAATAATAAATATTTAATTCTAAGAAAAAACCTGAATGTATTGCATCTATTTTAGATTACATTACATATGTGCTTTCAAGCCATGTTATTAAACGTTGGGCTTTTATTGGGCCTTTTCACAAATATAGGACCCATAAATATGTACTTCTAAAAATAATAATAATAATTCGAAATGAAATAAGATGTTATTGAGTTTTAATTTAATTAGTATTCAATCTGATAGTTTTGTGAAATGAATATTATATTTTTATTGGAATCCAGTAAATGTAGTGTTTTTTATTTGATATGTCATTTTTCACTTTTTTTTTTTTTGGGGGTACTTTTCCTATGCAATTTTTACAATTTTTTTTTTTATTTTTTTATTTTTTATAAAAAATTATATTCAAAACTACTATTCAAACACAACTTAACATTTTAACTTATAATTTCTTTCTATAAGCAACAAATACTTAGAGATGATATTTTGGAACAAAATAAACCAATAATAAAATGACCTTTTCTTGTTTCTATGAATTTTTGTAAAACGAAAAATAAATAAATAAAAAATCAGGATATCCTTTTTATAATGAAATTTATGTATATATGTGGATTTTTAAATAAAAATAAAATTTCATTGAAATATATTTTGACAAGTGAAAAAAATGTGTTCATAACATATATAATAGCTATATAGTTTGGCAATTATTCTAGTATAATAACAAATTTATTTGATGATTAATGTATAAATACTTGGGAAAAAAAATATATATAACAAGAAAAATAAATAAACCATACCAAATAGATAAATAAAAGAGTACACTACAAAAATAAATGATTTTTCAAATAGATATTTTGAGAAATCTTGGCCTTCGTCTAGATATAGTATTTTAGAATTTGCAAAACAAAAAAAAAATGTATTTAATATGATACATATTTTAAAAATAATTAGTATTTGTATGTAAACACAACATACAAATTAGTTAAAATTGGGGCCGAACAATTTAAATTAGGCCTTTAGAGTCGCGAAACAATTGTGCAATAATAAATATGTGGATTATGTTGACCATTTATTTCATTTTGTTGCATTCTATTAATTGTTTATGATATACATCAATACTTTTAAAATGGTTTCATTGTAATATGATATATACAAGAATAACCATTTGATCGATGCACACAATTTTTTTTTTTTTTTTGGAGAACTTAAAATATCACCATCATATAAAAGTTAATTTTGGTGTAGAAGTTAAAATTCAATAATTTTGTTTGATTTTGAGTTGAGTTTGATTTTTTTTAAAATTTTATTTTAAATAATATTTTGTGACAAAAATATATTGTTAACTTATAATTTAATGTCCCCTAATAATTATACAATTTAATTGAATTTTAGTTTTCATAATTTATTATTTTAATTAAATTAATTAATTATTTTTATTTTAATCTATAATTACTTTTACTAGTATATTTTTTAGTTATTTACTAATAATATATTCATGCTTATAGTTCATATTTATAGTACCGGAGAATTAGGGTGGATCGAAAAGAATATTTCGGAAATAATTGAATATGATTGTTCTTTTTTTATTATTATTACTAGTATTATAATAACTCACAAATTTCGAAAATAATTTAAATTAGAAAATAAATTTTAAAGATAACAACCGATAAAGAATAATAATAAGGAGAAGAAGAGAGAAAACAGCATTTTATTTCTTCTGCCAATAAAAAATCCCATGGAAAGAGATGGCAGAACATCAACTGCATGAGTCCAAATTAGATACATTCAGACACCAAATAATTTAAAAACCAACAAAAATTAATGTTAATGTTGTGCTAACCACGAACCAGCCAAAGATCACATTTTATATGTATATGATATATCTGAATTACTTGCCGAAATCAGCAGTGTTTATTCATTTGGGGAAGAATCGCTGTGATCTTCGACGCCATTAACGTTAGAACGATGAGCGCCGCCTATAATCGAGCTGATCGCCGCCGCCAACGCCGAATTGAAATTCGGGTCTGCCGCAATCGCACTCAAAAACTCCTGCGACGAACCGGCGCTGCCGCCGGAGCCCGACGGAAAATTAGGGACGGCCTGTAACTGCGGTTGTTGGGCGCCGCCGGCGAATGGGGCGGCGCGTGAATGACTCGCCGCCGCGCCGTAGTGTGTCATGTCCAATGTAACGGTGGGGAACGGCGCCGATGCAGAAATGGTAGCCTGATTTAGGGAATAAGGGATCATCGGAGGATTGGCGGCGGTCGGATTTTCTAATCCGTCGGCGCCGGAAGTTGAGCCGGAGAGCAGCATTGTGGCGGCGGCCGCCGTGGTCGACGCCATCGGCAGGGCCGCCGCCGGCAGCGGGTGGTTGTGGCGGCCTTCGTAGGTGGTGACGAGGATGGACCGGTCGTCGGCGCTCCTCTGGACCTGTTTGCGGACCGGACAGGCGACGGCCATCGTGCAGCGGTAATAAGCCCTCGGGCATGGGTTCCCTTTGGCCATTTTTTGGCCGTATTTCCGCCATTGACACCCGTCGGAGATCTAATTTCAATCGGAAAATTATTAATGCGTGATCGGTGACGATGACGAAATCAATTCTTTAATTTATTGATTGAATTAATCTTACGATTTGAGCATCGGAGCGGACGCGGACAGAGACGCGGGCTTTCTTGACGGTGCTTTCGGAGACTTGGAGGTGGTCGGAATCAGGCAGGTTAGGGGTTCTGGTCGCCGGAATCCGTTCCCGGAAACTGCTTTCCGGGCTGTCGCGGCTTTTGGCGTTTGCCCTCGAATTGTTATTATTATTATTGTTCGTAGCTATTGGCATTTCTTCAGTACTTCGAATTGGTGAGCTCGAATGATTTTCCCGATGGGCGGCAGTGGCCGAGTGTTCTGGAATCATCTACGAAAAACATACAACAGAAGATTGAAATCAGAATTGTTTTAAAAAGAAGAAAAGTGTATGTATAATTGAAATTAATGACCTGAGGGTTTGGATGATGGGAAAGAGACAAGATATGCGTCCTCAAGGAACGGTATTTGTCGTTGATTTGATCAAGGACACCTCTCAAACGTTCGTTTTCTGTGTTCATCCGACGGATCTCCGCCTTCAGAACGTCGAACTGCAATTCGATCGATCGATTATCCAACCATTAAGTAATTCACAGACAAGACAAGAAATTTATAATATTATGAAAATTCGATCGAAACAACGAACGAACAGTCATGCCGTCTTGTTGGACTATCATTGATTAAACTGATCGATGCTGTTTTTCATACTTACTTCATTACTACCACTGCTACTGGAGTCCTGTCCGCCATTTTTGTCTGCAGACGTCGCCGGGATCTCCGAGTTGGTTGTCAGAAGATTCAGACCAGTCTACAAACAATATTAATTATACAAGAAGAATCAATTTGAAAAAAGAAGAGAGGATCGTCGATCGATGAAATTAAACATACGCTTAAGTGAAGGTGAAGCCTTTTCGCTGCACGTTCATCGTCATGATCACGATGATCATGATCAATGCCATCATTAGTGTCGGGACTCTTAATGGCGAAGAAATCCATCTCGCTGACGACTCGTTTGTCTGCACCATCGTCCAAAGGTTGATGATCGAAGGAATTGAGGATCGTGGACTGATGCTTAAACCCTTGTTCCATTACTGATCAATGATATATCCGATCTCCTCGTCGTCTTCGATCAAATTAATAATTAAAATCCAGATCAATCACTCAATACAATAAAATCTATGATCGAGAAAACAAATAAACTAATAAAACTAAATTATTAAGAAATCAAAGAAATAACGCCAGGAGTGGGTCTGAATGAATTAAATGCAAAAGAGTCTTAATTCAGACAATAAATTAGAAAGACAAACATACTAAGAAGAAGAAGACGACACAGAGAGAGAAAGAAATAGAGCCCAATGGGAAAGGGATTTGAAAGGCATGAAAAAATGAAGGAATTAGAACAAGATTAATGAATTAAGTTGATGGCACCATGTATATATATATATATATGTATACGCAGAGAGTGGGTGGTCAAAGTGTGCAGATGGCATGAAATGCATGCAATACAACTATATTATCTATATCTATATGTATGTATAGGTAGAGAGAGAAGAGTTTGACTGGATCATTTGGATAAGAGCAGCCGGCAAGAGAGAGAAAGAAAGAAGAAGAAAAAGAAGAAGCAGTCAAGTAGGTTGACGCGCGGTAACAACGGCTGGGCCACGCTCTCTCCTACTTCTTCTTCTTCCTCCTCTCTCTTCCACATATTCTTCATTTTCTTTCTCTCTCTCTAACTTGTATCTTTAATTTCACCATATAAATTCAACCTCACTAATTAGTTGCTTTTATTATTGGTCAATAATAATACAAAACTAATACTATGAATTTGCTTTATTTTATTTTCAATTATATATATCTTTTTACTATTGGTTAAAGATTATATTCAATTATCAAACATATATGTTTTAAATTTATACTTTTTTTATATAAAATATTTATATTTTTAACTTTTGTTTATCTTATATAATTTATTATTATTATTTTTTAAAAAATATATAATTATACATTTTAATCATATTTTAAATTTTATAACTAATTATATTTTATCTAAATTTTTGTATTTACTATAATATGAATATATTATTCGGGACTGAAGAAGTAGTATTATATATTAAAAATATTACACATAATAATTGTTTTTATATTTTTCTTTAAGTTTTTATTATTTAAAAAAATACTCGAATTAATACTTCCAAACACAATAGTTAAATACATATTTATGTTCGTATAAATGGGGGATTTGGTAACTATGGTATGTCTTTTTGTATTTCTTTATAGTATATGTTTATAATTTGATAATTTAAAATAAACATATTGATTTAATATTGATAAACATCCTAAAATTAACTTGTGGTATTTGATAAAAATGTTTTAGGAATTTTGATAAACATCCTAAAATGTTTTAATATATGTAAAAGAAATAATATATGTGATATAGTTAAAAAGATAATAATGCCGAATTTTAAAATTTGTTGTGTAAATTTTATTTTCCATTTGAATGGAATGCTTTAATAATAATAATAATAATAATAATATATTTTTATTAAAAAAAATTGTAAGAATTGTATTATAGAAAGAGCTAAAAAAAGCACCGACGAATGTGTTTTGATGATTTTTAAATTTGATTTTTTATTTTTAAGTAAAAAAGGTATAATTGAATTTGCTGAGTACCCAAGAATAGAATATAGATATTGAAAATAGCAGGTACTTCCTTCATTCCAATCAAAATACTTTCAAACATTTTTGTAATAAAATAAATAATGATAATATTTTATTAATCAATAAAAGTATATAAGATAATTTTGATCTTTATACTTTATGTATAAATTAATTATATAAATAATGATATATCTGTAATTTATATAAAAATTTAAAATATTTTAATATTGATGTGTTATCACTTTACTATAATAAGAAAAAAAAAAGAAGATAAATACTGTATTTTTTTAATGAGAGAACCAAAATGATAAGAATTATATTTTTAGTTGGGACTAAAAGAATAAAGAGTATATATAGTAGATTCTACAATGAGAATACAAAAAAGTTGAATTATTTTAATAAACTAATCAAATAAGCTAATTAACTAAATAAATTGAACATAAATACAAAATTCAACTTATTTTATTTATAATCGAGCTTGAACTTTGGTAAGAACATTCAATAGACAAATCATTTTAATCATGTATCTTTAAAAATTGGTTAACAATTCAAGATGTACTATACTTTGGGGGTAAAGGATCAACTAATTAGACGTGATGAACATATATCGTAGAAGTGATCAGCATATATCTATATATTTTAGCATATTCATAATACAACAAATATTATATTTTAAATCAATATATAATATTTTATAACGCACCGGCGAAGTAACTTAACTATTAACTATGAGATGCCATGTGCAGGATAATATCAGTGCAACTATGATCTAGAATAAATAAATATATGGAGGTTAATTATGGAGCTTTCAAGCACTAATAGTTTGTTTGACATTTTACGCATATAAAGTCTTGACTATGATTGTTAATGACTATGTCCGTACATATATCATCTTTTTATTATTACTATATCCTTCCCTTCTGTCCAAGAAACTCTAAGTCTATAATATGGTTTAAATTTTTTACTAATTAAATACTAGTACTATAAGATCATAAATAAACAGCTCTCTCTCTCTCTCTCTCTCTCTCTCTCTCTCTATCACTCTCTCAGATGTGGGTAACTTCTCTTTTCGTTACAAAGTCTAATTTAAACTATATATAAAACAAAGGAAAAGAAACTTCAATTAGTCAGCCACCGAAGCTTCTTAGTTGATTAGAAAATTCGGTATTAGAAGCTAACTCACATTCGGACTCCAGTTCTCAAGCTTCCATCTGCTATTATGTTACACACAATTCATTCTAAAGTAAAGATAATAATCTAGATTCTCTAATGGGGTAACCAGGCACCCTCTAGCTTTTGAACTATAGGCATTTTATACAGAAACTGAATCCTATAAAAATGAATTTGTTTTTATATTGGCCAATACGTCAATAAAAAACTAACACAACAAAAACAGCTTATTCAGCACAACTACCAAAGTTTTGACCATTAATTGGTAGATTCCTATGATTCCATAGTCGCAGTAAAGCTAAAATCAATATAATTAATTTGATATAAAAAATAAATAAAGAAAGAAATAATGAAGGTGCATAAAGGTATTATTCTTTAGTCAATTCAGATATTCCATGCCCTCCAGACTAAAGCAATTTCTGAATTCTGGTCATTGACCAAGACTGGAGTGTAAATTATTACATGAAAATTTCCAGATACCAACCAATAAAATTAAGGCAGTGCTGAGAGCAGTTGGCTAAGTAAACTAAATATTAATAAATTAATAGTGATTTACAAAAAAGAACAACAATTGTGGCATTGATAAAACCCAGAATCATTCCTTGATCATAAAGAAATCATGTTCAAAGTTAAAAATTATAGTACAAAAATATGAGGTTTAAAATGGTTTACCTGGTTTGAAGCCATAGTGGGAATCCATAAACATTAATGTAGACTGAAGAAACTTGTCACCAACGCCCAAGCATGATATGGCAATTTCCACCAACTTGGAGCATGCTTCCAATGTTTCATCACACAACTGGGAACACATGGAATCCAAAAAAAAAAAGTCAGAATGATCTACTCATGGGGGAAGAAAAAATGAAAAGGAAATTCACTGCTGCAATTGGTTTCTTGGAAGATAAGATCTCGACAGATGGATGAATCTATACTGCTGATGATGATATGTCAAAACTTACTGCAAAGGATGAAGCTACACAGGTACATGCTTCAAGGGCCATCTTTCCTCGGACAACCTGAGATTCAACAATTGTTTTTTATAATTAATGTTCCTGACTGTAGCTCATGGAACTTTAAAAAGGAGCAGAAAATAAGTGCTGCAGATACGAGTGTGTTGTTAATAGAGGAGAATGGAAACAGATAGTGAGTAAGAATCTTTACCATGGAAGGTTCTTTCACTGTGATGTTTAGTATGTCCTGTAGAGCAGCGGCTGATAATGACAACAGCTCTTGATGGCAGAGCTGTACTCCGTGTAACAATTGGTGGTTACCCAGAACCTAAACAGGTAAATTCAATGTTATAAAGAGCTGAAAACCTGGTTCGGAGAATTGGTATAATGGCTTTTTGTATTATTTTGTAATGTTAATATTTTAAAGAATTTAAATCTTTCAAGAAGTGTTTGATATACTATTTGTTTTAGAAAAAAGTAGGTTATTGTAGTTGAACAGTAAATATAGGCAAATACCTTCAGAATTAGGGCAAACTTGGACATCAACATCAGAGTGAACTCAAAGGTCAACTCAAGAATATGGACTTATGTTATTATCACAGGTCTATTCAATTGCAACCAACTTCAAGCGCTAAATTATTCTACCTTGCCATATCATGGCATTAGTTTTCTGGGTGGTTACTAGAGACTATTTAATAAGGCCAATTTCAAGACACTAGCTGTTTCCTAAATCATTGCAGCTTAAAATTGTTTTGCCCTCTATTAAAATCTCCTTGCTTTCCAAAGAAAAAGAAAGCGAGAGATTGAGATGATCGAAGGAAAGGAAGATAGAAAATCCTGGCATCAGTTGCATAATGTTATTACCTGCACACTGGCAGCGTGGTACAAAAGTTCATCCTGGGACAATGCTGCAGACAAGAAAATGACTGCAGATAAAACCTTAGTCTTCATTCTAGGTAATATCCTGAAACATGGAAGAAGGTTGTCACCTAAGAAAGCTGAACCTGTGTTAGCTTGATTTTAATCAATTTATATATATCTGATAGAAGTATCACCATGAACGAGAGTCTAGGAAAGACAATATATGCTTGGGAATGCAGGCCAGTCCTTGTTCAGGGTTACCTTCAGTAACAAACTATGACATTAGGAAAGTCAGTAGTAACAAAATTGGCAAGTACTTCCTGAATATTTCATTGATTATGAAATCAGTAGTACCTGGAACAACAACCAACATTCCACATAACTTGCACATCAGTGAAACAATCAAATCAACCTCTTCAGGCGCAGGTGGTCCACCTATAAGAAACATGATGCTTCAACTCTTAAAGTTAAGCAAACTAGTACTAGAAAATGCTAAGAATTAAATGATATTGAATTTGCAATTAATTACTAGACACAACAGAATAGCATGCAAAATTATAAGTTTGTCATGACATCATATTGCTCCAAATATGACAGACAATAACTGAAATTACAGATAAATGTTACAAAAAATTTTCAGCACAGTATCATTATGTTATGTCAGACCTATATCAAGTACTTTATTAACGGCAGAACTCCCTCAGTGCAAGCTCTGGTTCTATTTCAGCACCTTCATTATCATGGCTTTTTGTTGCTATCAGTAAGTTAAGAACATCATCAATAATATCCAAGTGACAAATAATTGAACTAAAGGTACTATAAACTGTCATGAGAAGCTCCTGTTTTCTTATCCCCTTGATCAGACTTGCTAGAAGAATTATATAATTCTTGTGCAAGTGAAACTCATGTTATCACAAACACTATCAAGTGCAAATATATAGCTGAAGAAGTATGATAGGGAGCAGAGGCAAGGCCCTGTAGTGTACCGGAGGAGGGGATGGGCTTTGGCTTGCTTAGGAAGGCTTGGGCTTTTATTTATCAGTCTTTTAATATTTATGTGGTTGGATTTATTTTGGGTTGGATTTATTTCATGTTTATTAGATAGACTTATTTTAATTTCAGTAAGTAGGGTTTAGGTAGTAGTGTTTAAGGAATAGCTAGAGTTTGAGACATTATTAGGGAAATTTTGGAAATAAAGTAGCCTTTAGGCTTTTGGGCAAACGGTTGATATCGTTTTATTGTTCTTGGCCAAACGATTGATCTCGTTTGATTAATCTTATCTACTTATCTTGCTTCTATCAAAGTATTTAAGGAATAGCTAGAGTTTGAGACATTATTCGGGAAATTTTGGAAATAAAGTAGCCTTTAGGCTTTTGGGCAAACGGTTGATATCGTTTTATTGTTCTTGACCAAACGATTGATCTCGTTTGATTAATTTTATCTACTTATCTTGTTTCTATCAAAGTATTTAACTAACCATCGATATTTTGGAAACAATGCACCGCTGCGTCAATAAGTCCATCCAAATGAGAAATAAAACCACCAAGTAATGCAACCTGAATGTACAAATGACAGGGATGAGCATATGTTCCAAGCACTTAAAAGTAAAATTCAGAGAAGAAATTGCACCTCTGCAGTTGCAAGATATAACCTCAGCTGTCTTAAGTTGGTAGGAATGGCAGGAATGGTAACTTCATTAAAAGCCAGACATGATTTGACAAAGGTGATACTACTACGTCCATCTTTCATTGTTTGAACGGCTAAGTTGTTGCAGGAATGGACAAGTATCTCCTGTAGTTTTACGGCAGTAATATATGAGTGGAATTCTAACAGTTTCTGTAACCATTGGATACATTAAATTGAGCAGTGAAATATGTGAGGCAAAGTCCACCTGGGTTCACAGAATAAAGCAAAAGATGAAAGAGAAAAGAGAAGGGCAGTAAATCCTGACTACTAAAATGAAACAATAGGAAAGAATAAAGCATCAATCCAACTAAAGATGGTTTATATAATCATGGGGCTTAGCATAAATGTAAAACTAATTCAAAAGAATCTTCAGCTTCAATTTTTCAGGAGTCAGGATACATACACAGATAGGGACTGTAAGAGAAACGGTTTCAGCTCATACCAACTTTAAGAATGAAGGGAAAAACACAACTTTCACATTTCCAAAGACCTAAGTCCTCATATTCCAGGATCAGATTATGGAGTTTAATATGTGCAAATCCTAAATATAATCAGCAGTGTACAGGTATGTGGAATGTAAAACATGAATGTAACACAGAAAATAATGGAGTGACAAAACACAAATGAAAAAGGCTAGTACTGCAGATGCTACTGGATAATTTTCAACACTGATTGAAAGGTGAAAATGCCATGGGGTAAAACAGTGTGTGTGAAGAGACATTCAATATTCCTCAAGTAATATAGCAAATGAAAAACTTCAGCAATTGAATTAAATAACGACATCACTAACAATATAGAAACTAAGAAAACACACGACCTGGAGCTCACTAATGCAAGAAAAAGCACCGCGGCATTGACCAAGGAATTTTAATTGGCTTTCAACATCTGTTCCAAAGCCAACCTGATAGTAATGAACATGGAACTGCTGACATTAAATTCTAAATTTATTGAGTACTTGTCAAAGATTGAAACAAAACCTTCATATAAAAAGGGGTATGTTACCATATAGACGAATCGAGAAATGACATGAGAAGGGTGTTGATTATCATCCTTCCTCATGTTTGAGAAGTCTAAGCCTTCATATAATGCCTGCGCAAGTTCAAATAGAACTTCAATGACTGTTGGATCTCGAATTTGGCCATTCCTGTAAAAGATCATTACAATTTAGTCTTCATGGGGGGTAAAAAGGGATAGATTAATGCTTGTCTTGCAATATAACTCAAGCAATGAAATACATATAAACTCACAGAACTAGCAACTTATACTCTTGAGCCTAGGAATAAGTACACCAAATTGACAGCAAATTACAATCATCCTTTACCAAAAGAGTACCTCAATATCACTTAGAAGATTTCAAAGTAAAAATGCACATGAATATATATATCTCCTCCAACTTGAAGGTAAGAATGGAAAAAAGAGAAAAAAAACCACTTTAATGCCCACTTTCTGTTAATTCTTAGGACACAATATAATATTTTTATTAAGCCTACACGGCACAAGAAGTCATATTATATTTCTCAGTTATAATATTAATTCATTTAATTAGGTGGGGAGGCAGGGAGCATGTGCTTATTTTATTGAGGCAATAAACAAAGGCACGAATATCATATGTCAAGCAAATGCAATCATCCCACCATATATACAACATTACATTTCTCAAGCCTGCACCTTTTTTACCTATTACAACTGTCGCCAAATACTAGATGAGTTGCTATAGGGCTTGTTTACTATGAGGGATAGGATAGGACAGGATTATATAATATAATCCATAAAGTAAACACAGCCATAAAGTATAGACCATGCCTAACAAGCAAAATTTCCAGTCATGGCTCTTTTCGTCTATATCAATTGTTCGCCCAAAACCAATGAGGATTATGTCGATGATACCCAAATTACATTTGAACTTCACTAGCAATTCATTGTTTTAATTCATTTTCCTCTGGGATTCGTGTTATGGGTTACTAAACTGTACAGTATTCAGGTACGACCATCACTGCCATAATTCTTACAAAACTATCAACCTTATAAAACTTGATAATGTTCACCCATTCATCCAAAAAGATTGGCATGAAGTCAGTAGGCCTTAAAAAGACAAATGAAAAAATGCAAATGCATGTTATAGGAACACACAGTACCTTGTAGCCATATTGAGGATCTGCATATTTACAGAATTTCTTGATCTCCCATGCATCATGTCTAAGATTTCAACAAAATGGTCCTGCAGAAGCATAAAAAATCTGTGGTAAATTATATACAGCTGAGTCATAAGAATCTAAAACCAGGCAAATTATTCACAATTGATTGTTAAGAATCTTAAGCTAGGCAACATATGGTTGTGCACTGGAGCAACAACACACCTATGCAATAACGATCTTGAATAAAATAGAAACTAGGAAAGAATGGTATTCAACCATTACAGTGGTAGCATTGGATAAAGCAGAAATCCAAAGGTGAATAGCAAATATTATGCAGAGTTCAACTCGATACATACCAGTGATATTATGCTTTCTATGTTGGAAAAATGAGTGAGATATTTCAAGAAAATTGACTCCAGCATAACCAGTTCATTTTCACCAATATTCGCTTCTTGCATGCGTACAAATATACCAGCCAAAATTGCCTTTAAAAGATTGTCCTGCATGATATATTAGGGGTAAAGGGAGACAGTGATTATCAGAGTTATCACGTTTAAAACAATCGTCAGAAGGTGCACAAACCAATTTATAATATTTACATTAAATCATAACATGGAAATTACAGTACAAAGAAATAGCACAAGGATTTCTGACAAACAATGACAAGTGAACATTACAGGAAACGTGAGCTATATGGTCTTATTGCACTTCAGATATGAGAGCCAACAAAAGTATCTTTGGTCTTCACTAGTTGTCAGAGAATAGACTATGATATACAATTAAGATTTACAGGCAGTAATATACTCATCTCTGTCACCAGGAACCCATAAATCCATCAAGATTTGAATAAAAACACGGCCAACGGGTATATTAGAAGATGGCTAACATGTGAAATATCTAAAACAGTTTAACACATAAAGCTTTAAATTACCAAATGATTGTCCATGATCATATCCAAATATGCATCTACAACCATCAAGTATGCATCAAGGTTGTTATAACCTGGAAGAACCTGAAATTACAAATGTAGCAGTGTGATCAAAACAGCAGATATATTATATTAGAGAAGCTCTGCTGATTCTTACGAAGAGCAAAATGACTCCTATAGATGATTAAAACATCCAAATGATAGCAAAAGAATAGCTATATATATATATATTCCATGCAAGAAAAGATAAAACATGTTTGTATCATTTACTCTTTATATTGCATAAAATATCAGGAGAATCGGAATAACAACATTGTAAAAAATTGAGAACCACAACCAATCAGGAAATCAGCAATAAGGAAATTCAAGAAAAACTTTCCAATTTATTGCATTTTTTATTGGAAAGTCTCAATAAATGCGAAATTACTAGATGTAAGTCAAACCTCCGGCTATGTTCTTTTGGAGTTTCGTTTCAGTGTTTATTTACGATGCAACCTTTGCGAGATTTCCTATAAAATATACTATATTCTCCCACAAAACATCACATTCAAACCAAAACCAAACTCCGAAAGAACACACCCCTATTTGTAGTTTTTTTCCCCATTTTCTTTAGATTTCTAATTCATAAATTTCTGAAATATCACTTGAATTCTCTTGTGATTATTATATATACCTGTCCCACTGAGAAAACAAGGAAAAAAAATAATAGGCTAGAGTAAAGGCCTTCGATGTTGACAAATCTGATGGAAAATAAAATTAATTGTTAAGTCAAAGAAAAAATGCAACAAGTCATCTTGTGAATCAGCCAGAGTCCATGCAAAATAAATAATATGCATTCAGTAGCAATGAAAAACTATTCTAAACCTGAAATAGAGATTAAAGAAAATAAAATAAAATCAATACCTGCATAATTTTATCCAGGACCAAATTGACGTTGCTCACTTCTGGTATCCTTTCACACAACCTATGTCCAAGTAAGTTGAGATTCAAATGCTGCATAATTCAGAGTAAAATTCCCTGACTATATGTTCCAGAAAGTAAATATAAGGATACCAAATATTAGACAAACACCTGAACAAAAGTGCTATCATTCGTACATTCTATGACCTTCATGATGTCCATGGCATTGGAACATATAAATCTCACTGGAAGTTCCTTGAGTACATAATGAAGGATGATTGAGATGCAATAGCAGCCTTCAGATGATACTGACAGGTTCCTCCACATTCCGAGTGCCACAAGCATATCATTAATTTCCATCTGTCCATAAGTTTGTACAATCACCAGACAAAAATTTTGCATACATATAAATTGGAAATGAAGATTATATAATGACACATATGCAACTACTTTAAGGTATATAATTTGAGAGTGAATAGTACTTAGCTACAAAGATACCAATTTCTACAGGCTCCAATTACAAAATACAAAGCAAATGAAAGTTAATGAAGATGTGAATAGGACATATGTTGATAAACTATCTCACAAATGCACTTGGTCGGATTTAGGGTGCTTCATATTTCAGGAAGCTCAATTTTGAAATATATATATATATATTGAGGAATTTTATTTCTAAGAGTCTAAGTTCCCAACTATCAATTTTACAACACACCCCTAGAAGTGGAAAGAGTTTTGCCAACTTCCTTGCTAATCGATGAGCTAGGAATGAAGAGGACTCTTCTGCATTGTTATAGTGTTCTTTTTTCAAGTTTGTTTCTAGATGTGTCAGTAGGTCTAACTTCAGCAGTTATGTTCATCAATCTCTTCCTAAATTTTTGTACTCTAAGCTACCTTCTCAAATAGATTTATTACTTCCCAACAAGAAAACAATAAAAATAGTAATAATCCCCCCCAACTATAAATATAAGTTTTTAAAAGTTGTATCATATTATACTTATATATATAATTCCAGCTATGGATGCCCCCGGCTTACAAGTTTGGGAAAAACTGAAGTTCACTTGAAAGATGAACTAAATTCCATAAAGAAACATAAGTCTCACTTAAACAGTATCCAAGCAACTTCTTATCACCAGGCAATTTACCTACATATCACTTCAAATTAAGTGCCAAGAAAATTCATTTGAATACCAACCACCAAAGTTGAGAATAAGGAAAGATGGTTCAACTACATTAGCAAGATCAAGGTAAAGTACACCTTGCAGAAACCTGACATACACCTAGTGAATAACAAGGTACATTAATTACTTAAGGCTACATCCCAAAAACACCATACCCGAGCATCTCCATAGACAGAAAAAAGTAGATTATGAACATTAACCTAACCTGTTTTTTATCCTTGAACAGGCACCTTGTGATGTACTCAATAGTAGGCTCAATCAGATTAAGGAGAAGTTCACTTTTTCCAGAAACATTCTCAGACATGGTTTCTCTTTGCATAGTGAGGCGCATTAACAGCAATTTTAAATCATTAATACAAGTGATCAGAGAACCTGTTATAAGATCAAGCACCAATGACATTGCTTAGATTGGATGAAGCATTTATACTGAATATGAAAGATGGAGAAGATGTAATGCATGAAGAGGAAAATATAAAAAGATCATGGCTAAGATGGCATGAAATCCAAATGCTGAACCTGATAGAATGTATTAAGTACTAAGTTATTAGAAAATTCAATCATGTATTGCTTGCATTATTTTGGTCAAGGCCAACTAAATAATGGAAGTTTCAAGATCCAACTAATAGAAGTATACCTCAAACAAAGCACAAGTATAGAAAATGAACTGCTAGATTTCTTGTAAGTTCAAATAGCTAAACTCACAAGAACTAATGTCTCCGTGTTAGTCAAGTATATGACTTGCTATCCCCATAGCTCACAGTACTTAAGGAGAGCAAACAGAAACATTCAGGTACAAACAACAGAATGGGAAACATACCAGTATCATGTTGAGGCAGTCTCTGTGCACATTGAACCAAATACAAGCGGCAATAGGCTGATGCCAGCGGATCAGCAATGCCCCTTGTCATCATAACCAATCGTTGAAGTTTATTTTCTGGATGGTCATGAAGAAAACGCCAGCAATGCAATATTGCAAGCTCCAAATAGCTGGAAAATATTCTTCGCATATTTTAATGATCAAGTAAGGAAATGTTTGGAGGCACTATGAATGAAATTTCCTGAGAATCCTATCTACAGGGGGTAAACAAAATCCAATCATTCATCTGGGGATCAGTTTCAAATAAGAAGGAAAGGGATCAAAGGCTCCAAACATAATGCTTTTATGTTTGCATTTGCTGGGGCAAATGGCAATAGTGAACCTATTCCTATTTTTCCATATGTCAAAACAACAATTAGGATACTGAAAATTTCTGAGTCTTTAAGCATAAAAATATAACAGGGAAATTTCTAAGAATCCACTTGTGTTGTTATAGAAAAATATCCTCCCATTCTACATTAAAAGGATAATAATTTTACAACCTCACTCCACACTGAAATGAAAGAACATAGAGAAAAGTTTATGGAAGTAACAAACATGCTAGATTTGAAATGGCAGAAGTATACATAATGATTTTGCACACAAAGATAACAAAGGAAACAAAGGATCTCACATGCGCGGAAGCAGTTCATAAACAGACCCAATTTTGTTAAACCAATTGTTGCAGGTCTCCTTGGCATCAAAGCATATATCTGTTGCTTTGAAGTTATCTGCATATCAACAGAAAGTGCATATGAACTTGCACTTCTAAACATTTGGGTGTTTTGGGCATACAAATAAGTACCGGTATCTAGAAAAGATCATAATAGATGCAAGTAGTCTCAATTAATAATGGCACAGATTCATATATTTAATTGATCCCCATCATTAGTTAGACATACACTTCCTTGCAGATAATGAATTTTGGGTAATTTATCAGGGTGGATAAAAACAAAGCTGATTGATAACCATAGTTGTCAATGGTTCATGGCACAGTGCCACACAAAAGCTCTTCAGGGCCATGGAGTGGTGCATAGCATGAACAAGTACCACGCAAAATCAAAATCAACCATCTTAAACAATCATAATAAAAATCAAAATCAACATCATAATCTTTTTTCTTCCTTCACACCATATTCATCATCTTTATGTGTATTATAAATGTTTAGGGATCTTACAGTTTCCAGTTTCGAAGTATACACACACACACACACACACACATATATATATTTAAGAAATGTGAAAGAAAGAGTAATAAATTGGTATGTAGAACAAAGACAAAAATAAAACGCATGTATCTTCTTTTCTTCATCATGGTGCAGTGCCGCATGCCATGGCTCTTGGAAAAACAGGCACAGCATCACAAGACATGGTGAATGCGTGACACACCATCACGAATCATGCCCAGGCTGCACCATACGCCATGGAATGCCATTAACAACACTGTTCATGCTACTACACTTACTACTCCTCATTGGGCACACTGGTCCAGTTGGCCACCAAAAGGTATTTACAAGCATTAAACCACCCATTCGAAGAAATGTAAGGAATACAACAGATCAATTAGTCCTGAATTCAACTGACGTGATATCATTAACTTATCATTATGGCATTTGAATGATTTATGATAAATCCATGACATTCTAAAAGCACACTACCTTCATGAATGCAGGCAATTCTAAACTCACCAAGTACTAGATAAACTGTATCTGTATTTAGTTAATGATAGAAAGCACAGCATGCATGAGACTAGCCTTGATGCATACCTGGCAGTGAGCAAATGGATTCACCTTCATCAGTTATCTCAGCTTTTTGCTTTACACGGTTCCACACAAGCTCACCAAGCATGTCAAATATATCGGTTGCTAAAACAAAAAGTGTTGGATAAAACTGGATTATTGATGCGTCCATTAGAAGCCTAGCAACCTGCAAAGAATATTCTAATTCAAAAAGGCAAGTAAATTTAGAGTAAAAAGAAAGGGAGCATCATCAAACACCACCATGATTCCAACCTTTGGTTGTGATATTGAGTTACAGTAAGGGCTTTAATTTTTGAAAACATGATTAAAAAATATTGGGGAATGAAAATAAACATTCGTAACAGAAACAAATAGCATTCAAAGTCTTATCAAATATTTATTCTACATCAACCAAACGGCACATACATGTACAGACAGAAACTTAACCAATGTTATTCCGCTGAATAATTATCCGATGTCAAAAGTTATTCCATCGATCTTGCAAAGTACTAGACATTCACGGAGCTAGACCATTTTTACTTCATCAAGGATTTATCAAACTTCAATTACAACAAAAATCCAGTAAACAATTCAGGGGAGTTCACTGCCCAACCTTTGTTCAAGAGCAAGTTTTCCAGAAATAAAATAGTGAAAAATCCAAAGCAGGTAGAGGCATTAACGTCAATTAGGGCTGCGGTGCAAGCAGAGCTACTCCAAAGCTTGGCTCATTAAGGGTCAAACTTGGCTCATTAATCATACTAACAAGCTGAAAATTACTCAAAAATTATCGAATAGAGTACTCAACAAGGCTCGATAAAGTAATAAATTTTTATTTTTATTATATTTTGAATGCATGATAAATAAAACTCAACCTCATCAACAAAATTACTGAGCTCAAGCTTGCTACTATAAAAGCTTGAGTTGAGTTAGAAAATCAGACACTTGACTCGGCTAGAATAAAACAGCTAACATCAATAATGTACTTCAAGAAAATACTTCAACATCTATAACAGAATTTACCTTAATCGATAACCTTAACGATGTCACCCGATCACCTGCACGCCAGGACCGATTAATTTCATCTTTGAGTTCCTGCAAATTAGAGAGGCACTCCTGCTGACTGATAACTTTAACCTCCTCTTCATCAAATTTTGTGTGATCATTCCACTCCTCAGAAGGCAAATATTTGGATGATTTCTCAACTGCATCCAAGCACCGATGTATTTAGCAAACATAGGCAAGCCTAAAATCAAAAGGAAATGAAAATCGAATGGAACATATATATTTCACCTTTGTTATCCCTGAATAAAACGCTGGAAACCTATTAGGAGCAACATAAAGGAATCAATTAAACCCAGCCATTCCAACCAAATATTCATAAAGGAATCAGTTACCCTGTTTATCGATATTCTAAAAGCAAATGATGATATTATACATGTCGTCTATGAGCACACCCTACACCTACCAGTGACATCGGAGTTGTTTTAGAAGCAGGAAATCGCTGCAGCAAAATTTTCTTAAAGAAAATCCAGTCCTTCTTAGCTTTCAGTTGAGCAGACATGTCAAGGGATGAATGTTCCTCGAAAATATCACCTTCCTCACCCATATCACTGGTAGAGACATTTTTGGATGCGTCGGCGGCCCTAAGTGGATCAACGAAGTCATCTTTCCTACTATCTGATTCCTTCACCTTCAATCGAATTCACCAAACTCCATCACCACACAGTGTAAAGCACCGAATGCAATAAATCATAAACAGAAAGCATCGAAGCATTGGCATTATCTATTCATTTCCCTATGCACAAAAGAAATCACAACCGAGCAGACCTGGAGGGGTAGGGAACGAGGAGCAGAGAGAGGGTGCGTATTGACAGGCGTTCTGGGGAGCGAGTGGGCCTGCTCTTCAGCCCTATAGTTCCGGCGTCTGAATTCCAGTCCCATGGACTAAATCCAAGATTTTTAGCACCGGAAAAATAAATAAATAAAATTGGAGAATCCAAAAAACTACCACGGGAGTTCTCCGACACTGAAACCCGGCGACCTGCTGACACTATGCTAGATCGTCGGAATCGCAACCGGAAGTCGCTGAATCGTCTTTATTCAGATTAATAGTACCATCTTAACGATTAATCTTATAATCAATCAATTCAATTCAAAGATACATAAACAAATAAATAAATATTCCCTCCATCCATCGATTAAAAAGTAAATTATAACATATTTTTAATATCTTTTCGATGACGATTAATTAATATTTTTAATATTTTTATTTGTATGTATAATACTCCCTTCTTTCAGCATAAAATTAATTATAATATAATAAAAATAATTATAAATTATAATTATAATAATTAATTAATCTAATAAATATTAAAAAATATAAATTATAAAATTTAAAATATAATTAAAATATATAATATTTTTCAAAAAATGAAAAATATGACATTATAAGTACCGATGGATTAATATATTTATAAAATAGTGAAAAACGTGACATTATAACAGTATTTTGTAAATTAGTGTATGAGTTAAATAAAAGTTAAAGGTATTTTAGTATTAGTAAATGTTTATTTTACTAAATGGGGAAAAAGATACTTTGAAATGAGACGGATAAAAATGATAAAAATGGTACTTTGAAATGAGACGAATGAAATATAAAATTTGGTAAAATTGCTCGTAACTTTTCTGTACTTTTGAAATTCACAGTAAAATTTTATTGTACAATAAAACAGCGCTATATACTTTAAAAAATATTACATTAAACTACACAGCCATCAAACTTCTTTTTTTTTGTGTGATAAGAACATAATTTTCTATCTATATTTGTAAGATGTTTCATGAGCACTTTTAAAAGTATAAAGTGATAATGCAATTTTTAAAGCAAATAAAAATTTACACTAAATTTCGAAATTACAAATAAATTACGGGGAAAAATATTTTAGTAGTGATAGTAGTGGCAAGAATAAGATAGAAGATGGCAGTGGCGGCAGCTGTGGTGGCGGAAACTTAAGGTGGAGAAGATGGTAAGGCGTCGGCGGATTGAAGAAGTAGCACGGTGTTAAACAATTCACATTTATTCTGAATTTATTCCGAACTTCTAATACATACTTTCTTGTCTTCCGTTGAATTCATTTTACTTAAACAAGTCAACAAATAATGTTTAAATATTATTTTCCGGCCATGTTTATTTACAACCAACGTTAATATATTTATTCTTTTTTCTCTACTCATTTTTTTTTTTATTTTTTATTATGAATTCAATTTTTTTTTATTTTTCACTCAAATTTTAACGTGAAAATTAGTAGTTTCTATCCCTACTATACCCAAGATTCGACAATGCAAGTCATGACGTGGAGGCGTCGGAATTTAAACTTATAATCTCACAGTTATCGAGTCAATCATCATTTTTACTGATTTCTTTCTTATATTGTTTGTTAGAATTATAGGTATTAAAATATTTTTGACCCTAATATTTTTTACCCTAAATTATTAGGGTTTAGTTTTTTAATATTTTAAATCAAAACTAATAGTATTTGATCTTGATTTGAAATTGAGGAGTTTGTTTATATAATATTTTAATTTAAAATTATTTTTTAAAATATAAAATATAAAAAATTATATTGATAATACAAATAGTAATAATATTTATATTGAATATTGAATTTTATAAAAGAATAAAATATATATCTTGAATTGTGTAAAAAAAAAAGTAAACAAATTTGAGATTTTTATTTAAATAATATTATAATATAAAATTTTATAAATAATAATATATTTTTATTAAAAATTAGAGTAGACAAACAATAATCACTATCTTAAGATAAGACATCAAAACTCCACGCATCACATATTCACGTTGATTCAATACCGGATTGAGAAGCAACTTCTGTTTGCCTTTTACTCCTTTTATAAATGACAGCTTACAAATATTCCCCCAAAAGAAAAAAGAACAGATTCATAACTTCCCACTTAACTCCCACAAGTACTTTCAAGGCAGAACAAAACCCACGTAGATCCACACCGTTCATTCTAAGACCCCATCTCATCAACGGTGTAGATCGACCCGGGTCGTCCGCCTAAATCTCACATTCACTGGGCGCGGGAGCTTTCTTCTACGTACACACAGCTACAGGCATGCTCCAGTCCTGATCATGGCGTCTTCTCCGTACCTGTCCTTGCTGACCTCTGTTTTCGGATTGCTCCTCCTTTCTCTGCTCGTGGATGCGCGCTCCTGCACCAAGGAATACCTTGCTGAGATCTCCAAATTCAACATCATTCAGCACTGCGACGCCAAATCCTTAGGCACCGAATTTGGATGGAACTTCGACAACGGCACGAACCGGCTGGACATCGCCTTCGCGGCGAGGTTGGACACCGAGACTGCGTGGCTTGCGTGGGGGCTGAACCTGGAGGCGCCGCGCATGGTCGGCACTCGAGCGTTGATCGGCATCAAGCACCGTGACAGGCCACTGGATTGGGGGAAATACAACATCACGAAAGCCACGATACGCGGCTGCCGGCTGCAACAGTCCGGCGACATCGGACTCGACGTCCGGAACTTCACCTTCGTCTATCTCGAGCGGATCAAGTACTACGCGATACACGCAACGATTTTCCTGCCGAAGGAGCACAACAGCTCGAATACGCACATCGTCTGGCAAGTTGGGGCGGCCGCCGCAGGGAAGGAGCCGCAGATGCATTCCATAGCGCTAGATAACTTGGACAGCGCCGAAACCGTCGATTTGGTATCCAATCACACCAAAGGCTACACAATCCATGTCCGACACCGTCTGAGAACTGTAAGTCTCGTTTGCTAAGCTAAGCTGCTCCATTATCCAATTCCTAATTCAGTCTCCGAATAAAACCTAATAATTAATTCACTCTGCTGCAGGTTCATGGAGCTCTGAACATCATCGGCTGGGGGACACTTCTCCCCGTAGGCGTAATAATCGCAAGGTACACGAGGAAGTACCCCTTAAAATGTCCGTCCTGGTGGTTCACCCTCCACGTCGGGTGCCAAATTGCAGGATACATCATCGGCGTCATCGGCTGGTCGATCGGAATCTGCCTCGGGGCATTCTCCAAGTACTATTGCTTCCTCACGCACAGAATTCTGGCCATTATAATCTTCACTTTCGCCACCATACAAGTAAGCCAATACATTCAACCAATTCCATGAATACTCTCCTCCAACAATAATCAGTGATGATGGTGCGCAGATGATGGCGCTGAGATTGAAGCCGAACAGGTACGACGAGTACCGGACTTACTGGAACATGTATCACCACTCTCTCGGCTACGTATTGCTTGCGTTGATGGCAGTGAACATATTTGAGGGAATCAAAATCGTGCAGCAGAACCAGGCCTGGAAATGGGCGTACGTCGGAGTGCTTGCAGCGTTGGGATTCATAGCTCTTGCGTTCGAGATTTTCACCTGGATTAAGTTCGTATACTATCGTTTCCATGGGGGTCTGCTCAGACGCCGGGGTGATACTGATTCACAACCGTCTGCAGTGGGGCCTCAACCAACGGAGTCGCCGATTCAGTCGTCCTCTAAATAATTCTGTTTTGATGGAAACTTGAGTGCAGACAATCATGGCTACCATGAGAATAATTATTTGGATCATTTTGCAATTTTATTTTATTTTACCAGGAATAAATATATGTATAATTTTTTCACATTTATGGGTGATGTTTATAATCTGAATAATTTTTTATTTCTATTTTTATTTTGGATTATATTTTTTCTGGTAGCAGTTACAAAAGGGGGGAAAATAATGATAAAATAAATAGAAGGGGAGAGGTGTAACGGCGAGGGAAAATAAAGCGGAGGAAGCAATTCCGATCTAATGGCGGCTCCGGCTGTGGAAGGCGCAGCAGTCACAGCGCTGCGAGCGGTGATGCATCGAGTCCGACTGGCGGCGGAGAGGTCTGGTCGCCGCGCCGACGATGTCAGGGTTGTGGCTGTGAGCAAGACCAAGCCAGTGCCGGTAATAGCACAAGTGTACGACGCCGGGCACCGATGTTTTGGTGAAAACTATGTTCAGGAACTAATCGAGAAAGCTCCTCAGGTTTGCAATTTTGGCTTTCCGTTGGGGTCGATTTGCTATGAATCTCTCTTTGCTGAATTTCAGCTATGTGTTTACGCCTGCAGCTTCCAGAGGACATTGAATGGCATTTTGTCGGGCATTTGCAGAGCAACAAAGTGAAAGCGCTGCTAAGTATGATAAACGCTCACTTGTAATCATAATGATGCTCGACTCCTTTCGAATTTATGTAAAATACTTGGGTCTTTTGGTGGGCAAATTAATTAAGTAAGAGATATGCTCGTTGTTTGGTGGAAATGGTTAACTATTTCTCTCGTTTGTGCACAGCTGCTGTTCCGAATCTAGATATGGTCGAGGGTGTTGATAATGAGAAGGTAAATAGTACATTAGATGATGTATTCTGTTTTTTGAGGAATCTTTTCAAATTGAGGAGAAAAATCTTATGTGGTTAATTACTTTTTCTGAGTTGCTCAATTATAATTGATGATCCCATAAAATATCTGAGTGTTACGTTTAGAAGCATTTAAACAGATATACTTCATTATCACTTGATGAATTGCTCTCAGAATATAAAGCACTTATACTTACCTGAAAATCTTATTGGTTAAATGAATTTAGCCATGGGGTAGTTTAGGATGCAATCTCAATGTTTCTTGGTTTCTACAATGGTCATTACATATTTCCTATTTTCATTTCCATTAGGGTTGGAAGAGAAGGAAGTGATGTGTTCATGAGAAAGATCGACCCTTCGTTTTTAACAAAAGTCAATGTTTGAAGTCCAAGCCCTTAGTTAAATCTATTGGGTGACTGTGCTCTAATGTTTTATCTGGCACACAGGTTGCAAATGTTCTTGACCGCACAGTTTCAACTCTTGGAAGGCAGCCTTTGAAAGTTATGATTCAAGTGAACACCAGCGGAGAAGTATGTGAGTAATGATTTATGGCTTTTCCTATTAATGTTCGCAAACACATCACTTCTTTCTCAGTTCCCGACATCTGAAGAGAGTCTGTTGGAGCTTGGGTAAAGAGCAAGGAGACCATTTCAAGTTCTTTTGTTTGATCTAGAATTGAAAGTCATGAATAGTGAACCAGCAACTCAAGTGTCTTGTCGGGTGAAGAACCTATTTCCTAACTTACTCTGAAAAACTGGATCTACACTCTCCCACAGTAATTCATTGATGATGGTTTGGATTAACTACTCTTCACTTTATCCAATAAAGATTGCTACTAAATTATGATGTATGCATGTGCACGTGTATAAAAACTAGAAGTATATCTACCATCACAATTATTTTGTTTATATTTACTTACGCTGTAGGTGCACAATTATTTTCTTTCGTTTTTGTTTCGCTGCATTGCTTGTTACATCAGATGCCTTCTTTGTTGTCAATTGGAATGCAGCAAAATCTGGCGTGGAGCCCTCAGAATGCGTCGAACTTGTGAAGCATGTGCAGTTAAGTTGCTCAAATCTTAACTTTTCTGGATTAATGACCATAGGGATGCCAGACTACACATCAACACCAGAGAACTTCAAGGTATTATTCCAAGAGTTAGTGTGACTCCCTTGTTGGTGTTTGTTATTTCAGAACAGCAGAAAGTTTACATTTTACATCGCCGTCATGCTGCTTGGCTAATTATAAAATCAAATGGTCTAAGCTTATACAAGCATTCTCTGTGTGTGTGTGTATTTAGGTACCGCTCTTGCACTCATTCAGGAGATAAGATTATTGATTGATTCAGTAACTAAAAATTTTAAGCTGTTCTTGACTCGTGTATACGCTTTATGGTAAATACCTGTCTTGGAGGCATGCTGTATAGAGAAGATTTTTCTGTTATACAAAGTCTTTTGACTATTGAATATTCAGAATATTGATAGATGAATTTCTCTCTGCAATAGACTCTGTTGGACTGCAGAGCTCAGGTTTGCAAGGCTCTTGGAGTTGCAGAATCGCAATATGAGCTGTCAATGGGTATGTCAGGTGACTTCGAGCAAGCGGTGAGCCTGGATTTAAGCTTTAGTCGTTAACTGCCCTTTTAAGTTTTCGTTACAGTATAAACAGAAAACCACCAATGACTCGACTTATAATATATACTTATATTTACACAACAAAAAGGGCGGATAAGTTCTCTATAGCTGACATTCTTTGTAAGTTCCCTATGTTTCATTTGGTGCAAGTCTGAAGAATCTGTTTGTGAATCCTTAAAAGGATTAATGATATTGTGTAAGAATCATCTATCTTTGCACTATGCGCAGTGTATTTTTCTTGTTTATCCATTTAACATATTGTGGATCAACCTATCGCTCCCGCGTCTAAACCATTTCTTTCGATTGCTGCAGATTGAAATGGGGAGCACCAATGTGAGAATTGGATCAACCATATTCGGACCGAGGGACTATTCAAAGAAGAAGTGATTCAGCTACAATGTTTGTGTAAATTTGCTTTTGCTGCTTCTCTTTCTTGATTCATTAATGTTAACAGTCAACACTATGAGATATTCTTATGATAATGATACCATATAGATACACAATCCATTGCAGATACTACTTGAATTATGCCAGTTAAATGATGGATTCAGCCCATATTTCAATTTGGGATAATTTTACTTTTTTTTTTTGTTCATGTTTGGATTAGAATCATGATTTCATTTTATTTTACATGGATTTGGATTACTCAGGCCCAGATCTGAACTTACTACTCCCACAGTCTCACTATGTTTGTTGCCGATTTTGTCGGTCCCAAGTTTCATGTCATTTTTTTTTTAATGAATACTATCTTAATTTTATTTTAAATTTTCTAATTTAATTTTTTTTTAATTTTAATTAAACTAATTAGTTATCTTAATTTTAATATATTTTAATTATTTTCATTAATATATTTTTAATTATATATTAATCTTAAATTCTTGTATGACACCCAATGTGGGATGCAGGTAGTAGTATTTATTATGCTTAGGCTTGTAAACAAATCGAATAAAATTGAATACTGTAGTATTTTGTTAGATTTGAAAAAATATTTGACTATTTCATTCGATATTCGATTTATTTCGAGTCTTAAAATGATATTTGTAATTGAATCGAAATAGTTTTCAAAATTATTCGATTCGATTTCAATATTATATAAATATTTTGATTCAAAATGGAATTCATTTTATTTTATCCTATTCTATTCATAAAGCTATTCTATTAGAATTTCTATTAATTAGAAAATTTTAATAATAATATTAAAAAAAATGCTAAATGTAGATATTTAATATTTATTATTTTTTCATATTGACAAAAAGGACTAATTGCTTTAGCATAAATAAAAATATCATTGTATAATTGTAGTTTTACTTATATTATATTTATTTATATAAAATTTAAAGTATTATTATTAATAAATTTAGTTTAATTTATTTTCATTGGAAAATATATATTGTGTATTATATTTTTATTATTTATATGTTTTTTTATTAATATTTATGAATAGCAATTGAATATTAAAATTTTATAATCGAATTATTTTTTTTTGGAATTTGAATCATAAATTTTCAAATACAAATATTATAATTTTGAATCGAACAAAAATATTTTGAATAAATGACATGTCGATTACAAATTAACTCCCGCACCATCAGCCAACCTTACGGGACGCCTACCTATTTTTGTTTGAAAGGCAAGTAGAATGCTTTCTTTAGCATTTTAGGAATTTTACAATAAATTTTGAATGGGCAACATGTTTATACATTATAACCTTCGGCCCAAACATACGTGGAGGCCCATAGCCCAACACAGTACTGAATGCTATGCTGACACAAAATCTACAGCTGTCACCTCCTCCTCGCCGGCCTTTAAACGCTCTCTATGCTGCGGTCGCTTCCACCTCGTAGATATAGGCGGATATCATCAAAACCCTAATTCAACGTGAACTCCGAAACGATTCATGCCCATTCTTCTTTTGAGAGAACAGAGAAGCGAAGAGAGAGAAGAAAATGTCGACGAGATCATCTGACGCCGCCGCATCCCAAGCTGTCGCCGGTCCGTCCAGTGGCGTTTCGTCGGCCAATGCGTCGCCGCTTTATTCCTAACCCCGTGTTGCTGACAGTTCGTTGGTGTTCTCCCTCGCCCGCTGCCGTTGATGCTTCCGAAGCGGCGATGTTTTCAACCGGGAATGAGAATGAGAGGTCGGATGGAAGGCTGATTCTCGATCTCATGGACAGCGGCCGGCGTGAACATGCTCTAGCGGGTCTTGCAGCGGTATATATAAGTTTACCCTTAGATTCTGTAGTTTTGTTCCTTTTATGCTGTGAATATTGTTGGATGGTCTGTTCTGTCTGTATGTGGCATGATCGACAGTTTATATCTATCGTTTGACATCCTTCTGCATTGTTTTCTTAACTTGGATTTATCTTTCCCAGTTGGGGCAGAATTAGAAATCGAGAAAAATCTACTAGCTAGTATATGCGTACGAAATGGCTATATCTTAATTGGGATAAACTTTGCAACGAAATTAGTAGTCATTAATGTAGCCTATTGAGAACTAACTTAAGCTCTTTATTGGGTGGATTAAGTACTAAAGACAAAGATTGACCCTGAAATACATGTATAAAACAGTTGTTTATTTAGCTTTTTTTAAAGTTGAGAACTCGTCCGAGCTGTAACTTCTTAAATGAATAAGTCAAATATTAACTGAAGGCGCTGGCTGTAGATTCGGTTGCATGTTTTCAATATCCGATCATTAAACACACGTGTACGCTTACTAAAATAACTCTCGAAACTTCAACAACTCAAAATGCTACTGCTCCCTCTTGATATGGATATAAAAAATTCAATCATTTCGCATGTATATATATATATATATTTGTGTACATCACATAATTCACAAGTACCCACATCTATGTAATGATTTATCATTAGAATTTAAAAGCTTTTATCCTTGTAAATTGTCACTCCTTTGCTCTGTTATATAATATGCGCACAAAAACTATGAGCACATGTTTTTCACCCCCTTGTGTTGTAAACAAATACTTTATAGGGTGTGTTTGTTGGGGGTTTAGATTTTGAGTTTGAGATTTAAATAGTAAAAATTTTGAATTTGAATAGTTGTATGTTGTAATATAAATAGGTGATCAGATATTTTAATGTAAAATTGATTTTTAGTATGATACAGAGAATGAAAGAAAAATGTTTGATTGATATTTTTGGGAAAACAAATTTGGTGAATAGTAGAGATTTGGTAAAATTTGATAAAAGTATACACCCTTTCAGAAAGATAGTGGTCAAACTGTTCTTTGTTAAATGCTAGGCAAATTGAGTCAGTCATTAAAATGTTAAATCACCATTGTTACTTGTCCACAAGTATTCTATTTTATAAGGCATGTGCTTTCATTCGTGGTTAATTCACTTTTCATATGATGCACGCATCATAGCAGCCTTTTTCTGAGTAGATACTCTAGTTGATAGCTCTGTATTATCTCTAAAACTTTCTCTTTATGTTCCAAGAGGCCACAAGAATCCCAAGACTTGGCCCGACTTGTATGGTATTCGTTTGGTACAAGAGCGATACTTCTGCAGGTATGAGGTTTATGTGATAACTTTTATCAACTTATATGCTGGACAATCTCAGTATGGACAATGTATGATTATCGCAACATTTCTGTTGACATATGATATGCTTTTTCATCGTATATGCGACATATAGTAGAGTTACTGATAGCTTTTATTTCCCTTCCCCCACTCAGAATTTTTTGAAGATGTTTAATGTGTAACAAGATGTGAACCTTACATGTTTCTTCCCTTCATTTGTGTTGGGATTGAAGAAGTTAGTAAAGATGGAAATGGTTGCAACTTTATTCCGTAAGTTTGATTATAGAACAATCTTTGTGTGTTTTATAATTGTCATATTTGTTGTGTTATTAGTGGTAGATTCTTTGCGGAATATACTATGTAATTTTCTTAATTATCATTTTCTCTATCTTATCCGCTTTCTGCTGCTTAAAAATATTACTTATCCTTCAATGCTTTTGTCATGTCGCTCTTGCCTGATGCTCTATGTTGATTGCCTGTAGGAAGTGCTTTCAGTGTATCTAATAGAGTGTGCAATGTTCTCGCTATTCTTCAGGTTTGATGCATTTCCTTTGCTATAATACTAAGTGTTATGTTGCCAATTAATTACTCTTAAGTTTTTCCCCATTTAGGTCTTCACTTCCTCTGTTTTGGTTTTGATTTATTTTTTGGTTGGTGCAGTGTGTTGCTTCACACCAAGAGACTCGAATGTCGTTTGTTTGAGGTAATTTGTTGTTTCATCTAAGATAAATTTTGGTTCTCTTTCCTGTTTTGTGTAGCCCATGTAGGAGAATTATGCCTCCCATCATATGCTTTGTTGTATTCAGTAGAAATCTTTTAATTTACTGTCTTTTATATATATATATATTTACTTTTGCAGCATACATCCACTTCTATTCGGTTGCGCTTCTCAATCAAATTGGGGAATGGAGGTGTTTTGAGCAATAAAGGCTTTCTTCATTGGAAGTGATTTCTGCCCTTCTACAGGTACTATGTATTATTGTAGTAATCTTCGCTTCTTGGTTATCAAATGAGATCTTGTCTAATTTTCAAATATTAAAATTAAATAATAGAATATTATTATTATTATTCATTTCAAATATTTAATGTTATTACATTCATTCTACTTACTATTTACCATATTAGCCATAATAAAAAACTTTATTATTATTATTATTCCTTTCAAATATTTAATGCTATTACATTCATTCTACTATTTTACTATATTAACCATAGTAAGAGACTATTATTGATTGTACTTACTATTTACTATATTAACCATAATAAGAAACTACTATTGATTCATGTAGCATTATTACACATTTATTATTTTTAATCGTATTTATATAGTAGTATTTTAATGTTTTAAATTATTTTGTAATAGCGAAAATTAAAATTAAATAATATTCTAAATATAAAATATATTTATATTTTTTTAAAGAAAAAACAGTCAAAATATTAGGGTGTGTTTGTTTGATGAATGATGAGGGTTTGAGTTTTGAATATTTTATTGAATAGTAAATTGTTAATTTAAATAGTTATTTGATATAATAATAATTTAATATTTTTTAATATAAAATTTATTAGTAATTATAAAAATAAATAAATAATTAATTTAATTTGTTTTGGAAAAGTAAATAAATGATAAATAACAATTTTTTGAAAACTCTCCCACCTCGAATGTCTTTTGTGGATTTTATTACATATTTTTTTTATTTATATTTTTTCTTAAAAAATATTAAATCAAATAATATTAATTTTAAAATTATTATTAAAAGTTTATTTTATGTTTCAAAGATCACGTATATATATATTTATTATTTAAATTCAATTTTTTATTATTAACCTACATACTTGTATTTTTATAACCTAGGCCCAAACATATCTGGAGTCCTACAGCCCAATACATAATTTAACGCTACGCTGACACGAAATCGGACACGCGTCAGCACTTCAAATATGGGTTTGTTTTTTTCACCTCGTGGTCATAGACATCGGCAATTTTCATCAGAAACCCACACTCGCCCAAGAGCTCCCAACAAATTCCTGCCGCAACCAAAAACTCAGACCAAGTTCATCTGAGAGCCGAGATTAACGAAACCAAAAATGCCGAGAAGATCCAAGGCCAGAACCGCCGCATTCAAATCTGTCGTCGGCCCGTCCCGCCGCGTTTCGTCGCGCAATGCCTCGCCGGGTTTTTTCGGCCTACGTGGCGCCGACGGTTCGTTGGGCTCTTCTTCGTCCCCTTCCGTTAACCCTCGTATTTCCAGCCCTACAATCGATGCTTCGCATTCACGAGGTCCTCCTAGATCTTTAGTTGCAGCCGAGGACGAAACAACGACTAATCGACTGATTATTGATCTCGCGGATAGCAGATTGCGTGAAAATGCCCTTGCCCATCTTGCTAGGGTATGCACGATTTTATTCTCAAAGATCTGTATTTTTTACTGTATGTTTACTGTGAATGTTCATCAACTGTTTATTCTCAAAGATCTGTATTAGTCTCTTGGAAAATTAAGTTATTTGTGTGTTGGTGAAATGGCACTTGAACATTTCTAGAAAATCCTATGAGATCTGAGCACTCAGACAGGGTACGATGTTATTATCCTTCCAATTGTGATAGAATTAACAATTGACAAAAGATATACAAGTTAGCATTTGTGTACGATATGACTATATCTCAATTGAGCTAAACTTTGAAATCAAAATATTATTTTAGGTTCTTGAAAACTGAGATCTATGTCGTGTCTTGTAACTTCGCTTGAGTTAATACTGGCTTTATTTGGTTACATTTTTACATGTACTCATTCAATGAACAGAGCCCTATTTTTTTAAGTCGATATTTTAGTTTATTGCTTGTTGTATTACTGATGAACTCCCTTTCTATTTCAACAGAGAGCGCGGGGATTCCAGGATTTAGCCATACGCTTATGGTTTTCTTTTGGTACAATTGCCATACTCTTACAGGTAGTGAGATTTGTTTGATGTATTTGTTGACTTACATGCCCTAATTTTTCTCGAAGGACTGTCTTTACAGGTTATTGTAGCAATTAAAAACAAAAATGTGATGTGTTTTTTTTATTGTTGACATATACAAAGCTACCTCGAAACATTCTGATTCTCATATTTGTCAGAGTTATAATTGTATAGAAAATGTTTAAAAAGGTATGTGGTTTTTTGCTCCATTTGTTTATAAGAAGTTTCTAAAGACGGTGGTTGGTCCTGGATAATGTGTGATTGTAAACGGTAACTTTTTACAACTGTTCTGAGTATATTAAATTTTGATTGAAGATCATCTGCGGATTTTATTATTGTATCACATTCATTATGTTTGTATTGATAGATTCTTTGTGGAATATACATGTTTATTGTTGTTTTTCTAAATTTATCCTCTCTTTATTGCTTTAAAAATATTTATTATCCTTCACTGCTTCTCATGTCTCCCATATCTGATACCTTACATTTATTGCCTGCAGGAAGTGCTTTCCGTGTATCCATTTTTGTCACAACCATCTCTAACTCCCATACAATCTGATAGGTTGTGCAATGTTCTGACACTTCTTCAGGTTTGATGCATTCTTCTACTGATATACTGAAGCTATATGTTGCGAATTCAGTTCATAAATTTCTGCGGATTCAGTTCTTCATTTCTTTTGTTTTATGTGGTTGCTGCAGTGCGTTGCCTCCCATCAAGAGACAAGATCTTTGTTCGCTCAAGGTACTTTTTCTTTTTCTGTACATTTTCCTGTTCTGTATGGAGTTCTCTTTATGTAAATTAAGCCTCCTATTGTAGGCTCTTTGTCTCTGTCTGTTCTCATGGGCAGAGAGTTCTAAGTGTACTGATTTTTCTTTTTGGTACTTTTTCAGCCTGCTTGCCATTCTATTTGGTTGTGCTTCTCAACCAGATAGGTGAATTGAGATGTTTTGAGCGCATAAGGATCCTCACACTGGGAATAATAGCTGCTCTTGTACAGGTACTAGATATTCTTCTTGTTACATTCGGAAGTGTACACATGCTACCAGTGCACACCTTCTTTTCTTTCTCATATGTGTGTGTATATTTTCGCACTTGTAAGGGGTTTTAAGTGTGAGTTGGAGTTAGGGGACTTCTTAATTTGCATGTAGATGTTGTAATGCCGTTGCAACATAGTATGTCTGCAATCTGCATCATAGTATGTTTCCCCCTTCTTAGTTCAATTGCATCGGATTTGACTCTGAGGTGCTTTTATTTGGCTACCAATACCTTTCTCATATTAATAAAGAATGAACTCTTTCTCTTTATGGTATGTTTTGGACTTTCGGTTCATGATTATAGGTGATGTTTGGGTTGATTAGATATTTTGATGAAAGTTGTTAAGATTAGTGTTTTTTCCCACCTTCATGTACATAATTTTTTTTTTTTTTCCTCAACCCAAGCATGAGGCAGCTGCAAGATCCAACTGTTTTGACTGTAATTCTTCTTTTGTGTTTCCTTTTTCTTTTTTTGTGAGAGTGATTGAATCTTTACTTTCTGTGGCTTAGAGAGGTATATTTCTTATCGCGTTATTTTATTTTTTGCTTTATTTTCCGCATCTTGGTAATTGAGCTGCCTGTGCTCCTATTTCTAGGTTCCGGACCCCAGAGTGATTTCTCTGCTTCTCGAAGCAGAACTAATACGTCCCTGCCTATGTGCTATGCAGAGAGGAAGTGAGTTCTCAAGAACGGTAAGTTTTTTAAAGATTTATCTGTCCATTTACACTTTTGAATGTATTGCATTTAAATCTGTTGAGCTAATGCCATCATATTGGCAATGTGTGTTGCTGAATCATGTGCTACACGATTGACTCACGTTCATCCAGAGTGTTGAAATAGTACCTAGTTTGCTAAGATTCCTCTATTTTATTGTTGCTATCTTCGCCTTTCATGCAGCCTATTTTGTCCCTTTTTGTTTTTGGAATTTGATTGTGCTAGTTTTTATAATTTTACTGCTGCTTGATGTGGGATTGTTCTTGTTTTTGTGAGTTAATGCTGTAGATAGATTATTGGAATCGCTATGCAGTCTTTTGTTATGATTTATGCTTTACATATATGAAAATAATGGCAAACTGATTACACGTCATTTTGGATTGTTGTTTGATGTTGTTCTATTTCAACATAATCTCATGGCAGGTAGCGACATTAATTGTGAAAAGACTTTTACTTGATGATAATGGGTTACAACATGTGTGTCAGAGGCCAGATTTATTATTGTCTGTGTGGCAAGCACTTGGGAGTGTGGTTGCTTCACTTTCTCAGTTGCCTTCAACTCCACTGCTAAGAGATGTCATCGCCTGCTACCTATGCCTCTTTAAAAATGAAAGGTCTGCTATATTGTGAATGGATCTGTTCCCTTTAAAAGTTTTTTTTTTTTTTTTCACTGTTTTCCTGTCTCTCTTTTTGCTTTCATCTATATTGAAGGAATTAACCTCCCTTTTATTGCAGAAGTTTAGGACTGAGGCAGTCGCTTCCGAGAAGCCTTATTGATGGCACACTTGGCTACTGTTGTAATGTACGTACTTTTGAGTATAACATTATTACTTTAACTAGGATTATGGTGTATATCCGTCGTTCGATGTGGTGATTGTTTTCTTGATGTTATCATTTGTAGGATGGTCACACAAGATTATTGCTTCAACAGTTGTTGGATCAGACCCGATTATCTCCAATAGCCCAAAAAGGTTGGGGACGTCAATGACATGCTTATGCAATATAAAAGCTTTAGTTTTTGTAAATCACTGTGCATTGAAATCAGTTTCTAATAAATTTACCTTAATTTAGTGGTTTTACTACTTAAAAAGGCTAGAAATATTTGAATGTGTGTATAGTAGTCAGTACTGCAACTTAGTCTTTGCTTTCTTTCATTGATTTTTTGCATACTTTTGTTAATGGCTCAAGAAACTTATAACCTTTGATACCTGAAAATAATCTCATCTTAACGTAAACATGACTGTTCAAGTAGCAGAACATCTGTACTTCTGTTATACGTGCATTAATGTGTTTAAGGCTGTATAATTATTTACTGCAAGGGGAAGGGAATATGAAGTCAATAAAATTCCCACAGTTCTTCTTGAAGCTTTTATTCCCGTCTCCATTCCCTAATATATTTCATGGATCCACTTTATTATTTGAAGATGACATTTGTTTTCATTAATTAATTGCTGCTATCAAGTAAGGATGACATTTGTTTAATTTAGAGAAAGATTGCTGTTTTTTTTTCGTTTTTTTTTTTAGCTTGCCTTTATGGCTGCAGATGGCACGTGTGTTTATATGTGTATATTGACTAGTAATCTTTTCAATTATGTGTGTTGATTTATTTTTCTTAATTAGAGAAAGATTGTTGCATCTTATTTTAAATGTCCTGTTGTGCATCCTTTATGGAGTTGGGATTTGACCTTGATTGAGTATGATGTTTAAATCATGGGAAATATATTTCGCCATAGGTGCTAATTCGATTTTTGCATATTAAGATTTGACTCAACTATAAGGCATTACTATAATTGCATCATCTATTCCTTGTTTTCACAATGTTTCATTTCTTTTTCATTTTTTTAATTGTAATTTTCCAACTGAAAAAATCGTGGGCCGTGAAGATGTCGCATATTCTTGATTTTCCATTAGTATCTTATTCCCTTTATTCTTGTTGTTATTGTTGCGTGTTTTTTTGGTGTACGTATACGCAAAAATATTAATTATCTTCAGATGGATTTTCTTTGACATGAACAAAGGGATCTTCATAATCTATTTAATTGTTTTTCATTGTTGTATACAATGTTAATTTTAATAAAGGTAGGAAGTTAGGCATAAATTAATATAAATGATTGTGTGTTTATATTAGACAAAAAAACATTAGTTTTTAAAAAAATTATATTTTAGTGTTAAGTTCCGTAAGTATGGAAAAGATAGTGACCATATAGATCAAATATCCGTTGTATGTGTACGTCAGCAACACTTTGCTTGTAGTCCTAATGTTATCTTTGATAATAATTATGTAGATCCTCACAAAATTCAGCACGGTATTTCCACCATCTCAACGAGCATTGTTCTTCAGAGGCTATTGATATTGATTGGTTCAAGGTATGCTAATGACTCTTCTGACTCAGCTAGTTTATCTCTGAATACTAGGAATTGCTTCTCTCGTCCATTTATAGTCTGCCACGTGTATACTTAGACAACTATGCATATTTTTGTAACACTATTTTAAATTCTTTCCTTTCAAGTTTCAAATATATCGTATGGTATTGCTGATGGTATTTGTGGGGCCCTACCTTTCAGTCTTCATCAATACATTTCATATAAATTCAGTTTGCGACAAATCAAGAATATCTGCCTCATATCTTACTATCATAAAATGAAAGCCATAACCATAAAACTATTAGTATATAATTAAATACTATTTTATTGCTGGGTGGTAATAAAAAAATCTATACTTATTTTCGACATTAATCATAAATTATAATTGGCTTTTCCTTGTAATGCCCCCATGTGTTGAACACGTGGGATCCTTAAATTTTCCTTTTGAGAAGTCAATTATATGCTTGAGGTGATTTGTAATTTTTGTAAATGCCAGCATGAGCTGTCTTTTTCCTTGTACATTTGGCATGTTGTATATTCAAGTAAGTAACCAGTACCATAATAAACACATCAGCTTGTTGGGTATGCGGTCGCATATCGCAATAGATCAATTTTCCTTCCTGTACTTTGGTAGAAGTGGTTATTCATCCTTCTTCAAAATCTCACTATTACCTTTGTTGCTAAACATTACAAAAGAAGAAATCTGGAATCTATATGCTTGTGTTTATTAATATAAGTTGGAGGAATAAATACGTAAATACAATATAAAGTGATTTTTGTTATTATTTTTTTCTCTCTTTTTTTTTCTTTCAACTTAATCTTGTGATCTTTGTTGGAGTCCTTTTTAGCACTGAACATCCCCTTTTTATGTGCATTACATAAGTTCATGGAAGAGGGGGATGTTCTCAGCATTTATATATAAATTAAATGGTGTTTTGCGATATAATGGCTACCTTTTACACTATGTGGTGTTAAAACATATATATCCGAACTTCATGTTTACTTTATTACATTTCAGTTCTCTGTACTGTTACTTTTGGTTTCTTTCTCTGTGAACAGATATTTTCACATTTTACTTATGAGATCCTTTTATAGTTATTTTTTAAATTTATTTATGCATTTATTCATTGTAGCCATGGTAGCACAGAAGAGCTAAATTGTTTAACATTCATTATTCTGATGCAATTTGGCCTTTTGCAAGTTTTCTAAGGCTAGATTTGGGATGGATGCATATTTCTTTTGTAATTGTTCTCTACTAATTTTTACCGTTTTCTAATTACCCTGTTCTGTGAAAATAGTTTTGGAATTTAGCTTCTCATCCAGCAACCCTTAATTTTTAAATCGTTTTTGTCTTTTACAACAAAAGGTTGTCTTATTTTGCAGGATTCAGTGCCAGACGTCACTTGGAATGTCATTCTCGCATCAAAAGGGGATTTCCTTCTAATTTTCTGATTTTCAATTAACTTCAGTGAGTGATCCTTTTGATTCAGTAGCTTCAATTGATTGTTGGTTTCTATCTATACTCAATAGTATAATATTGCAGTTTTTTCAATGCCTTCTATAGATAAACCAAAATTTGGGTTAACAAGTGCCTAAAAAGGTCGTCATGTTCTTTTGAAATTCAATTCTTGTTGGAAATTTTGCTGCTTCCACCAAAATTGTGTGTATTTGAGCTTTTATTCTGTGATGTTTTTATAGATGAACTCAATAATTTTGTTTAGCTCTATCGCTGATGGGTATCGCCATGTATTTCAGAGGAAGTTATGATTGAGGACTGTTATTTGGTGTTGTGGTGTTTCTTGTTTTGATCTCATTCTCGAACCTTTGTTGAATTGACCTTGATTGATGGCGCAAAAAGCGCGGAACTCTTAACGAAAGAATGGTTCACTAAGCCATTCTCACGAAAGCTGATGCGCATACTTAATCGTGTACATATTCTCTCCTGACTTATCAAATTAGTGAAAGTGAAACAGACTCATAACTTATCTCAGAGACTATAACCTTGTTTATCAATCTTTAGTCACATCACTTGAAATTCACATTTTACTCACTTTTCTTCTCCTGCTCTGTTACATTATTTTGATAAATGACAAGTATTCATGCTCCATTATCTAGTGTGGGATTGGCACTCGACCGCCTGCCAGACATGTATCCATCTATGTGCAAATAGGGTGTGTATGTACTTTTTTTATAATCATATGTGTGGTGTTTGCTCATTACAGAGAAGTATAGTTTCTGAATTTTCCATATTTTAGCTTGATAAGTAACCTTTTCTGTCTAAGTTGCTTATTTATTGAATAGTTATCCAACTTACTGTTGCTTTCTAATTCAAACGAAGTTGCTCACTGCTTACACTTTGTATGTAGAAGTTCTCTTACTTCATACTGTTCCCTGAACTCGCTATGTTTTGTGTTTAACAGTTCGCCAACTCAATAAGGCAAGGTGAGGGAAAGAAAGCTGGCGGAGCTCTCCAAGCCCTTGGGGTAGGGGCAGGTTGTACAAATCTAGTGAGTTGTTGGTGTCACAAAATTTGGGATATATGCAAAAGCATGATACGTCGAATTGCTACGGGAGGGGATAGTATCTACTTTGGATGTAGTAGACCTTCGGAGCCTTGAGCGATGTATGGACATTTTTTCTATCGTTTCTCTCTCCTCTTGAAGAATTTGAAAAACAAGAGAGAATTTTTTCATATTTCTTGAGAGGAGAGAGAAACAATAGAAAATTGCAGCAGAAATCGATAAGGGCATCCAAGGCCAATGCCGCTGCTGCATCCAAAGTGGTCACTGCCCGTCTCGCAGCATTTTGCCGATCGCGGTTTTGCCAGTACTCCATGGCGCCTGCAGCAGCTCATTTGACTGTTGCCCTCATGTAGAAACCACCTCCAGTTGCTGCATTGTATCCATGTTTCTTGTTGAAATAATTGTGGATCTTTATTTTGGAGAATCAGGTACTTGAGACAATAATAGATTATGAAGTTTGAATATGTTTATGAAAGTATTTTAATAGCAATGTCTCGTCGAATATGATTGTTCTTATTGCTATTATAGACTTTTTCATAATTTGTTTCCTAACTCTTTGTGTTGCCCTCAGTTTTTTGTTATATTTTTGTTAAAAGATTAAAGTAGTGTCATTATAATTTAATATTTGGTATTTTTGTAATGTTATATTAAATTCTTATTTTATATAAAATTAATCAATTGATGGCATTCTATTTTAACAAACCAGACGAAGCCAAGCAACAGAAATATTGTTCAATGAAGGGGCATTATACAATTTTTTGTTTGAATTGGTTTTTGGCATAAATTCTTTTATTTTCTTTATAAAAAAATTTATTTTATATTTATTTGTATGAATTTTTGTTTAGAAGTGGCAATTGAAGCAAAAATAGTTTCAATTAAAATTACTTTTTATCTTTAATAATAATATAAATAAATATATATAAAAATAATTAATTTATATATTACTATATTTTTTTAAAAAATATAATTGTATTATTAATTTAAATTTGATTGTACATCGGTATGATATTACTAGTATTCTATTAATTCTACTTACTATAAGTGCTTATTCATTTTTTAATTGTATAATTACATTATTCAGATTTTTTCTTGTTTTGAAGAGATAAATTATTATCCAATTATTATACCAATTATTATACTTACTAAAATATTATTCCAATTATTGTACTTACTGTCTATTCATAATTACTATAAATAATTATCCTTTTTCTTATTTTAATTACTATATAAATGCTCATCATTTCTTGAATTGCACTTTTTATTCAAGTAAATTATTTATGTATATATTAAAATGCTATTAAATTTATTGTACTTACTATAACGAAAATAAATGCTTACCCTATTTTTAATTGTATAATATTTTATTCATATAAAATTATTTTATTTCTAAAATAATTTATTTACCTTTTTAGGAATCTAAAATTCAATTATTGGACGGTTTAATTATCATTGCTATATATTTTGAGCCCAAATCATGTGTCAAACACCACAGTCCATTTCCCACCGGGCTTTAAAAAACGCCATGACTTTTTAAAACCTCGCAGTCATCGAAGGTGTCATCAAACCGTCCACTCACCAAGAACACAACACAAGTCCTCTTGCTCTACAACAAAAATGCTCCGCTCAGATCTTGTTGATTGAATATAGAAAAAATGTCCAGGAAATCATCTAAATTTGTGTTGCTTCCGGCGTTCTACCTCTCTGCTGTTCGGCGTCAGCGTAGATATTTTTATCGGAGAAATGCAAAATTGTTAAAGGTATATAATGTTGTTATTTAAGATTTGTATTTTCTTTTTTTCTTTTTTAGCATTGATTATTGTCATTTGTGTCTATGTTTGCTGCATCTGTTCTTAAAAAATTAAAAAAAAAAAAATTCACAATTGGAAAATGATCTACCTTTTAACATATGTGTATGGTTTGACTATGTGTTGATTGAGCTTACTTTTGAAATGAAGATGAAATAGTCATTGATTTTAGCATCTTGAAAATTGGAACTATTTCGAGATTTTAGATCTTTATTGAGTGAATCAATTTCTGAATACGGTTATGATAATGGTATGTACATGAAATAGTATCTAATATAGTTTTTTTAAAGTTAAGAACTGATATGTTTTCATTTGATGAACATAAGCTAATATTAATTGGATATTCATGTTTGATTTATTATTTTTTTTTTTTCTAAACTCTATTTCTATTCCAACAGGGAGAAAGCGATCTTCAATATTTAGCCGCACTTTTATGGTTTTCATTTGGTACAATAATCGTACTTTTGCAGGTATTAAGATTTAAGTAATGATATTGTGAACTTATACTAGATTGTTTGTAATATTTATTAACTCTTTTCATTACGTGTAGGAAGTGCTTTCAGTGTATCCATTGTTGTCTATCACTTCCTAACTCCAGAACAATCTAATAGAATCTCCAATGTTCTGAATTTTCTTGAGGTTAGACACTTTTCCTTTCAAAAAAGTCATATGGATGTCATGTTTGAATATTTTCTTGTTTGGTGTGTAATTATTTTTTTAATATCATTTTAGGACTGCATCACTTACCACTGTAAGTAGCACAAAAAGGTTGGGGCGGATTAAAAGAGTAAGTACAATTCAATGAGCTGTTAGCGTCACAGAATTTGGGCGAAAATATCAAAGTATGATCCGTTGAATTTTTACGGAAGGGGATAGTCTCCGCTTTGGATGCAGCAGACTACTGCAACCTTAGATGATTTCCTGGGCATTTTTATTTATAATTCTTTTTTCTCACAACTTGTTTCTAACTCAAAAAAAAAAAAAAAAAATGGCATCAAAAGTTAAAATGTCTCTGAAATCATCTGAGGTAGCCTAGATTATTGCCGCTGCATCCAAAGCGGTCACTAGCCCGTTCCGTGGCAGTTTCCCGAGTGATGCTTTGTTGTTTTCTTTCAAACTTTGTGCCGTATCAGCTTATTAGATTATTCTTACTCTTTTTTTTTTTGCCGGTAATCCTCTTATGTTCAGTATTATCTATGTCGATCGTCTGCACATTTTGCGCGCTACCGTGGCATGCTTTGCCATTTTCTCAAGGCCTCTCAAAGTGTCTGTATCTATAGTTGCAGCTGAGAAAGAAAGAATAACAGACTACAATGTGAAAATTTTGTTGATTATTTATCATTTTTTTTTTGACATTTGTATCATTAAGGTCAAATTTGTATTTTATTTTTATTTTTTTGGGATATTTAAGCACAATTTATCACAGATTTGAAATAAATTGTGATTGTGTTATCCAACAGTATCTCTAAAGTGTAACAGTGGCCTACTATAATCCATAAATATATATACACAGGGGAAAAATGCATTACAAAACTTATATATGAATCTCCATATTATTAATTTTCCAAAAAATCTCATAAAAATAAGTTTTAAGTAATTCTAATTTTCCTTATTTAATATGTTTCAATATATCTATTTTCGGTAGATATCAACAAGGATATGGCACATACCATAACCATTCGGCACGAAACAATTAAAATTGTATTATGTTATTTCATTAATCCTTCAACTAAAAAACGCCTGAACAAACATGTAAAATTAAAATTTAATAAATAAAAATAAATATATATTAATTTTAATATTTTTTGTGAAAAAAATATAAAAAAATTACAATGGGAAGTTGTAAAATCTCTAAAATACACACTTTTTTTTTTTTTACATAAATATTATTTTATCAGTAAGTACACATATTTTTAATTACAAAATAATTATATTTTTTGTAACTATAGATTTTATTTTTTTATAATAACCAGAAAATCACTTTTATACTATTTTTAATTAGATATTTTAGTTAAAATACAATTAATAGCATAAATCATGTGCTGAGATACAAATGCATATCAGCACCTACAGAATTAATTACAGCAGCCTTAATTAATTAAGGATAATTAAATAAATTATGATATTATGTAAAATCTTTTATCTATTTATGTAAATTATTGATTTGATATTTTAAATATAAAATTAATTTTTAATATAATATAAAAATAAAATTTAAATACGTATTTAATTTGAGTTGGAACCTGTGTTTACTCGAAGGCGACTTGTGTTGTCTTTGACTCTTGTGTACTGTTACGTGTCTTGGGCCCTAACCCTGAGATTGAATAGTTGCTTTCGTGTTCGCATCGCCGATCGATCACCGGCATCTTGCTTGCATTCCATGGACGCGGCGCCGGTAGGGTTTTCTGCGCTTCCGTCTGGGGAGCCGGATGATGTTCAGAATTTCGAGGCGTCCGTGGCGGCGGTGGAGAGATTAATCAAATACCAATTTCGTGACAGGAGGCGTCTCGAAGATGCCTTGACGCATCCCTCCTATACAGACTCTTCCTCCTATCAGCGACTCGAATTTGTAGGTGATGCTGCTCTAGGTTTGGCTATATCCAATCTTGTTTTCCTGCAGTACCCCGACGCCGACCCCGGCAAACTATCGTTGGTGCGAGCGGCCAACATTAGCACCGAGAAGCTCGCCCGCGTCGCCGTCCGCCACCAGTTTTATAAGTATGTTCGCCATAACGCTGCCGTTCTTGACGAAAAGGTAATTTTCTTTTCTTTCTCTGTTTTCTGTGAAGAAAGTTTAACGCTGCTCTTTTGCCACTGGAATTTAATTTTACGAGGTTTATATATATATACATATATATATATAATTGTTTAATCTATGACACAATTGTAATTTTAGTTTTGTTCTTGTTCTATGTAAGTTAGTGGATCAGTATGCTTAGAAATTCTGAAGGCATTTGTATTTACAGCTTGAGCCTTAAATTGAGGCATACGACAATGCGTTTTTTATTTGGGACATGGATTTCTGCAGCTGAAAGTTGTGAAGTTGGTCAGGTTTCCATCAAGAACTTGATACAGACATTTCAGCTCATATCAAGTGGCTTGATGGAAACTTGGCTAATTTTTCGACTTTCTCTGTTGAAATCATGCCCCTTTTAATGATTTGCTTCAGGTAAGGGATTTTCTAGCGGCCATAGAAGAAGAGGATGGCACTGAGTGTTATGGGGGTTTGGTGAAAGCACCCAAAGTTCTTGCCGACATTGTGGAATCAATTGCAGCTGCCGTATACGTTGATTCCGGCTTTGACTTAAAGCTTATGTGGAAGGTCAGCTTCCATTTACTTACTTTTGATGGCTAATCGTTGTTTAATTTGTTAAATGTGTTGTGTTGTTATAACAAGTGTCGGCTAACAGTAGTTTGAATAGTTTCAATATATGTGATACATGAATACGGTATTTTAGTATTTCTATAATTCATGGTAAACAATAGAAGGCAATAGCACCGGTATTATGCTGTCGCTCCATTGAGGTGCACCTATGCACTTGCGCAAAGTCACTTGTTGTGGAAGAGCGTTGCAGGTTGAAGTGTGTATATATAACTATTATATATTTATCGATATAGTAATGATCCGATTGTTTTGTCTTTATATAACTATCTATAATCATAACATGTTTCGACATTTTGTTTTGTTTACATAAAACTTAACATATTATTTGGAATGATATCATGAGAAAATTTATAAGTTTTTCACATAGTGTCTTAGAGTTTGAACGTTATTTTTCGCTATCCAAGATTGAAAATTGTGCTAGAATTAATCATAGCCTTTCTATCTGCTGTGAATTAATCATAGTAAGTTATAAATGTTCTAATCCCAGCATATGATGATGATTCCCATCGTAGGTTTGCTTATAACGTGTTTTCTGTCTGGTTTTTAGATCATTGGAGGCTTTTTAGAACCTCTTGTTATGCTTGATGCGCTGGAACATCAACCACAGCCAGTGACGATGCTGTACGAATTATGCCAAAAGGCTGGGAAGCAAATCGATATAAAACACTGGAGGAAAGAAGATAGAAACATTGCGAGTGTCTATGTAGATGGGGAGTTTATAGCTTCAGCTTCTTCCGAGCAAAAGGAGAATGCTAAGCTTCATGCTGCAAAGGCTGCTCTCGAAAAACTATCTCCTGAAACAACCGAGATTGATATACTCAGTGAACTCAATGGGAATGAGATTGGTGCGAAACATAAGCTGCACGAGCTTTGTGGCAAACGGAAATGGCCTAAGCCGATTTACAAGTACACCTCTTATCCCCTATAATGCTTTATATGATCCATTTTCTCGCATTTAAAATTTTGCTATATTACACATATCTATGCTTCCATCATATGCATCATGATAATTAAATCTGTGGACACCGTAATGCATTGCATTTATTTTACTTGAAACACGGCTTTTTGGCTCACATTATCAATCCAATGGTACTTGAATTCTGAAGGACACTTGGAAACTTGCTTTATTTGTCTTCCTTGTATAAACAATTTGATCTTTGAGACCTATTGAAATGCAGACTCCAGGAAGAGGGCGGGCTTGCTCATAACAAGAGATTCAAATGCTCGGTCGAAATTGAGGTTGATGAAGGCATACTGTTCGTAAAGGGGGAGGATAAGGCGCGATTGAAGGCTGCAGAGAACTCAGCTGCCTTTTTAATGCTTCATGGACTTAAAGAGAGGAATTATATATGATTCTCGCCACCTCGCCGGAACATTGTAAGAATATTCGATATATTAGGTTTTGTTCATCCATAACATTTGTATCTATGATCGATGACTTGAAACATTTAGCTCTCTCTCTGGTTTATGAAAAGACTATTTTTAAGTAATGACTGATGTTCAAATGTCCTGTTGCAGTTCTTATCCTCTTGCTCATTCTTATAATAAATAATGAATACATGTTTTTATTTAATCGGCCTGGTTATTGTGTTTATTTCTCTCATCAGTATATTTGAAGTATAAAAACAACACAAGACAGCACATGTCTGCTATTTGATCGGGCACGAATTTTAATAAAAGTGAGTAATAATTGTTAATTTTTTTTTATAATAAAAAACAGTACAAAAGTAAATGATTTTTTACTTAAAAAAGAAATGAGAATATTTTTCAATGACAACCCGAAAAGGAAACTGAACATAAATTTAAATGACGGATGGAGTAATATGTATTTGTATTTATATTGTTTATTAATATATAATGTCTTGTTGATTGTGTCTTTTTATTATATGTTGTGTCTTTAATAAATATGAATTTCATCATATTAATAATATATTTTATTATTTCATACAAAAATATTATTCTAAACATATTTTTTTTTTCATTCATTATTTTAAATGAAAATAATAAATATATTTATTACTCACAGATGGAGAAAGTACTTATACAAGATTGCTTCTTGTTTTTACGGTCTAATTGAGGGATTGTTTGGCTCTAAAAAAATAAAAGTCAATAAAGATTTGATTATTAATTAATTTTAATATATTAATCAGGATGGGCCGTAAATGCAGGCTCCTTGGGCCCACAACGTCCCAAACTTTCCCTGGTCCAAGCTCTTCGAATTAAGACTTTGTTTACACAATTATATTTCATTTATTTATACTATTTATTTAATGTAATTTAAATAAAATTTTGATGGGACGTTTTATATGGTAAATATATTTTTTTATCAACATTTTTTTAAAAATATATTTATAATTGATGCAAGTTTTCTTCAAAAAGACAAAAAGTGATTTGAAATATAACAAAAATATTTGTTGATGTGAGTGAAAGCATATCAAAACTTTTCTTATTTATTTGTTTTTAGTTTGATTTAATTTTTTACTTATGCAACAATAGTAATTTTATAAAAATATATATATTTTACAATATTATATCTAAATCACTACATCAAAAATAATATAGACAAAAAAAAGTGTGTTGCACTTTTAACTTTGGTTAATTTTGGTCAATTAAATGATAGGAACATACACACATACAAACAAACGAGTAGTATTAAGTTCGGCCGGGTTATCCAGTACATACTTTCGGTAGCGAGTGCGGATCAAATAAAAAGAAAAAAGAAATTCCACCATCTATACACAAAAGATTCAATCAATTTAATTAAATATGGCACAGCTAATAGCAAACACATACTTACTACTATTTGTTTAATTTTTGTTTGTTTCACAATTAATCCAATCTTGATTTTGATGTTTTAGCTTTTGTCCCTAACTTTAAACTATTCATTGCCTTTCTTGCTCCTCCCATTTTCAATTTATTCCTTCTCTTCCCCAAAGCTCAGAATTAATTAATTAGCAGACCAATCTCTGCCATTAACAACGAATTCATTGAATTACAATCTGAAAATTTTTCTTACAGTTACAGACCAATACAAAGAAATGAATAAATGAAAGGTTGGAATAAATTAAAATCTCATATGCTACAATGGCGAAGATTCTCGGACAAGGCTCAAAGCTTCGACCATGGTGTGTCTGAACCTCGTAATATTAATTCTAACATTCTGACCGTTGAGGTACACCTCCTTCCCTACCTCCACCGGAAAAGCCGATTTCGGATCGGAAAACGCTATGTGATCTCTTCCGCCGAAGATTTTCAGCAGCGAGCTCTCCTCAGGCTCAATCTTGTACCGGAGGTAGCGCACGTGCATTGCACGTGCTGGATCGCCGTAGTAGGTGGCCGCCGCCCAGTTCAGGCCGATCAGGTCCACCTGCACCACGACGGCGCCGTCCGGCAGGAACAGCTCGTTCGTCAGACCGGCGCCGTGCGCCGCAACGAAAACGGCGCAGGAGTTGAGGAGGCGGGCGAAGGATTTTAAATTTGATAGAATTTTGGCTCTGGCGACGACGATCACTCGAAACCCTAATTCTTGCATCGTCGTCACCACCTCGTCCTCGTTAATGATCCTCCTCGATGTCCGCCGCGACAGGAGCATCGCCGTCGGCCGTCGGATTTGCGCCACGTGGCGGTGTTTCAGATTCAGCGTTTCCCGGAGGAACTGACGGAAACCGCCCATGGTGAGCCCCGTCGGAATGTCGCCGGAGTTCACGGCGAGGTGGCCGTGGAACTTCAGCCCGACGACGGCCGCCGGAAAGCAGTGGACGCTCGTGTTCGCGGCGGGGTCGATTATGTCGTGCGACGTCAGCCCCGACAGGATTTCCTCGTACTTGTCGGCGAATTTGGGGTTGTAATTCTCCAGGACGAAGACGGCGCGGGATTGGAACATCCTGGTGGTGATGTAAAGAGGGATTATGATTTCGTTCATTTCGTGGAAGACATTTCCGACGAATCCGCCGGAGGAGAAGACCACGGCGGGGACGCGGTGGTTGTATTTGCAGGCCGGCGCGCTGAGATTCCCCCGGAGAATTTTCACCGGCGATACTGATTTCATCAGCACTTGGTCTTCCTGCCGGGCGTACGGACGAACGGCGATTTCCTCCGGCGCCGGCGGATGATCGGAGGGGACGAAAACCGTCATCGTTCCGGCGTCGATCCTGACAGGTCGATCGACGACGCAGTGAATCGACGGAATTTCAGAATTGCACGCAAATCCGGTGGCTTCGAAATTTCGGCGGTCCTCTTCTGTTCATTAATTCCGATTCAGAATTCAAACAGGATGGATGGATTCTGGACTGATCATCATCAATCAATTCATTGCTGGAAACGATGACAGAAACAAACCTTTGACTAATCTGGCCAGAAGTGAATCCAGGACATCCTGTTGTCCTTCGACAATCCGGCGGCTGCCTGAACCAGACACGTCCCCGGTAGCATACCAGAAACCTGTCAAAAATTTCCGATTCCGAATTGAACACGACGAAAGCTCAGCTGTGAAACCAAATCGAAAGTAAATAGAGGTCTGGAAATTATACGCTGTTCGAAATGAATCCTGTTTTCCAACAAGAGGTCAACATAGAAGAAGAAAAGCACGATCAAGACGATCCATGGAGTGGACCGGAAAATCAGTTTCTTACGCTCCTTGATCTCCATTCTCAGTTTATTACAGCTTTTTCTTCTTCTTCTTCTTCGTCGTCGTCGTTGTCCCTTCACACTTCACAGCTTGTAAGGAAAAAAGATGCTGATGGAGAATCCCCAAAAGAGTCCAAAAACTATATTTAATTAAATTAATTACCAGATGAATCTTCTACACCTTAATTTCCTTGATTTTTGCTTGCTTCTTGCCATATCTATCATTTTCATTATTATTATTATTATTTTTTTATTTTTTTTTTTTCTTTTTTATTTCTCATAGCCCTAAATAAAGCGTAGCGACTTAATTAACCTCTGCTTGATTTGCAATTAGGGCCAACTAGTGCATAGTGTGTAGTAGTATAGGGATTTTCATTTTGAACAAGTCAATATAACACTACTAATATATAAAAATAATAATAATATTAATTTTAAAAAAAATTGAATTTAAATAATTGTTTGATATAATATTAATAAATATATTAGATGAAAATTTGATTTTTAAAGTAATATAAAAATAATAATTATTTGATTTAATTTATTTTTGAAAAATTTAAATGATTAGTAACAATCTTAATTATAAAAAAAATTCATTGCATACTTTAATCAAATATTGATGATAACGTACAATGCATTTTCGTATTATCCAAACACAACCCTCTGTTTATTTATTATTATTTTTTTTATTTTTTTTGACTCGTGCATAAGTACGGCGTATATAAAAATACACAAGAAACTGCCGCAATCAATCCAAATAAAAAGCATAAACTTACAATTGGAAGAAGAAGCAGTAGTAGTATTATTTAAAAATAAAAATAAAAATAAAAATGAAAATGAAAATTGTTGGGATTTCAATGTCAAGAATGCATATGGGAATTGACAATCAAACAATTTGAATAATCTCATCGACTGACAGCTAAGAGATTAGTTAAGTATTGTTAATATAATCAGATTTTTTTGCATAATTCACTTCAATTTTTTGGATAATTTATTACTACATACATTCACTTGGGAGTCACTAAATCTGGTATGATTCCACTAACAGACATTCCAATCCATTTTTTTCTCATCATTGAATGCATGGTTTTCATCATTGAATTAGATCAATGAATAATAATATAATGCAGCAATTTCCCAAAGTATAAATATAAATAAAAAGACAGATAGTCAACGGTCCATTTTTGTGCACACAAGAAATTGATCCACAGATACTTTGCCTACTTTGGTGTCCTAATGTAAAGAGAAATATGATATTATTACAAAAGACTACTCTTTTTGTAAAGCACTTCTTATGATTACATACTTGGATTGATTTCTTTAAACTGATGGGAACCAAACAAATTTATTGATTGTTTTGGGCACAATTGAATTCTTGAAAGGACTATATTGAGAATAAACATGTTCAAACGCCCTAAAAAAGTCGATTGTTACAATTGCCATTAATTTCTCTATTTGTGACTGTAAGAAATAAAAAAGTTGGGTGTCATGTTGCCTGGGATTCAAGCAAAGAATTAATGTATGTGTATAAAAATAAATAAATAAATAAAATAACTGGGTATGTAAATATATATTCAACACAAAAAAGATGAGGGGCTATGTACATCTTAAATTAATTAACTCGTCACCAAATATAATTCTCTAATTAATTAAACTTACTCCGACCAATCAGTAACAATACTTAAAGCCTCAACGAGGGTTTCCTCGAACCGGGTGAGGTTGAGCCGGACATTCTGCTGATCGAGAAAAACCGTCCTGGCGGCTCTATAGCCGCCGGTTCTGTAGACCGAACCGGGATCCCTCACGACGGAATGGTTCAGTCCGTACAGCTTCGCCAGCGAGCTCTCCTCCGGTTCGATCTTGTACCGGAGGTAGCGCACGCCCATGGCACGTGCCGTGTCGCCGTAGTAGGTGTCGGAAGCCCAGTCGGTGCCGAGGAGCTCCACCTGGATCATGACGGCGCCGGTCGGCAGGAATATCTCGTTCGTCAGGCCGGCGCCGTGAGCTCCGACGAGAACGCTGCCGGAGTTGACCAGCCGCGAGAATATGTTCAAATTGGATACCAATTTGGATCTTTTCACCAAGATTACCCGGAACCCGACACGCTCCATCGTGGATATCAGCTCCTCCTCGTTCAGGAACCGGCGCGTGTTGGTACGCGAGAGGAGGATCAGTTTCGGCTTCGGGATTTGCGACACGTGTGAGAATTTCAGGCCGTACGCCTGCCGGAGAAACCGCCGGAATTCGGTCATCCCGTAACCGCCGGGGATGTCGCTGGAATTCACGGCCAGATTGTCGTGGTACTTCAGCCCGACGACGGCGCCGGCGGGGAAGCAGTGGACGCTCCCATTCTCCGCCGCCGGATTCATCACGTCGAACTCCGTCAGGCGCGTCACGACCTTGCCGTATTTCGCCATGAACGACGGCTTGTAATCCTCCAGGATGAACTGCACGCGCCGCCGGAACTGCCTGGCGGTGATATACAGCGGAATCACGATTTCATTCATCTCGTGGAAAACGTTTCCGGTGCTGCCGGAGGAGAATATCACGGCGGGGACGCCGTGGGTTCGGCGGCACTCCGGCGGCGCCGTCGTATTACTGTACTGGTACATGCGAACTTCTCCGATGACTTTCAGTTCATCCTCCTGCCTGGCGTACGGCCGCGCCACCGTCACTCGGTCGGAATCCTCGTCGGACGGAATGTAAACCGTCATGTTTCCGGTGGCGATCCTCGCCGGCCGGTTTGAAACACAGACGACTGAATGATACGTCCGGTCGCAGGCGAACCCCGTCGTCTCCAAACTTCTCCGATCATCGCCTGATCCAACCAAATTCCATCAAAAACCTAAAAAACTTAAACTAAAAACAAACAAATCAGTAGAAACCACAAACCTCTCACCAATCTTCCCAGACGAAATCTGAACATCTCGTCTTCCTTATCAACAGCCCTAAATTCATCTCCCGAACTCGTAAAGTATTGCATCCCTACAAAAACACAAAATCAAAAACCTCCATAACCAAAACAAGCTCAAAAAAAATTAACGAATTAATTAATTACATCGATTGAAGGGAACTCGGCTGCCATAGAAGAAATCAAATCCGACGCAGAGCAGAGGAAGAGCGAGCAGGATCAATACCGGGGAGCCTGTACGAAAAGTAAATTTTTTTGTCGAATCTTTCTCCATATCTTCTTCCACTATCCTCCAAATTGATGTTTCATAGCCCCGAGAAAGAGACGAGAATAAGTATAGCGATTAAGACTGCAAAGCAACCCAACCATATAAAATTCATCGTCATCAACCCAATTTCATTAAACTAATCCCAATTAATTAATTAATAAGTTGATTTAATCAATCGACATATATACGTACGAATATACGTAGAGCAGGGAAACCGACGAAATTCTTCATGGGAATAAATTGAAGGGATCGGGAAGTCAACTGTGAATGCTTAAAATGAGCAGAAACCGCCGCTAAATGAGGTTAGCAATTATAATTATACTCCTTACATTTTTCATTTTTGTGTGCTTACATAACACATCTTTTTATTTTGATCAAAATTTACTAAATTAAAATATATTAAATAAATATAAATTAATTTAATTAATTATATAACATATAAAATCATACATTACTTAGAACCCCTCGTGTAACATATAAAATCATACATTACTTAAAATCATATATTATTTTTTTTTTTTTGTATATATTTAAAACTTCACATCCTTTATAAAATTAACTTATATTAATTACAAAAAAATAAATGTATTATTTTATTTAAATTATATTTTTTACAAACTTATATTCATATTACATATATTTTAATTGATATATTTTTTAAAATAATTAAATATATATTCTAAAAATTTTAACCATATATATTAAATTTATTTTAGAATTATCACTACTATTAATCTCACCGAAAATAATAAAATAAATTATAATTTTATATTATTAACTAATTAAATATCGTATTTCTAATTAATGCACGTGGCCTGCGAGAAATATTTTTCAATAATTATTGGGAAATTTCTAATGTTCTAAGATTGAATATAGCAGCTTGCAAAGTGATTTGATTTGTCTAAGGAATATTTCAATTGTTCTTTGGAGTGAAATAGTCTATTCATATTTTTCTATTTTAGTCTGTCATGTAACAAAGAATTCATTTTATTTTTCTAAGTAATTGTATTATCTATCTAATTTTACAAATATCTTTACAACTTACAAATATCATTATATTTATATCACACATACTAATAAGGTTATTTTAGTCATTTCCACTTTATTCTTACTTACATCATAATATAATACTAATATTTCTAAAACTACGTACAATAAGTAAATTGATATCTAGTTATGGGACGTATATGCATTTTAGGAGGATCAATTAAATAATTAATTAATTAGCCAATATTTAAAATGTGAACAGCTGAAATATCACGATCGACAGTGGCAAGAAAATTAAGAGGCTGATGTTAACCTCCGCGTGCCCTCTTCTTTTTTTTTTTTTTTTTTTTTTTTTTTTTATTTATTTTATATCATTAACACACATATAACGTCAATATCTTGATGATCTGTTTTTCTAAACTTATAAATTAATAATATTAAATTAATAGTAAGGCGTTGTTTAGTTGTAAACTGGATTATATTATAAAATAACATGCATTTGATTAAAAATAAATTAAAAATATATTTATTATTATGTTTTAAATTTGTAATATTATTTAGAAATATAATTTTTTTACGATACTGACAATAACCCGAATTTATAAATATATTTTATATTGAAAGTGTACGTGTCAAAGGTGGCGACATCGATTAAGTTAGTGCAGATTAATTTAAAAATGAAATAAATCAATATTGGAGACACGAACTTTTTAATTGTTAATTAAATTAAAGGGGATTAGTCTTTAATTACAAAAGTGGACAAACTGCACCTATTAAGATAGTGGTTTTTAAGGACCGGTCGAGTTGGTGGCTAGTAACCGGTTCGAATTCTATTAATATTTTTTTGTCGAACTTGTCACACAATATTTATATGCACTTAAGGAATACTAATATGTTATTGAAAAAAATAAAAATTAGTAGGTGATATTTCTTTATTCAATATAAAAATTTAATTGAAAAGTATGTGGACAAATAATGTTTCGTTTGATTAATGAAATTCAATTTTTGTATTTTATTCTTTTAAATAAAGATGGTTAGTGGAGTATTACGTAATACGAAGGGGGCTGGTTATTATTATTATTATTATTAGGACCACTATTATTTTCATTGTGCAATGTGTGTAGGAGATTTGATAATTACTCTAAAAACGTGTAAGATTTTTCTTTCTAAATGAAAATTCAATCATTACTAAAATTATTCCCAAATAATATATATTATCGTCCATTGACTTGAAAAATAAAAAAATAAAATGATATTCATATTATATTTTTTATTAAAATATTTAAATACAATTTTTAAAATTGTTTTAATTTCATATATTATATCATAAATTAATTAAAACCGAACACTAACCGCGCGCTCAGTTTAAAAATGATAGTTTCTTTCTGGCGTTGTTTTTTGTCGGTGAGATTTAATAAATTTAGGTTTGAGATGGAGAAATGTGCAATTTTGCATGGCAGGCAATGTAATTAAAGTTATTAGGCTGATTAAAGAGTATCACATTCAAAGTGTCAATTAATTAATTAATTGATTGATTGGGGATATTATGCAATAAGTAGTAAGTAGCAGTGGAAAGTAGAATAAGGCATTTAAGGCTGACTGTGTCTATCAGAATGAGAACGAAGGTGGTCCAAATACCAATGCTAGCCTAGTCTGTCTGTTACAATCTAAAAAAAGGTATTTTAGAAAAAGTGTAATTAGTAGATAATTAAGAATATATTCGTAAAAATAATTATTTTATAATATAAATGATTAAAATAACTAATTAGTTTAATTGAAATTAAAAAAAATAAAATTTAAAAATTTAAAATGAGATTAAAGTATGTAATTATTTTTCAAAAAAGGAAAGTGACATAGTACGTGAAACGGACAGAAACGGCAACATGGACATAGTATCTGGGACGGAGGGAATAGTATTTTTACTATTTAATATTATTACCATTTTTTATAATATATATATATATTATTTATATATAAAATATTATATTTGAATTATTATTCAAATTAAAAATTAAAATTCAAAAGATAAATCACTAACTAATTACACTCTTATATCACTAGCTATGCAAAAGCTAATTTCGTAGAGTTAAAAAAATTGTTAATATATATTAACAACAATCATTATTTACTTTACTAATTTTAATCCTTAAATTTTATAGAAATATCATATGCAATATTCAGTGTTTTTTTTTTTTTTTTCAAAAATAAACAAAATATTAAACACATTTTAAATACAAATAAAAATATCTAATTGAACATTGGTCTCGTTTGATCAAATTTTGAATTCTATTTTTCCACCATCCAATCTATTATTTTTATTTCAAAATACGAGGTTTGGTATTTATATTCCTCCAGAATTATGAAACCAAGTTTTTGAAACAAAAGGTGTATTAAAAAAAAAAAAAAGGTTGAGTCAAAATAGGCCCCTACACAAAATATTGACATAGCCAAATTGAGAATAATTTGGTAATAAAGTTATTTTAGTAGTTTCTATTTTATTTCTACTACATCTCAATATAATACTAATATTTCTATAAAAAACAAACGGATAAATAGTTATGGACTGAGGGAGTATATTTTATTTGTAAGTTAATATATGAGTATATTTTATATTTCAATTTAAATAGTACATTATTTTTTTAAAATATATTATAATTTCTATTTTTTTTTAATCCCACACAGTTTTGGGATCAAATTCGAACATAAATAAAGGAAATACCTCACCATTTTTTATTTACAAGAATTTGACTAAGTATTACACGAATTTAAAACTTAAAATTTAGTTTGAAATAATTTTTGAAAAATATAATTTTTACTAAAAATTATGTAAACTGAATAGTGGTAATTTAGATTTGAAATCCAAATCAAACACACTTATTAACACTTTAAAAGCACGTTTAAATTTATTACATCTAACATTTTTTTTCTTAAAATATTATTTTTTATAAAAGTTCATCTATACGTAAAACTAAAAATATTTCTATTTTAGTTTTCGCTTCTACTGTTATTTTTTGATAAAATTTTCTGTGAAATCATCACTCAAATTTTACATGTTTTTCAAAAATATTAAATTAATTAATTTTATTTTATAAAAAAAATATTAAATTTAAAATATCAAATCAATATATTTATATTGAATCAAATAACTATACAAAGAATCATAATAATCAAATAAAAAAATTGAAATCGAACTCCAAAACAAATAAGATTTTAAATTATGTATATAAATAGGTTTTGTTCTTCTACCTAAAACTCAATATATTTTTTCAAAAAAATTAATATACTAAACACACTTATTATTTTTATATTATCTATATAATTTTCTATATATATATATATATATTCAAAACACAAAACAAACACACCCATAGCATTTCATGTTTAATCAACTATTAGTCCACAATCATACCTTCCTTTTTCAACTTAGCTTTCTATTTGAAATAATGAGAGTAATATCAAGGAGTGGTAGGGTAGAGCTTCCTCATTCATCTACTTTCAAATTATTCTTAGTATTATTAATTATATATGTATTAAATAATAATTCTTTTCTTAATTATAGTACCAAAACAATTGGTTTATTTTATTTAATTGGGACTTGAATGGCTCAAAAGAAAAAAGAAGAGAAATTAAAAAAACAGAAAAAAAGAGAGAGAATATTTGTAAAAGCAGAGTTGAAAGAATTATTTTAGATATAAATATATACTAATTCTAAGAATTATTTTTTATTGATAATTTAAAGAATATATATATATATATGTGTGTGTGTGTGTGTCTTAGAATAATTTGATTAATTCTTTTAAATTATTTTCCAATTTCAATTCTTTTCCAAGCACTTATGTCGACATACTTCCACAAAAAAATCATGGGCGATCGATCGAATAATTGCTCATTCATACACATTTGATTGGGACCTCAATATGTTTGGTTTGTAGTGAAAATTTAATTTTCAAATAAGGATGTAGCACAGCATGCTCAAAATATAGAAATTTAGAAATTTAATAAAATTTATCGAACTTAAAGTATGTTTGGAAACTTATGTCAAAGAATCTTATAAATTTGTTTGTATATATGTATATTATATTTATAAGGGATTTGGATTTTTTTTGTTTTAATTTATATTATTATCAATGTTATTTTTAAAATATTATATAATGCATTTTCCAATTGTTTACAAAACATTTCAAAGCATAACTAAATAAATGTTTCGATATATTGTGTTCCATCCGTGTTTTTGCAATTTCCTTACAAATATATGTGCATAAGTCATAATTATATTTATTTAAAAAATTTAAATTTTGAACTCTATTTTAGACCGCCCTATAGATATATGGTTTTATTGGCAATGGGCTTTGTTGGGTATATAATGGGCTTGGATCAATTTGAAGGTGCCCATCTAGTTTATTTATCTTGTCCAGCCTTTTCAAATTATAATGATTATAATCACACAAATATTTATACCTGAAAATAGAATTAACAAAAATTAAAAATCCCAATTACTCCCTCCGTCCCATATAATATGAATGTATTACTGTAGACACAAGAATTTTAGGTAAAATATAATTAGTAAGTAATTTAGAAGTGTATTAGTAAAAATAATTATTATTTAGTAAAAATCATTATAGATTAAGATTAAAATAAATAAATAGTTTAATTAAAATTAAGAAAATTTAAAAATTTAAAATGCTATTAAAGTGCGTAATTATATTTCCAAAAATAAAAATGACAAGTTACGTGGGACGGACGAAAATAGAAAATATGAACAAATTATGTGGGACGGAGGGAGTATAAGTTTATTCTCACGCGTTCTATACAAAAATGCAATACGCCACTCTTTTACTAAAAATATCATATTATTTTATAAAATCTTCATTTAAAATATAATATTTATATTTAAAAAATGCAGATACAATTCATTCAAAGCAATCTAATATGCAAAATTACTATAATCATTATTATAAGCATACTCATTAAAAAGAATAAAATAAAATAAATATGTGTGTTCTTCGAATTTTTTTTTTATTTTTTTTATTTGAATAATAATTTTAATATTAATATATTTTTTTAAAGTTAAAATAATTATATAAAAACAACAAAGCCATTGACTGTATTTGACTTAATCATAATAATAATAGTCCTGTAAGAAATGATATAGTAATGTGGGGTGAATTTATGATCATGCAGTTATGAATTCAAATTCACATTACATTTAAATTTACCTGCCGCACATAATTCGCATATGATCATGTAGTTATGATCATTTAATTTTTTTTTGAGATTTTCGAAAAAGCTATATAATTAGTCTTCCAACCGGATCGATTTTTTAGAATAACAAGGCGGGTGTTATTTTCAATATATTTTAAATTTTATAATATTAATGAACCTCATTCGAAATATAAGTTACATATTTATTACATGTCGTCTTGGTTGATCTAAGATGCTTAGGTAATGCTAATGTTGTAGATGTGACTTCCATTTATCTAATATATTTTGTCATTTTATATCACAATTAAATATTACATAGAAGAGTATAATAAAAATTGATAGGGGTTTTTGTCTAATGGTAATTTGTAGAATATTACACTCGATTTCAGTATTTGTCCAAGAGTTTTTATTTTATTATTTATTTCAAATTGAAATCAAAATTATTTATTTTGTATCGTTTTTCGTAATAATATATTATTTTTTTTCAATTTAAAGTATTTACTTTTTTGTTACCATTTAAATGTACTTTCATACGCAATGTTTTGTGTATTTACTTTGAACGGTAATAAATTATTACCATTTAACTGTACCTTCATACGCAATTTTATTACTCTAATAAAAAATAATAAAATTATTATAATGACATTATACGTTGACGTAACATGGCGTGATAAGTAATAAATAAGGCGGTTCAATACATAATAAAAATTTTAGAACGTCATGATAAGAAAATTACTATCGTGTAAAAATAATAAAACCATCCGTAATTTAGCAGCCATTTACTTCAGATAACAAAGGAAATTTTTCGTGTTTGTTCGTTATAATTTATATTTTTGAATGGTATCATTTTGTTTGTATTTTATTTTAAATACAAGATTTTAATAGTCGTTTTAATTATGAATAAGATAATAACTCACAAAATATTATATTCTCTTCTTTGATAATAAATTTTTAATTTGATTTTTGCATGCCGATTAAGTTAAATTAATATATTACAAATATATGATATGATAAATTAATATAATGTTATTTTATCTTTGAAAGTAATGTAAAAAAGTAAAAATAAAAATATTTTAATATTTTGTTGAGAATTATCTTTTTTTAAAAACTGAAATGAAATTTTTTGATTTGTACATACTAAAATGATAAACGAGAAGCTTATTGGTAGACAAAAAGAATGTAAAATATTATTTAAATTAAATTTTAAATAAAATTAAAATCAAACAAATCTATAATATGTTTGATATATTGTAATTTTAATATTTTTTTGTAAAATATAATTTACAAACAAATATGTTTTGATATAATTGGAAAACTAAGGTTGATATTTAATTCCTTATTTACAGTATGTTATATTTTTTTTATGAAAGAATATTACATTCTCCAAAACTTTTATAAGCATTAATGTGGATATAAGAATTTAATCAACTATAATAATAAATAATTAAAATATATATTGGTAACAATATTTATTGTATAATAAAAAATAATTTTAAATTAAAATTAAGACAAATTATAAGGCTGAAATTAAAATATACAATCATATTTTAAAAATATATATATTATATGATAAACGAAAATACAAAAAATATACTTTCTCCGTCTCCTATTTATTTATCCATTTACTTTTTGTATAAAATTTTAGAAATATTAGTATTATTAATATATTATAAATGAGAAGAGAATGGTGAGCAACTACTTATTATTAAATTTGAAAATTAAATTTTACCTTCAGTTTGTATTATATTCCTTCTTAATATCCAATTTAATTTTAAAATTAAATTTAAACTATAATCATATATATATATTTTTATATATCTTCTTTCTAACTATGTCTCATCTCATCTTTTTAAATTCAATCGTTCTCTACTTTACATTGTCTCACTGCACTACCTATTCACAGCAAATCCATCTCACATTCTCTCTTTCACTCTACCTCAGTTATTTTCGCTTTTTGAACTTCTGGATAGTCCGTCTTTTTTTTCTTTTTTTTTTTTTTCTCAAATCAATACGGTCCAAACCGTCATGTTCAACTTTTTATCTAATCCACGTCAATCAATGATATTATTTTAAAAATATATTTTCATCACGTGTTTAAGGTCTATAATTTATATTTATTCAGAGCCCAAAAAAGTTTGAAATAGCTCAAATCAAAATAAAAAAATAGATAAATTATTAAGAAACATGAATAATTATATTTATAGGAGGGAAGAAATACTATATTATTCCCTTACTATAGTAAAAAGATAAATTTATTTTTTAATAAACATAGTACTATTTTTGTATATACTCCATATTATATAAAAATCTGTATTAAAAAATTATTTTCCGATAACAGAAAAATATATTTATAAAAATACTACTTAAACTTTTATCCGTGGCGAAAAAAAGATAAAAATAGCGAAACGTGAGATGTACTAATTTATCTGTGGAAGGGAAGGCGAATCTGCCAACTACTCGTAGCCATTATTCTTCTTCTTCTCTCGGCTTTCGGCAATCCCCATAAATCGCCTTTCCACCCTCTTGATCCTCTACGTTTCCGGCGCCGCTCAGATGTTATTCTCCGTCGCCGGTAGCGCTGGATTCTAAGGTGTCCATCATCACGGCAATTCCAAGAGCGAATCGCCCGTTTGCACACGTCCGGTCTGTACGACGCTGGGGTTGTGCTAGCGGGACAAAGCCTTCGCCGCACGGTGGACGCGGCGCTTTGCCGTCTGAAGGCGGAAGTCCCTCCGACCTCCTTTTCCTCGCCGGCGGCGGTTTCTTCATCTAATTGCTTCCGGTGTTTTTTGAAATTTTCATCGATTGTTTTAGGATTGTTCTGTTAAATCAATTTTTCGATCACAAAATTCTTTCGGAAAAATCCACCGTATTGCATTGAAGGCGTTTAGAGATGATGCTGCGGATTAAGAGAGTCCCTACGGTTGTTTCGAATTACCAAAAGGAAGATGCGGAGGAAGGCGCTGGCCATGCAGCCGGCTGCGGCCGCAATTGCCTCAGAAACTGCTGCTTGCCTGGTAAATCGATTGTTGATTTTTCGCTAGGGTTTGTTTTAATCTTCGTTTGCTTTATCCAATTTTGATGTGTTAGCCTCCTGCAATTTTGTTGGATTATTAGGGGCAAAATTACCTCTGTATGCTTTTGAAAAGGACAACAAATCAATTCGTGAAAAGGAACCAGATCTCACAGAGAACGAAGATTCTCCAATTGATTTCTTAAACTCCTTAATCCTCGGGGAGGTATGATAATGATTTGTTCGAATTAATCGACATCCGGATTGATTCCTTCTTTCATATGGAGATTGCTTGGTTGTCTGAGATCGTTTTTATTGATGTTGATAGTGGGAGAATCGTGCACAGAGAGGACTCTTCCGCTACGATGTCTCTTCCTGCGAGACCAGAGTTCGTCTTCTAATCTCCTCTGGTTTTTCTGTCCTCATTGTCATGGAAGTTTTCCCAAATTGAATATGTGAAGTAGACATTTGTGTTGCTTGTCTGTTTGTGATCGATTTTTGCCATAGGTTATTCCTGGAAGCCATGGATTTATAGCACAACTGAACGAGGGCCGACATCTGAAGAAGAGGCCGACTGAGTTTCGCATCGACAAGGTCTTGCAGCCCTTCGATGAAACCAAGTTTAACTTTACAAAAGTTGGGCAAGAAGAGCTCCTCTTTCAATTCTCAGCCAGCGAAGAAGGCGGTGCCTACTTTGTTGCCAATGCTCCCATTGATGTCGATAATTCACCCAATGTTGTCGCCATCAATGTATGTAATCTCACTCTAAAATTTTCAATTTCTCAATCCTTGCAGGCTTAAAACTTCCAGTTTAATTTTGCAGGTTAGTCCAATCGAGTATGGCCATGTGCTGCTAATCCCACGAGTTCTCGACTGCTTGCCACAGAGGATCGACCATGGAAGCTTCTTACTTGCTCTGCACATGGCCGTAGAATCCGGAGATCCCTACTTCCGGATGGGGTACAATAGCTTAGGTGCATTTGCAACGATCAATCATCTCCACTTCCAGGCCTACTACTTAGCAATGCCGTTCCCAATCGAGCGCGCATCATCAAAGAAGATAACCACAACAACCAGGGGAGTGAAAATATCCGACGTTCTAAATTACCCCGTAAGATCCCTAGTCTTCGAAGGCGGGAATTCTCTGGAAGATCTTTCCAATGTCGTCGCAGACACATGTATATGCTTGCAAGAGAACAACATTCCCTTCAACGTACTCATCGCTGATTCCGGGAAGAGAATCTTCCTCTTTCCTCAGGTTAAACATCTTCTTCTATATCCAAATCATGTTTCTTTATTCTTAACAATGCCTAAACCATCGATGCTGTCTTGATTCGAATGAAACAGTGTTATTCGGAAAAGCAGGCTATGGGAGAGGTCAGCCCCGAGCTGCTAGAAACTCAAGTGAATCCGGCTGTGTGGGAGATCAGCGGACATATGGTTCTGAAAAGAAAAGTCGACTATGAAGCAGCGTCCGAGGAAAAAGCCGTGAGGCTCCTGGTGGAAGTGTCCCTATCCGAGGAGAGGTTCGAAGAAGTTAAAGAGCTCATATTCGAAAACATAAATGTTCCTTGCAACAGCGAGGATTGCGTTACTGCCATTGCTGAGGATTCCTCGACTGCAGCCGATGAGACTCAGGAAGATGCGGACAGCCTTAAAAACTCCCATCCCGCCATGGTGCCAGTCTAAGCACTATAGTTAGCGGTCTCTCGTGTGGTTAGTCTCCGATTTATTAATAAATGTACAGGCTTTCTTCGTTAGTTATTTGTGTGGCTGCTGTCTGTCGGGACAGCTCGCTTGCGCTTCCTTTGTCTGCCGGAGTTTGTTAGTTGTCGTCTTCGTGTTCGTCGTCGTGGTGTTATTTCGGACTGTTTGATATGCAGTTGGCTCTCAAATATGCAGAGGGTAATGATCTTGCTTTTCGATCGTTTTTTCATTTTGTCATCTTGGCTGCATTATAATTGTTTGTTTGAATTAGGACCACATTCTATCTTGTAAAGTGAAATTGGGACTTGTCGGATATTCGATTTAAAGATGACTTTTTTCTGTTTTTTTTTTGGTCTGAGAATGAGAATATGGTGAAGAATCTAAAATACGATTCTCATGGAGAATATTCTTCTTCTATAGATTCATATGCATTCATAGGGAAAACCAAACAACATAATAATTTTTTCTTTTGGTTTGTAATTTTTTTTAAAGTGAAAATGTTATTATGTTTTTTATTTATTCGAATTCTTAATTTTACTATAAAAATATCAAAATTCTTTTCATAACAAAGTTTAGTATTTAATAGCTATTCCACCTAAAAATATTAAAAAAAAAAAAAACAAAAACAAATATTTGAGTTTGAATTTGAATTTAAATAATATTTTGTTATGATATTTTATATAAAATAATAATATATTTTTAATGATAACTATTGGTAAAATATCTAATTTGAAATAAAAACAGAAAGACAAAATCAAATAGCTATTGTAATCTAATATGGAATGAACGAGAAATACATTCCATGATTTAAATTACAACACAATTCACTCGCCAGTATATAGATAAATATTGTTTTATGATATGGAACTCGCATCTGCTACCGGAAAGTGAGCATTAGTAATCTCCATTAGTAATCCCGACAAGCATATCACACTCGATATTGTTGATAATATGTAGATATTAATTTTATATCTTCTGAATATTTGGAAATTTAGCTATAAATATCTTACATTTATTATATTAATTGGAGTAAGTAATTATTCTTCACACGCGATTTTTTATTGTTGATCACTAAGGCTCAGTAATAATAATTTTTTTAAAAAAAAAATCATATTAAATATTTGTTCACTTACAAAATATTAAATTAAAGTAAATAACATTAACACGCATGGGCATTATGGCACCAACTGATTATTACTTCCTTTGTTCTACATTTTATTTTCATATCTATTGCTATTTTAATTCTGTCTTATATTTTCATGTTTTATATCTTTTTCTAAAAAAATTATATAATTGCATATTTTAATTAAATTTTATATTAACAATTTTATAAGTTTTTTTAATTTTAATTAAGCTATTTAATTATTTGAATGGTATATTATAGTTGTTTTTATTAATATATATTATATTATTATATATTAGTTATCTCACTTGTAAAATATTCGTATCTATAATATGGCAGGAGATGGGCTGGGGTTGAGCTCGTTACTTCGTTTGGTGTGTGTATAATATGTTTATGTGTGGTCATCTCATTTATCTATCCATCATGTCATTTATTTAATTTATATATATATATATATGCTCTCTATCTATAAATAATAATAATAATAATAATAATAATAATAATAATAATAATGGAAACCTAATTCTGATATGATAAGTGCGCAATGAATACCACCGACCCCTCTATCTATGCTTTTGGTGGCCATGTGTTTTTGTCCATACTTAATTTGCATATCTAATCCCTCCCTACTCCCTAGTCCCTATATATATACATACTCCTATATTTCTAGGAGGCCCTTCTTTTTTCGTGTAATTTCTGTCGGCGACCATAATATGTGTGTGTGAGTAATAATAATAATCTATCTATACAATACAATACAATACAATGAAATACATTTGTAGCAATGTTAGCCCAGAAAGCTACTCTAAGCTAAGGCTGGTAAATAATCCAACATATATATATATATATGTTGAATTAATTGTTGCACCATGTTTCTATCTACTCAATTCACCTAAAAAATTAAAAAAAAAATAAAATACACACAGACACACATTGCAATTCAATTTCTTCACCATCAAAATGTGCTTTCATTTCTTCCATATATATATATATGCAAAATAAATACATTTGCATGCCCTTTGGCCATATCATATGCTCTATACAACAAACACACAAAAACAATGACCTAATTAAATAACAAAAATAATCCCCCAAAACATATAGTATAATAAAATAATGGCTGTATACAAATGCGTATATATATTATATAATAATTATTATTATAGGGAAGAAATAAATGGGCGAGTGGCAGCAGAATCAAGAGTATTCAATTTGGCAAAAACTCCGACCAACGGCGCCGTATTGTAAGTGCAAGCCTCAGTCTGCACAAAATTCCCCCTCGTATCCTCGAACCGGTCCTCGCTGTCCGGACCGCCCACCAGCGACCCGACCAGCACATTCGGGTTCGGGTCGGGCCGCCCGAACCAGTGGTCATACCCCTGCGTGCACCCGACGAACACCTTGCTGTCCCTGTACGCCTCCGTCGACGCCCCCCTATGGTGCACCCTCCTCGGATAATCCGACCCGTACCCGACCAGGTAGCTCAGCCCCATCGGGTTCGACCCGAGAATGTAAGCCGCCTGCGACCGGACCAGCCCCATGATCTCCTCCGGACCGGCCGATCCCCGCGGGCAGTCCACCGCCGACCAGCCGGTTCGGTAGAGGTGGTCCGAATACACCGTCAGCAGGAACGCCGCCGTCGACACGTACTGCATGTTGTTCCATTGGCGCGTGTACAGCAGCCCGCCGCGCGTGCGCTGCACGTTGCTGGAATTGGCGGCGCCGCCGTTCAGGTTCAGACAGGCACAGACGTAGTACTCCCCTTTCGACCCGTACTGCTCCAGGATCCGCTTCTGATGTCGGGTCAGCCCGGCCGTCGGCAGCTGATGTATGAGAATCGGACAAGACAAAGATTATTCAAATTAAAAAAAAGTAAAGAATTATTAATAAATTATTATTATTGTTTATTACCATGGATGCAATAATTTGGAGGCCAGCATATTTAACATCCCAGCTGAATTCAGAGATGGGCCAGGTGATCCCACCAAAGGACATGGCGTTATCAATGGCGTAATTTAGGTATCTCTGGTTGTCGGTGGCTTTGTAGAGCCACAGTGCTGCCCAAAGGAGTTCGTCGTAATATCCACTCACCGACGTGTAATAACCCTTCGCCCCTTCTATGCTCTCGTCGTATTTACCTCTGAATTTGTCCCCAAATTCGAATAGCTGCCACGTGTGCACCCACAATCATGTTAATTACTACTACTATACTAGTCAATAACACACACACACACATATATATATATATATAATGGGCATTATTATTTTTATTATTATGGACAATCAAATGCATGTGGGTATGGACCATGTAAGAATACAGCAGCATTTAGATTTTTTCACAATGTGACATGTATATATGAATGAGCATGAACTCTGCTAGATATTTATTTATTATAGTTGAAGCTACCACTTTTGTTCTTGCGAAAATGGGTAATGGGAATTTTGGTTGTGGGGGTGAAAAAATTATTTTTATTTTATGTGGAAAATTAAATGCTAAATGTTAAAATAGCGAAAACTGTTTGTTGCCTTTGTTTGTTTTGGTGTTTTTTTGTAGTATTATTTTAAGGCGTAGATAATCTAGTTCAACTATTTGTCGGTGTGCCCTAACGAACCTTAATTATTATTTAGGACGGATTAGCGACGTGAAATGTCTAATTTGCCCCTATGAAGTCATAATAACAACCTTAATTAATTAACTAACTAACTTACCTGTTGCGCATGGTCCAAGAGAAGGTGGGAATAATGTGGGTTTGTTTTACTAAACACGATCGCCGCCGCGGCCATGGCCGCCGCCGTCTCCGCCGCCACTTCGGTGCCGGGATTCTTCTCGTCCACCTTGTAAGCACGGCGGGACGTCGTCATATCCTCCGGCCGCTGCCAGCACAGGTGGTCGGTGTCGCCGTCGCCCACCTGAATATTAATTATAAATTATTTTAATTTTAATTTATTCCTTTCAAAGACATTTTTTCTGCTGTCGAAAACGGACAATAATAATGAACAAGAATTCACGATTTAAAATTTGGGGCCCACCGCAGTCAAGATTCAAAAACTCATTTCAATTTCTCCGGCGTGATTGCGGGATTAAAGCAAAATTCATTTTTTACTAATTAATTAATTCAATCGAAAAAAAAAAAGAAAAAGGGATAATGAATCAATTCGGGTCGTGTGACCTGAGCCCAGAGGACATGAGGATGCGTATGAGCTTTAATGAAATAATCGGTGCCCCATTTGATAGCTTCCATGGCGTGCCGGAGCTCGCCGGCGGCGGCGATTTCTTGCCGGAATTCTATCACCCCCCACGACAACATTGTAACGGTAAACGCCATCGGCAGCCCGAACTTGACGTTATCGCCGGCGTCATAATATCCTCCCACCAAATCCACCTTCAAAATTAAAATCAATCAACGTCGTCGCCATAAAATCCCCAAAATTTTCAACAAACTCAAAATTCAAATTCAAGAACCAATAATGACGTCAAGACAAAAACAAAAACAAAAACGACGTCGTCGTCGGTCGCACCCACCCCTTGTTCGAGCCCGTCGGTGAGGCCGGAATGGTGGCGCCACGTCACCCTCTGGTTGTACGGAAGCCGGCCGGACCGCTGGGCTTCGAAATACAGAAGGCTTTTGGACAAGGCGTCGGCGTAATCGAAGGGCTGCGGGGAAGCCGGCGGCGGGAAGAGGGAAATTGCGGCGAGCACTACGAGGAGGAAATGCCGGGTAATATTCCGGCGGCCGGTGAATCTGATGACCGATATTTCCTCCATAGTTTCAGGGCCGCCCCTCCTCCGATCCCTTCAAAATTTCTCTTTCTTTTTCATGTAAAAGTGATGATGATGATGGTGAATGTCCCGCTTTATATAGGCCTGCCTCCCTGCCTGCCTGCCAGCCACGTGACCTTTTTTTATTTCTTCAATTTTTTTTTTTTTTTTTGCTATTTAGAAATTGATTAATTGATTTGCATGAAATTGCAATTATTATCATTTATCACCCATCAAATTGTTACCAAGTTTTTATTTTTGATTAAAGCTGTGCCAATCGTGGATTTGTTCATTGCGTGTTTGTGTTTTGATTTTTTCACGTGCGTAAAAGTGAATGTGAAGTTGGAACAGAGCTTCCCTGTAAAAGGGAAATTCGAGCATATTACCATATGGGACGACGACGTCGTTTTGGGTTCCTTTAGGCTTTTGAATTTGAATCGAAACCATAGGAAAAGGTAGAGTGTGTTCTTTTTAAAAATAAAAAATAAAAATACATATTTATATTTTTTAAAATATTAATATATTATACATAATTATTTTTTTATATTATCTACATAATTTTCTATATAAAAACACTCCTTAAATTATCTCAAGATACTATTTGTTTTTTGTTTTAAGGGTGGAAAATAATAAAATTTTCAATTACAACACTATATAATAGTATAATATAAATAGATATTGATATAAAAAATTTTGAATGAATTTTTATACTTTCCTGTCCCATAAATAATGATCCTATTTTTCATTTTAGTCCGTCCCAAAATAAGGGTATCATTTCATAATTTAGTAATTGTATTACATACTTAATATAATTAATACTCTTACAACGTAACTTTCAATCATTACATAAATGTCATTACTTTTAATAAAAATATTTTTGTCTTTAGCACTAGAAATAAATATAATACTAATATTAAAAAATTTACGTTCAAAAAGTATACGATACTCTTTTTTCGGGACGGGTATGGTATAATATATTAAATAAAAATGTTATTGTTTATTTGATAAAAATAAGGTCTTGTGGTTGTAGCTAAACATGTATGTATTTAGATTGGTTGGTTGTAATAGATTGAATGTACGTGTGTGCAATTAAATATGTCATTAATTATCATGTGATTGCGAAAACTTAATTAATTTGTGCATTGTTATACTCTCGTTTTTAAATGAAAAATGCGTAATGTCGTAAATTAGTGTATTTGTTAGTACATTGAATATCCACCACGTTTAGTTACTACTATGATTATTGTGATCCCTTAGTATTTTACTTTTATAAAATTTTCTAAACATATTATATAAAAAAGATAATCAATATGTACACTCAGTATTTTTAATGGAATAATTTCGTGTAAATATTATTAAAAAAAATACAAATATATACACACATTAATATAATATAAATATATTATTAGCTAATAAAAAGTCAATCATTCAATATAAAATATTACTTTTTTATATTACAATATAATTCTCCATACCACACAAAAAAAAAAAAAAATCAATTCATCTAAAAATACTGAGTAGACAGACTGATATACTAAATAATAATAATAATAATAATAACACACAATATGCCATTTCATGAAATATTTTCAAAAGTATTTTTACTTTGCGACAAAAACATCTAAAATTAAATATTGAAGAAACACACTTTATATATGAATACTTAGGGATTTTTTATTTTTTTTTTGTTGTAATTTGAAATTGATTTAAAATGAAAATTAATTTGAATTTTTTTTTTTATAATAGTAATTTGATATAATATTTTTTGAAAGAAAAATAATGAATTTTTTTAAAAAAACAAATCATACAAAAAAGCAGCTACATTTATCAGCTAAATTAATTGACAATTGCATGTATAATCATATACATCATCTAAAATAGATTGTAGTATTATGTATACCTATACATAATAGGTTTTTGTTTTTATTTTTACTTTTATTTATTTTTTTGTCCTTCATTTTTTAATATGCTGACTTATAAATTTCTAAAAGTACTTGTACTATATTTAATCTTTATTTGTTTTTTATACATAAACATCACGGCTAAAATATAGTCACAAAATGCTAGCTATTTGCATCTTTTTTCTGCAAATAGTATATGACATTTAATTATGGAAAAAAATTAAAATTTACTATAAATACCAATTTATAGTAAATTTTAAAACAATTCTCAGTATATTAGATATATATTTTTTGTTTTATAAAAAATCAATTTTCAATGCAAAATATATAATTTGCATTTTTATTTTATATATTTTCAAGATAAAATATTGATTAAATAAATATATATATATATATATAATTGTTTTAGTGGACTAACCACCCAAAGCATTTGAATTCTTGGTGTCCTACTCTTCTCTCCTCTCTGAATTAATTAATATTATTTAAAAATTACTAATCAAAAACCATCTTTGCTGTAAAGTTTAAAATTATAAAAGAAAATCTAATACACCAACTGCGCAGCTACACATTGTAATAAATCGTCATAAATACATACATATATATATGTATGAATAATAAAATTAAATAGAATATTATATACTTCCTTCGTCCCATCGTAATTGAACCATTTGATCAGAGACACGGCATTTAAAGTGAGGATGTTTAATTAGTTATGATATTATTATATTACTTTTTATATAATTAATAATATTTATATTTTAAGAGTAAATTTAATAATATAATTAAAAAAATTAAAATATATGTTTAAATATATAAAAATTATATAGCAATTAAAAAATATATGTAATATGTATATCATTTTGTAGATAATAAAATTTTCTACTACAAGTAAATAAAAAAATTAATTTTATTTATTTATAATTAACATAAATCAATTTTATAAAAAATGTGTAGTTTTAAATATAGATAAAAATATTTATTTTTTTGAAGAGAGTGGTAAAAATAAAAGGGTTTTAAGTGGGTCCTAAATCATGTAATTAATTAAGTTGATTTGTATTTGTTAAATAATTTTTATCAAAAATAAAAAGGTATCATTTGTTACGAAACAGACAAAAATAAAAATAGTGTCATAATAACTCCAAAAACAGAATAAAATAAATAAGAATCCAAAAATCTTTTGACCTCTAGTTTTGGAGAGGAAATATTTAAATTTATAATTAATTAATATTCAGATTCGGACAAGATCTTCTAAACATGGCCATCTCCAGATTGTCCTGCCCTTCATTTTCTATTACTCCATAAATATGTCTTTTAAAAAAATTTAATCAAATTCGATATAAAATTATTTTTATTTGTATTTTTTTTTAAGGATTTGTTTATTCTGCATAGTGACAAACCCTAAAATGTTATTAACCCATATAGACTTTAAAGATTGAAATAACCAGGCCCAAATTTCAATCCAAACACAAATATTTAGAGTTAGGCTGGGCCTAGGGCTTGTTATGACATGGGCCCATGAAAAATATTTTTCTGGGTAAGCCCAATACTGCTTAACCACACATATACCTAACCATGGTTCAAAGTGAATTTTCTAACATACATATTCTGACTTGTGGGTAGGTTTACTGAATAGATTGTAAGAACAAATAAAGTGTCAATGGATGAGACTTTGTTGGCGTGAAAAAAACGACAATCAAATTTTACCTAAGTAATGGATTTAATAAATTAATTAATAGATAAAGATTTAGTTGAACGAATTTTGTCAAGTAATTGTGGGTTTCTTGCAATTCATCATCTCACCAGTAGCCAACTAATCCTCGTAAAAAAAAACAATGCCCACAAAACTTTATCTTCATGAGTAGACTTAGTCAAGTAAAAGACAAACTGATTTGTTCACTGATAATATTTTGTATTGAATTGTTATTATTTTTTTAGTAAATAAAAAAAATATATATATATGGGATATTATGTTAATGTGTATATCGTAACTTTAAATAAGATTTATAAGAAATCACTCCATTTAAATTGGTTTTGTTGAGTTCTTCCTTTTTTTCTTTTTTTTTTTGTTTAAAAATATTTTTATTTTATCTAATATTATTTAATAAAATACATTACATTAAATTATATTTGTGTTTACTAATCATATGAAAATTAATATCTTATATTCAATTCTTTTTCTTTAGTATTTTAAAACATTACAAACACAAACAAATTGTCACGGTTCGCACAAATGGGATAGACTATGACCGAGAATCTGGAGCAGGAATATCAACCCGTGACACAAATACACCATAATTATCCTATTTTGATTTGAATTTATTCACTCTTTTTTTCCGGAAGAATTATATTGTTGATTTCCTAGTTGCTCATAACATAATTAAAAATAATTAATTTATATATTATGATCAAACTAAAAATTAAAAATTTAATTGTATATATTTTTTAAACTATTTATTATATTTACATTAACTTCGTCACGGTATGTTGTTTTTAATTTAAAAGTACTTTTAACTTTGTTAGATTTAAATATATTCACATACAAATAAAATAGTTTCTATTTTTAACTTCTCGTTCTCATTCCCCTTCTCTTTTTAATTTTTATATTTATTTATTTTTTAAATCAATTCAAATAGGTCGTTAATATATGTCTAAACTTCTTTGAAAATTTTTCATAGTGAAATATTTTGAATTGTTAAAGTATTTAAGATCTTCACATCTCATATTGATCTCACATTATTAGTAAAAATTTATATTTTTAAAGTTATAAGTTAAATATTTATTTTTAACTCCCTCATTTCTTAAATAAAATATTTATTTATTTCATTTTGGTCATTCTCATAATAAAATATTTATTTATTTTTCTTTTAATAACTATATTATCTATCTAATATTAAAAATATATTTAAACTTACAATATATTATACAAATATCATTACATATCATACCGTGCCAATAAAGTTATTTTTGTTTTTCTCTTAAATTGTACTACATATCAATATTATACTAATATTTAAAAATTTACCAACAAAAAACAATTTAAAAGTTGAAGAGAATGTTTACTTGAAAGATTTTGGTTTTGAATAGTAAAATTTTAGAGTGAAATGGTCGTTTAATGTGATATAAATATGTGTTGATGTGATATTTTGACA